CCAGAGGTCAATTAGGCTGAAAGACAGAGGCTGGTCCAAGGCCTACCTGGAAATTCCCATTTCATTGTTCAGTGAGGATCTGAACCTGGGTCTTTCCAGTTCTACCCCAAGTGCTCTAACCTTGGGTCTGCCAAACTCCCTACTGATTTTTATTTTTGCTATCTGTTGCTGGAGTCTTATCCTTCACTGCCATCTTTATTTGAATTCAACAGAGCTTAGTCCTAATCTCTGCTTTGCCCTTACATTCTTGGCAAGTAACTTTTTTTCCTAGTTGCAACACTTTGACTTTTGAGTATTTGGTGGCTAGCCATGGCAAACTTTTTGATGAATGGACTAGCCTTCCCCCCATCCCATGGCATTCCAAATACATTCAGGAACCCAAAACTTTGGGGGTTCCTGTTTGGACATCTACTTACTACATCATAATGGTCATTTCACACATGGCATCCTAGTAATGCTCCCATATGAAGTAAGTGTTTGTGGAGCTGGGCTGTCCTTGGCATTGTTTATGCAGCTTGCACAACACTGCAATAGGTAGTCTTTCTTCAGTGTTCCTGGAACTGTGCAATGAACTGGGAGCATTAACCTCTTCTTTTTGACTCTTCCCGAAATTGGGGGAAATATTTCTAAACTCAATACAGATCAGAGTGTCCATGGTCAAATTCCTGCCATTCTGATAAGCAACACTAAGCAGCAGAGATCATTCTTTGCTTTTGTTTACAGCTGGAGAGAAGACATCAAAATGTTCTTTGTGAAAGAAATCACAAAAGGAACTTTAAAAAAAACCCTGCAATTTAGAGGGGAAGCTCATTTTGTTTTTTGATCTTTTGTAAACAGAGAAGCAGTCAAGGTGATCTCTCTTCAAGCAACTATTTTTTGCTTTGGTTGAATGGGTTAGCAGCTTATTGCCTTCTACTGGATACAAGCCTCGTCTTCCCTCACCTGCATATATTTACATATTTTATCTGGAAAGTTTAGTTTGTTACAAAATTCCATAAAACAAGACAAAGTAGGCCATGAGATTAAAACCTAAACACATAAATCTAATCCAGAGAGGGGAGTGGTAGGAAAGGCAAACCTGCACAGATGGCTGGGAAATTCCCTTGTATGCGTGGCTCCCTGCAAAGAACAGGAATGTTCTTCTCCAAATATCCTGAAGCACTTTTCACATTTACCTGTGTCACCTATATGCTACATCTCTAGGGCCAGAAAGAGAGGTTTTCTTTCCTCCCTCTCACATACTCACGCACACAGCCTTTATTTCAGAATCTGAGCTTTCTTTTTCCTTGGAATCATCACCAAATATTCTTTCACAGTGTTTAGTTAACCACCTTATCTGTAATATATTTATTTATTTATTTAGTAAACTTCTATGCCGCCTCATTCGCCGAAGCCTCGGGGCGGCTCACAGACATAAATAAACTTGATTAAAATAATATAAATTAACAGTATAAATTAAGTCACCCTGGCCAAAGAATAAGATAAATAAATACTATTAACAGTTAAAATGACATTTGAATAAAAAGGTCTTCGCCTGGCGCTGAAAAACAAATAATGATGGTGCCAGGCGGACCTCTCTGGGGAGCGCATTCCATAGATTGGGCGCCACCGCAGAGAAAGCCCTCCTCCGAGTACTCACCCTCCTAATATCCTTCATGGAGGGTTCCCGGAGAAGGGCCTCTCCTGCAGATCTCAAGGGGCGGGCGGGCATATATGGACGTAAGCGCTCCCTTATAGTGTTGCATATAGTGCAACACTAAGCTGCATATAGTGTATAGCAATGCTTTAAAAATACCACAGCAGAATGAGGAAGGCAGCTTTTGAATTTCTTGGCACACATTTTTATGTTGGAATCAGAAATGTCCAGGCATGGAGGAAAGGCTCAAGTCTGTATTTCTTAAAACAACTTGGCAGAGGTGCTCAGTTATTTTGACTTACTCACCTACCAAGTATGCATAGGGATCTGTGCTAGGTTGGATTGTGCATGCTGGATCCAAAACAGTTCTATTAATTATAGACTCCTGCAAGAAAGAGACCTAAGTTACTAGGTCTGTGTGATTTTCATGTTTTCTTATAATGATACTGTCCTGTGGTTTCCTCTGACTTTCTTCTGCTGTACCAACACATGCCCTTTTCTTTATTAAGATGAGTACTTTCTACCCTATGCTCACTAGTACGGCTTTAATGAGACTGTTCTGTTAAGAGGGCCATGCTGATAGACTGAAGAGTTAGTGGACCCTCATCTGCATAAATGCCCATAGAACTGCCCCTTCTGGTACATGAATCCTTCAGATGTCATTTCCAAGACAGTGGAAACATGAATGTGGATATGCAAGGACTCATGAATGAACAAGTTAAAAAGGCTTAAAGGACCATTTTGCCACCAAAGTGAGGTTTTCAGAGGTACACTGATTCTGCACATGGGGGTTCCATATAACTAATAACCAGTGATAGGTGGGTCTTCCAAGAGATTGCATTATCCTATCTGAAATCCTTGTAATATAAAGCTTTTCTGCTCATGGCTACTCATCTGCCATATCTTATTTTGCTTTTCGTGCAAAACTGTAATCCACCCAAAGGGCAGTTCCTTTCCTGCTATATAACCTCTAGGTAGCACTGTGGTATAGTGGAGGAGTGCAATCACACTATTGGAAAAAGGATTTCCTATCATTTTCAGACTGCCTCTTGGATGCACACCTTCTCATGGTGAGGGGGTTTCAGAGAGTCAGAGAAACAAAGCAATGCTATCACAAGGCCAGACTTTTTCATTTGTCTGAATGGTTAAAATTGAGAGACCAGACTAAGATGCATCCACTCTCTTATACTGCAGCAGTTACATCATCAGATGAGAAGAGATGGTGATGGGAGAGGAGAAATTTCTGAAGGGCAGCTACTGGAGAGCAGTGATAATTGAGGTTGTGTCCCTGAACTATTAATATAAAAAATCAGAATACAGCTGGAAAAGATCATGAACAGAAGCATGGAGCCAAATACAGCTTAAATAACATTCCTAAAGAATGTAAAGTCCACCTAACGAATGTACTTGTACTGCTGAATTCAGTAGACTGTGAACCAGAAAAACTGGACTGAAACAAGAGACATTCTTAGGGAAGAATGCCAAAAGAGAATTCCTGTAGCAAAAAGAAAGAAAAAGCCAAGATGGACAACAGAAGAAACACAATTGCTAAGAACAGGTGAGAAGCTGAAGCAAAAGATGACAGAAATAAGGTCAGAATCATGAGTGCAATTCTTCAGCAACTATCACATAGAGACAAAAAGAACTATTACAATGACCAGTACAAAGAAATGGAAGAAAACAACAAAAGATTAAAGCAGGAGGCCTCTCCAGAGTATCCAAGAAATCAAAGGGAAATTAAAATCTAGATTAGTAACATTGAAAGACAAACAGGAGAACATACTATCTGACCAGCAGAAAATAGGGCTTGAGCTCAGGGTTTCTCAAAAGGAGGATTCTCAGAGGTAGTTTCTAGCATGGGTTCAACAAACCATTCTTTGCATGCTCAGAGATTCTTTCTTTGCTGGTGATGCTTTATTGGACATATATTGGAGAATAAGAAGCTTTTGCCAAAGGCTGTGTGGTTTTGATGGTGCAAAGAGGGAAACCTAGCTCCCAAGAGCAAGTCCCAACAAGGCCATGGACTGTGGAATATGTTGTTGCTATGTGCCAAACTTATCAATTCCTATCTATTTATCAAGAAAACAAAAATCATGACTACAGAAGAATTACACTGTCAACAATGAAGAAACTGAAATTGTGAAAGATTTTACATATTTGGTTCAGTCATCAATTCAAACAGAGACTGCAGCCTAGAAATTAAAAGACTGAGATTTGGAAGGGCAGTAATGAAGGAAATACAAAAGATCATCAAGGGTTAGAACATTTCACTGGAGACCAAGGTCAAGATCATTAACAGTCATGTATTCCTGATTCTTGTGTATGGGTGTGAAAGCTGGACAGTGAAGAAAGCTGACAGGAAAAACATTGATGCATTTGCGACATGGGGCTGGAGGAGAGCTTTGCAAATACCCTGACTGACTGAAAGAAGGATAAGTGGGTGCCAGATCAAATCAAATCAGGGCTTTCCACAGGAACATTAATGACAAAACTGAATCTGCCATTCTTTGGGCACTTCATAAGATGGCATTACTCACTGAAGAAGACAATGTGATGGAAAGATAAAGGCTGAAGAAGATGACAACAATGTGGATGACCAGCAATGTGATGGTTTGATTCCACAGGCTTGAGTTAGCAAGAGCTGAGCAAGCTGTAAAGGGCAGGACGTTTTCATTTCTGGGGGGCATTCATACGCAGAGTTGCTGTAAGTCAGAGACAACTTGATGACACATAGCGACAGCATATTCCATAGTACATGGCTTTGTTGGGACCTGCTGTTGGGAGCTTGGTTTCCCCCTTCACACCATCAAAACCACACAGGTCTTTGGCAGAGCTCTTTATTCTCCAGTGTACATGACACATACAATAGAGGCATAAAATGTGCTGCATATGATGGTCACAAAAAGAGTGATACACATGTGATACATAACACGTGATGATGCGTAGCCTCACAGGAGAGACTGTGTAAAGATAAAAATAAAATATAATATTAAAAATGTTGAAGGTGAGTTCCATGTTGCAGGTTATGGTTCATTTTGAATCCCAGCTTCAGGCAGGATGGAAACTACAGAACTAGAAAAATTTACGTGTTCTGTGTAGACCTATGATCCAGCCCTGGAGGGCCCATCACTCTTGTAAAGCCAACAGGCAATCATTGGTTTTATAATCTCAGGCTGCACCAAATAAGATTTGTCCTTGCCAAATAGACACCTCTGCACCTGCCTAAGAGCACATCTTTCCTTTCTTCAGCAGGCATCAACCCTGGAGATGTCAGAGCTTCTCCAGTTACTGATTAACTTCAGAAAACTTCTGCATATAAGGAAGACCCTAACTAAAATAACCTCACTAAAAGAGTAGAGGTTTCTCCAAGCATAATGGAAAATCGCTTTGCTGCTCTCTGCTGGTTGGCTTTATTGCTATTCCCTTTGGTGGCTAGATCTAATGCACGGCCCTTGTAAGTACCTCTCATACCAGTAGTCACAGAAAGTGAACTTAATTTTCATTTGTGGAATGACAGAGATTAAGAGATCCTGAATTTTGTAGTATCAACCAGTACAGGATTCAAGGTTTTGTGAAGGTTTGGCATTGTGATCACTTTGTTGTAATATTTGAATCTTTTTGCAGATTTGCGTTTTAGCTTTTTGCTTTTCAAATCAAACAATTTAACTTACTGTACTGGCAAAAATTTGGGGGATAATACTCTGGATCAAATTTAATTAAATATCAATTAACATAACACTTAAAATACTTTATGTTGTTTTTATATGTCTATTTAAAGAAAATGAATGAAACATTCTGCTTAAAAACTCTGAAATTATTTTAAGTACATCCACCCTCCCATTCTCATTTTGTCTCTGAACTTTGTACACTTTGTACACTTAGACTTCAATCCTGGGTATGTTTGGCTTGCATGTGAGCTTCAGGTGATGACTGGGAGAACAGCAGCACGAGCCTGCCTCTTTGCCATGTCCTACCGGCAGCCATCCTCCATTAGTACCAGGGAGGATACCCAACAGTGATGACTACTCCAGTCTTCTTTCAGGCGTGCATACAAATCTGTCTTGAAATCAACACTCGCTACCCTCTCATCACACAGAACTTCAGCCACTTTCCCAGGGCCATCTTAAGAGCATTATGGGCCCTGGGCAAAGAGTCTACTGGGGCCCCTACGATAACTACAACTACTGTTAATTTTGGAAGTGTTCCAATTTTCCAAGGGTTAACACACACAGATTAGTATGGGCCCACGGGCAAGTGCCCATCAGGCCCATGCGTTAAGATGGCCCTGCACTTTCCCCTGCCTTTACCACCCATCAGACAGATAAAATAATCAGCATCTTGAATGTCAATTCATTACTTTGTCTCACCCTTTCTTCCAGCGTAACACAGGCTGTCTTTAAAAACTCTTCTTGAAATATTTCTTCTTGAAATACATCAAGAATGTTATCACTTCACCTAACTTGTGGTGCCTTATTTGTAAAACAGCCAGCACCAACTTTTTAAAAATAAAAACAATGCTGTTGCAGCAGTCATGTTCTGCAGAAACAGACTTTCTTTGGGTGAGGTAGAACGTGAAGGAAGTGCATGTTGTTACAGCCAGTCGGCTTTTGCAAGAGGGAAAAATTGCAGGGTTGCAGTGCTTATTGTATTTCTTCGGAGGGAGGTGGCTGAAGGCTGAGTAGTGCTTTGTTACTCTGCGTTTGTTGAGAATATACAAGCTGAGTACAGGGGAGGTGCAGTGTGAACACTCCAGTAGGCAGACTGGGCTTATGTTCCCTCCTCAGACTTTTCTAGGGCAACAGCCAGCAATCTGAGATGTTTTCAGAGCCCAGACACGTTCTTTTTAGACATCTCGCACTCCCTCTTTGGCTAAAACAAAACAGCAATGAAACCAGCCCAATTTCAGTCTCCAGTGTAAAACCAGTGATAATTTTTACACAGTTTAGAAGTAGTCTCACCATGATGATCTTAAGCATATCCTTTTGTCAAGGGTCAAGTATAGGGAAGGAAGACATTTCTTTTATTAAAAAACAGAACACCTGCCTTTTGGGGAGCACAACCCTCACAAGGTGGTTTGCAGTATTTCAGAAACATAAATATACAAATTACAATCAAACACAAAACAAAATAGGTCTGTGCCCTGACAAGGAGCATGCAGTCTAGATTTTGGCAGTGGCTTGACATAGACAGAAGAGAGGGATTGGCTTGGATGTTTTTGATTAATCTGTGCCTTGTGATGTACGGATCACCCTGCCTGGGCTGCCTTTTCACAGATACATGCTCATTGCCCCCAACACCCTACGTGTGGATAGTGAGGAGACCATTGTCGTGGAGGCTCATGAGCACACAAGTCCGATTGACATTTTGGTCACCATCCAGAACTTCCCCCAGAAGAACATCATCTTGAGCCGGGCTCAAGCCCGTTTGGATCCTGAATATAACATGATGACCTCTGTAAAAATAAAGGTACTGCAAGGGGGAAAAGCCTTGACCACAGTTGCAGTAGTTCACATATTAATCTTGAGGTGGTTTTTTGTTCAATAAGTTTGTAACATGAATGAGAAACTGGAGGCTTGCAATATTTTGGCTGGGCCTGGTTTATATAGTCAGCTGAGCCAAATGGCAAAGCTTTGTTTTCCAGGACAAAGTTAGGCTGTGGGAGAGGGGCAAGCGGGGAGGGGAGTATTGCATGCAGAAAAAAGCATGTGAGGGGGAAAAGGTTCACCCTGGCTTTCCCACTGGGTGCTATTTATCCCCATATCATAGAATCATCAAATAGAGTTGGAAGGGGCCATCGGATCCAACCCCCTGCTGGTTCAGGATACCAATTTATCACTCTGTCCACTCCACCATCATGGGGGTTCAGCTTGAAATGGTTCAGGAAGCTCCACAAGTAATGCAAACAGATGGTGGATTTGTTTGATTTTACCCATCTGATTTAAAACATTTAAAGGTGTACAAAATTTTAAATAACAGAGGTACTTATTAGCCTTCATATACAGCCATGTTCAATTCTGCAATACCAAAGTTACAAAAATGTGCAAAGTGTATGTTCAAATTTGTAGACTGAGCTTGCATGACATGAAAAGCCTCAAGAAGCCATGGTGAGTTAGTATGTTGTATGAAGTGGGACCATTTCTCCTGTGGTGATTTATGTGAAGTGTGTATGCTACCCTAAAAGGCCACAGTCAGTTCTTAGATCGGTCAGCCCCATGACAGATTACTGTGGGTTGTCTGAACCCGGACAGCCATGCCTAATCACGGGTCCAGGGAAGTGGAGAGTCTCTTGGCAAGAGCAGCAAGACTCCTTTGCCATTCTTGCTAAACTTGCCAGTGCTGGCCACCCCACAATTCCCCAAGTGGCACTGGAGGGAAACTGCCACTGGCTTTCCTCTTCCCCACTGCAATTAATAGTCAGCTTTTCATTGTAACAGCTACTGACAGCCCCTTTAATATGCCTCAGAAGCATCTTGGTGGGTTATGTGTGATTGACCCCACAAGTAGTTGCAAACATTAAATATAATCTATAATTATTTTTCAAGTCCTGCTTGTGCAACTGTAGACTTCTGCAGATGAGTAGGTAGGAAAACAAAGTTCTCCCAAGTGGGCAATGTTTCCAGGGTCTACCTGCAGTCAAGTGCAACAGGGAGCCACCCTGGGTATTGACTCATGGAAACAGCAGGTAAGTGTATTTTCTCATTTGGTAACGCTTGACATCTGTCAAGAGGCAAGCAGTGAAGAGTAACCAAATGGCAAGAGCGGAGTGGTGAAACTTATACCTCCTTCATGGCCATATCCTCTTTTTTCCCTTTCCCTTTTCTTTTCACTCATCAGTCCTAAGGATGCCCTCATATTTGCACTTGTTCTCAAAATTCTACCTGCTCAGGAACATGCAAAAGAGAGTATTTGTTTCTGACAGCTTCAAAAGCAAATCTGTCTTTTTAAGGTGGAAATCAGAAGGACTTTAAATTTCCCTCAGAAAACTATGCAAGTATATGTATTCTATACCTGTATAGTTCTCTGTTTAAAATGACCCTTTCTTAACCCTTTCTAAAATCCACTTTTAGATAAGGTGTGTCACTTTTGAAACTGTCCAAAGCTTTGGTGCTCTCTTTCTAAAGTGGGATTTAGAAAAGGTTAAAAAGGTTTCTTACACACAGTTATACAGATATACTTGCATATTTCACTGGAAAAAGAATGAAAGTCCATGTGGTATATGTTGAATTGAGACTGGAGAAATCTGGATTCTAGTTTCCACCTAGCCATGAAACTCACTGGGTAACTTTGGGCGAGTCACTGATTCTCAACCTGACCCACATCTCAAGCTTGTCATGAGGATAAAATGGGAGAAGAGAAGGAAGATTATGCAAGCCGCTTTGTGTTCCTTGCAGGCAACATGGTGGGATATAATGAAATCATCATCATCTGGCACCTTCATCTAGCTATGAAACTGCACAGCCACTGCTGTTTTAATGGCACGTACCTGAAATAATCTCTAGTGGTTTGTTTAGGCTTTCATATGATCAGCAGGGGGAATGCGAAGCGGAGGACAAAGATAGAAGGTGACAGAGAAAGGACTTTGCCTGCTTGCTTGAAAACTAGATTTGTGTGATGTTCACAGCCATACTACAACATAGACTTCTGAGATTATTTAAATCACAAGAAGGTTCTGGTGGAAGTGGTTTCCATGTCTCTGCCCAAAGAAACTTTGTAGTCCTATCCAAACACAGGCTAGAGACTGTATGGGAGTAGGGGGTCAGGAAAACACTCTTAGCAGCAAGTCTCCCCAGTGCCCTCTTCATTTTAGCACCATTCATGGAAACATAGAAACAGAGCAAGTCAGAAGGGGTCTCCTGGGCCATCTAGTCTGACCCCCGGCTCCAGCTGGCTCCACTCACGACATGCCCACCATGTGCATGTCTAGCCTATCCTTGAACACCTGCACCGATGGGGCCTCAGCCACCTCCCATGGAAGCCCATTCCATACCCTCAGGGTCCTAACTGTCCAGAAGTACTTCCTAAGGTGATAACCCTGAGAGCATGCAAAATCGCAGCCAGCAAAGAACAAGGCATGTATTTACAGGCTGATGCTGAGCAAGGAGTGGAAGTAGCACTGGGTTCACTCATGATGCTTTCCCTTCTGTAGATACCCACCAGCAGTGTGAAGAAAGAAGGCCAGAGCAAGCAGCATGTGTATGTGCAGGCAACCAGCCCACTCTTCTCCCTGCAGAAGATTGTGCCTCTTTCCTTCCAAAGTGGCTATATCTTTATCCAGACAGATAAACCCATCTACACACCTGGATCATCAGGTAACAAACTGTAATGTCTGCCTGACTCTTTTCACAAAGGTGGTACCACCTACATCCTAGTGGCTGAACAAGAGAATCACTTCTCTGGAGGGTTACCTTTGATTACCCCAAGTACTCACCCAGAGTAACTCCTCAAGATATCACCGTTTCACAGTGCTGTGCCCTGTACCAGAGGAATAATGAAAAAGCTCTCAGCAGGAAATGAAGAGTAGGGTATGGGTTAAACTCTCATGGGTGGTAGGGAAGAATTAAGACCCAAACCTCCAAGCATAGGTGCTGAAGGATAACAGTTCTATTCCTGTGCTGCAGAGCATAATATAATGTTCTGCCAGTAGTATTACCTCTTTGGTATTCAAGAGTTCTTTAGTTTTTGCGAGCAGTGTTCTCCTTCTCTAGCATTTCGTTCTGGTCAGTGGGCAGTTTGGGTGAGGTTTCCTATCAATTTAGCTTGTGTTGGGTATTCTGTATGTTCCACACCCTGTTGTCCTCTGCCCTGGAGTCTAGCAATGACCGGGCCTATGAGAAAGGCAACAAGGAAACCAAGTTGTGCAGCAGGAAAAAAGCAAATCCTGACCTAACAGTCTTTTCTCTTCATGAGCAGCAGCTAACCCATGACAGAGGCTACAATCCTGTAACTTAAATGGGAGTAAGTCTCATGGACCCCGGTGGAACTTATTTCTGAGGGATAGGGTGGGATTGCCCTGCAATGTGTATGCTGTTCTGAGAGCGGTTGCTAATCAAACCATTTATAAAAGCCTTAAATAAGTTAAAAATAATGAATAAGTTTGCTTTCTTCTCACTCAAGCTGAAATTAATAGTCTTCAAATTTTCCAGGCTCTTGCTCTGCACTGATTGCATTACTCTGTGTCATTTAATAACATAAGAAGGTGGTGGTGTTCTTTATGAGCCAAAGCAAAATTTCATAATAATTCAAAAATTAGATGGATTTGCACATTTCAAGGTTTGGATTTTGATTTAGTTTCATATAATCTTAAGTTACTATTCAAGGTTCTGTGTTCCTATTTTGATTAAATGAATGGGTGAATTTAATATAAAATTTCTAAATTCTGTTGCCTCTCTGCTATAGCTGCTATCAAAGCCCAAGTGGTAGTGTGCGTTGCTTGTCAAATCATGTCAGTCATTCACTGCTATACCTGAGACAGAACCTTAAACAGCCATTTATTCCTGCTATCATAAACCCCAACATCACATACCCCCGTCTTCTCCGGCATGGCAGCAAGAAGGAGATTATAAGCTTTTGTTTCCAATTTCAGCTAAGCACAGTTGCTCTTTTTGTCCAAACCTAGAGATCTGTCTTAGCTAAGGTATAGAAAAACTACTCAAGTTTAAACTGCGCTTTATGATCCTGGCTTGTTTCTTCTAAAATAGTTAGTATTAATCATATTTGTGAGTTAGGACAGAGTGAGTAAGTGCAGTTAGTTGATAACAAAGGGGGCACTTCCAGGCTTCTCATTATGGCCTCCCTGAAGGAGGAGAAGGAAGGAAAGAGTGCGCATGATGTGCACCTCCATTCAACATCCAGTGCTACGTGTTGTGTATCAGATATTGTCACATGCTAACTACTGTTGCCATGTCAAGTTGCTCAATATTGTCATTCACTGATACATGTTGAGCATTATCAAATCCATCATTTGCCAGGTCAGGTATTTTTAAACATTGCAAAAAAGTTGATGTCAGTTGGTCAATGTGTATCAAATAGTCCTACATTCAGAAAAGTTTCACCATCAAAATTGGCAGAACATTTTATATTTTCAAAGTAGAAGTTTGCAATTATTTTGGGGAAGCAAAGTGGTTTTACCTGCAAATTTGAATATCATGTTAGAAACATAGAGCATAGTAACATAGAAATAGAGTGAATCAATAGGGACCTCCCGGGCCATCTAGTCTGACCCCTGGCTCCAGCCAGCTCTGCTCTTGACATGCCTACCATGTGCATGTGCAGCCTATCCATGAACACCCTCACCAATGCATCTTGCCCTCCACTGCAGGGAAAAACAGGTCTCTACCCACCTCCATGTGACACCCCCTCACGTACCTGCATGTCGCCAACAGATCCCCTTGGAGTCCCCTCTTCTCCAGGCTGAAAAGACCCAGTTCCCTCAGTCTTGCTTCATATGGTTTACCCTGCAAACCAGTCACCATCTTTGTGGCCCTACGCTTCACCCATTCCAACCTTGCTATATGCCTCTTGTAGTATTCCAGCTGCAGGCGCACCAGAGTCTTATAGAGTGGCAGTGATACCTCTCTCAGTCCAGAACCCACACTTCTGGCTATGCATCCAAGGTTGGCATTCGCCTTCCTGACCACCATGCCACACTATTGGCTCATGTTTAGCCTGCAGGCAACCAGCACCCTGAGATCCTTTTCACAAGTGCTGTTCTCCAGCCACTTGTCCCCTAACCTGCATTTATGACACCCATTCCTATGCCCCAAGTGCAATACCTTGTACTTATCCACTTTAAAATAATATAGCCATTAGCCTTAAGGATAAAAGTCAAATGAATGAATGAACGAATGATGGCCAGATATGAAAGAGGACAGCGTTTCTGCGTGATTAATACCTGTGAAGAAGGGGTGATTTACAAAGCTATTAAACATAACAGCAGTCCTGACCTGTTTTGTGCCAGGCTAGTCAAGAATCTTTCTTTCTCTGCTGGACTCTGCATAGATGTGTCTTGTAAGTATTTTATTTAGACCACACAACTCTAATAACTGTCTAAGAATCAGTGTCAAGTGCCTTGTTTTTCCATTGAAACCAAATAAATAACAGACACATCCCAGATTCAAAACAGATTGCCTATTCATTCCCTTTACCTAGGAGCTGGGGGGTGCTCAGGGGCCAGGATCTCTAGCACATAATTCTTAGTTCCTTGCATTCAGGGCTGGCCTTATCATTAGGTATAGTGAGGCAGCAGATGCCCAGGGAGAGGAGATGCTGAAGGACCAAGCAGTGCCTACTGCCTTCTGGTACAATAGAGGACACTGCCCCCTCATGTGTGTTCAACTCCCAGCCTGGTTGGCTTCTCCACAGGGAAAGGGAAAAAGAAATACCATTTTCTGTCTTGCCTCAAAGAGCAAGGAGCAATATGCCTTGGGCCAGGCCATTCCTTCTGACACTTGCATCTTGACCCTGTTTAGAAGGCCAGAATAGGCAAAACTTTACACAAGCAGTCTGTTTCTTTAGACACATTTTGTTTCATACAGTTTCTGTCTCCTTTCACTCTTCTCCATTCTCTCAACTCCACCCCTGCCCCTACACACTTCTCCTGGGCTCCCTAGTAACAAACTTTGAAATAAAAACTGGGAAGTGATTGTCACTATTAGAATACAACACTCGCCAAACAATCATTCCCAAGATTCTTTGAGGAACACCATGAAATGTGGAGTGTATAAAGGCAATATAGGTTTACAGCATCTGGGCTCTGTGTTGTGGATAGAGTTCGGCCCCAGCCCCTGCTATTCCAGTCTTCCTCCTAAGGCAGCAACCCTATTAAAGGGGCACTGCTTGGGAGAGGGGATGCTAAGCAACAAGACACACTCCTAATCAGAGTGGAGACCAGACTGACAGAGTGGGGAGATGGAAGAAATGGCACAGCTGCGTATGGCTGTGACAGCACTAGTTCTGGGGGGGGGGGGGGGGCAGAGATGGCTCCCAAATGAGAAGAAGGGCTGATTCTCTCTTCTGAGTATCTTATCAAATCTGGAGACTTGATCTTGCATGTCTGCATCATCCATATGGGCAGGTGCACCCTTGGTCCCAGACTAATAAGCCTCTCCTTCCCACAGTGAGGTATCGGATCTTCACCGTTGGACACACACTGGATCCACAAAGCAAGGCTGTCACTACAGAAGTAGCGGTAAGAGACATGGCATTTGCCTGCCTTTTCTACTTTATGGAGCACCCAATTTCCTTATATCTATTCTACTAACATTATGTTAAGAAACCAAAGTGCTAGGTTTGCTCCCAGATTACTGTGCCTCCTTCACAGAATTTTACAGGGTAGCTGGACACTTGTAACTCTCTTGTCCTTTCCCACCACTTTTCTCCTCTTTTTTTATTACTGCAGAAAATTCTTTAAGGCAAATAAGGCCAGGTTGCTGCACAGTAGTTTCTAACTGTTTGAAAGCACCTTTAGCTGCCCTTGGACCTCAGTCTCCTGTTATCTTTTCTGTCAAATGTGGAAGCAAAACAAAATGTTCAGCCAGTAACCACTGCTGTTAAGGGGCCTACTTAACAGGTCTGCATTGCCCTTGGTAAACCGCAGCATGACTCTTCCACACACCCACACCCCACCCTGCATAGGTTTTACTATGAATTCCAGACAAATTTTTCTTTGACAAAGAAGCATTTTCTGAAATACAGTGGTACCTTGGCTCACGGACTTAATCCGTTCCACGATTCTAGTTGTGACCCAAGTCAAATTTCCCCATAAGATTCAATGTAAATAATGTTAATTCGTTCTGGCCCCTCTGAATGTGGTTGTGAGCCAGTTTTTGGTTATGAGCCAAGTCAAATTTCCCCATAAGGTTCAATGTAAATAAGGTTAATCTGTTTTGTAACTATTTTGTTTTAATCAGAAAAAATTGAAACACCATGGCAAAGAAAAACAAAGTAATAAAGTACAGTACAGTACAGTACAGTACAGTGGAGAATACTAACCTAGGTGCAGCGGGAGATTATTGTTTTGAGGGAGAGTCCCCCTCCATAAGGACATTGGGGAGATCTCTTTCAAGGTTTTCTTCTCTTTGTCTCTTAGCTGCAGGGTCAATTTTGGTGAAAAATCTGTCTATAGTTGGTTGTTTTTTCCTGCGCTGCATAAACCTCCGGAAATGAGAGACCACGTTATTGTTCATCAGATTCAACACTCTGTTCATTACATTTATGTTGGGGTGGTGCTTCTCAAAGAAACCCTGACATGGGCGCACTCCTGCAGGAAAGATGGGCGCAATCTCGGCCATCTCCCCCCCCCAACCAGCACGATCACGGCCATCTCCCCCCCCCCCGAGTGGGGAGATGGCCAGGATCGCAGTTGCGTTTGTGCAGGGAAGACGTGTGTGATCACAGGTGCGCTCCTGCAGGAAAGACGGGCGCAGCACAGCACAGCCGTGATCACGCATGTGTTCCCTGCATGAATGTGACTGTGATCCTGGTCATCTCCCCACTCGGGGGTGGGGTGAGATGGCTGTGATCTTGGTCACCACCCAAAGCGGAGTTCATGACCCAAGTCAAAATTTTTATGAAATTTTTGTTCATGACCCAAGGAGTTCATGACCCAAGGCATTTGTGAGCCAAGGTACCACTGTATTTTGAGAACAATACAAAGAGTACTTTCCTTTTCTTCTCTTTTTGTGATCTTCCTATTTTATATTTCTTGTTTTCATTATTCAACTTTATATACCACTTTCCTCAAAAATACCAAGCAGTGAACATATAATATGATACCTTAAAAACTGCAATAACTGTAACAGCAAAACCCACACGATTCAAGTTAATCAGCAGAAAAACCACAGATTTACCTGTGTTCTACAAACACACTTCAATTAAAACCTTGTGTAAAGATCCCAAGACCTGCACTGATGGGCCTGCAGAAGTGACTGCCATCAGGACCAGGGAGCAGTCTGATAGCCTCCCCTCCCCCTCGATTTAAGTCTGATTTAAAGGTAGAGAGCCATAGGAAAAGAGAGGAAGAGACTTGAAGCTGCTCATGAAGAGTTAGCACCTGGACAGCACACTGAGCAAAGCCCACAGGCCACCTGGTTACTCTCTTCCCTGCAGGGAGACAATTATAGTCATTATTTCTAAATTCGCATCTATACCTATAAATTATGTATAACTCTCTTTGCATATACAATTCTTTTGCAAATGGGTTGTCTTTTTATGATAACTTATCTCCTCTTTTTGGTGTACCTAAATGGCCTTGCTGCATCCAAAACCTCCCAACTTCCAATGCCCATGATTCAAAGTCTGAGCACCAGGAGACCTAGGAACCCTGGATGGAAGTTTGGGTTGGACCTTGAGAGTGAATGCAGACAACCAACTTACCACCTCATTGCTTGGTCATCTGTACTGTTACAAGCATGGTGTGACTTTAATTCTTCTATAGATTTCAAGTGTGGAAAATTTGGGAGGGTCTTTTCAAATGGGTGGGCTTCCTCACATTTAGCTATTGGTAAGTGGGTTGTCTGTGTTCACCCTGGCCTAGAGGAAGGACTGTGGATGAGGATTTGAGCTGGACAGGAGAGGCCCACTTTGCTGCAAGTTGTCCCAGCCCAGCCACCCATTGCAAGGTACACACTTAGCTGAGTAACTTGGGTACCTGTGTGGCACAGGCACATCTCCCCTTTCCTGCTGTTAAAATGGAACAATAACCGATTTGCTCAGAATTTGCTGGGCTTTCACATGCCCCAGATCTGCTGCTTGATGCAGCTGCCTCATTCTGCCTAGCAAGAAGGTTTGTCCTGGAGCTGGAGCTTGAACAAGTGCGGCTTGATGATGATAAATACTCATCTCTTAAACAGGCCACAACATGCAATGGTGCAGTTGGGTGGTTTTAGGTTCTGGACTTGGGGGGCTTATGGAGTGGCTAGAGAGAACTTGTTTTAGATAGTAACGTATATTGCTTCACTTACTCAAAGATGTAGCAAGCCAATCCTCCAGTTTGGGTTGGGGGGGTGCTCCTACTCATTCTGCTGAGCTGGGCCCTGGACATCTGCTCCAAAGTCCTGCCCTGAAAGGGCAGGCACCGAATATTAATGAAAGGCCTGGCCTGTCACACACCCCTATTCCATTCTGTGAGCGAAGCGGGCCCTGAGCCCTGAGCCCGGGCAATCCAGGCCAGCAGGCACAGTCCCAAGGCAGCCCTTATGGACGCTTTCACTACAAGGCTGAGCTGGGTGCCGCTCTCATCGCCCATGCTAGGCATGTGCCTTTTTTACCATCAAGAGGGAGCACTGTAGCAGCAGCCCCAACTGCATCTGCTGTCACAACCCAGGTTGCTGCATAGCAAGACTTTCATCTGTCATCTTTCGTCCTATGAAGAACACAAGACCCAGACACAAGATCAGCAGCACTGATGTCGATGTGATTTGGAAGGAGGGCAAGGAGTCCATCTGTGTGCACCCATCATAAGAGCTCCATTGTGCAAGCCTTCTGTGACCAAGTCCATTTTCCTCACTAGACAAAAGGAATGTACCAACTCAAGACACTTATATTTCTGATTGGAATGTTTGCTGTCTAATTTCAGAATCCAGATGGGATTGTTGTTGAGAGGAACTTGATCTTAGTAGAAGCGAGTGGGATCATCACCCAGGTCTACAGAGTCCCTGAGCTCTCATTGTGAGTGGAATTAGAGTTGGTGTTAATAAGAGTTTTGAAAATTGCACAGTTAGGAGAGCAATCCTATGGCCCCTGGGCAAGTGTCCCACAGACAAAAAGATAGCCTCCTGAGATGGCATTCCCATTTTGGTAGAGGAATCAGAGATCCAGCACCTGCCCCCTCAAAGCTGGCCCTGGAAAGAATGGTGCTGCCTTCCTCTCTGTGGTCAGAAAATTGACTTTAGGGAGCAGAAGAAAGGGTTGTTCCCAAGGACGGGTGTGGGTGGAGACTTGAAAGGCCCAGACACTCACTGCCATTTATTCTGGGCCTCCTCCTACCTCCTTCCCTCACCCTCCAGAGCACCCTCACCAGACCAGCTGCAAAATATGTCCAGCAAAGTGAAGGACACTGGAGGACAGGCAGGCAAAAATCTTTTCCTTGTCTCCTCCTGCCCTGCTGGTTTTAGTGCAGCAAGTGATGGGAACCTTGGAACCTTCCAGTTCTGGAGCTTCTGGAAGTGAGGGCTTAGTCAACAGAACTATGCCCCAAATGTCCTAAAGTGTCCTGATGGGTTTCCTTAAAGCTTGGAGAAGCATTTAGCTATACATTGTTCAGTAACTGTAGCAAGTTTCCTACATGAAACCATTATCCACTTGGGATCAAATAGCTCCACCCTCGTCTTCTGAGATCTACCTCTCTGTCAACTGGGGGACTCATTCTCTGGGCTTTCTAACCTACCTATACTCCTTCTCTTTTTCTCATCCTTTTGATGTGCTTCTGTAACATCATGGCACCCACTTGCTCCTTCTCATCCATCCATATACTCCCTTGGCCCTATTCTCCCCCAGATACTTGATGATGATATATTTATATCCTGCCCTTTTCCTCCTTTCTAGAATCCGAAGCTGCTTATAATTAATCCTTTTCTCCACTTTATCCTCATATCAACAACCCTGTCAGGTAGGTAGAGGTAGTAACAGACCCAACGTCGCTCAGGGTGCTTCATGGCCAAGTGGGGACTAAAACTTGCATCGCCCAAGTCTCAGTCCACTGTACCACACGCCTCTGATCACCACAGGAATAGTTTTGGTTTTTTTGTCAGTTTTAGATTATCAGTTCCTTGAAATGAATAGGAAAGTCTAGGTTGGTGATCCAGGCAGCTCAAAATCCTGTTCCCCTGAAGCAGCACTAAAAGAAATCATATCTTTCTTGCAGAACTGGAACCTGGAAGATTACTGCCAAGTATGTGGATGATGACATTCAGGAAAGATTTACCACAGAACTTGAAATCAAGGAATATGGTATTGTGGCCATGGCCAGCACAAATGCCCAAGAAACCCAAGTGGTTATTCAGGCCAGAAATATTTTAGGGACTTTTCAGTGGCCTAGACCTAACTCTGATTCTTTCCCAGGGTGTTAATGTAAGTCAGCATTCAGACACCTGAGGCTCAGAAAAGTGGCTCCTTCTGTCCTGCCCAAGACACAGTAGAAAGCCATGCCATTGCAGTGAGATGGCTGCCTCGGCTGCTCACAGTCCATCCCCATGTTCTACAGAGCCTTCCTAGCTTAGTTTCTCTATCTTCCAGAGGCACAAGTAGAGGAGATATAAGTGAACATATTATAAAAGGCCTTGTTGTTAGGAAGATTGCCCTGTTGCCTGGGACTACATTGCCCAAAGGGGGGCCTTTATCCAAACAAACAAACTAACTAACTAACCCTTCAGATCCCCATAATCCTGTCAGCTGCACTGCTGTCTTCCCTTCTTTAGCATTGCCTATCTGTCCTTCCCTTTGGGAATGTTTGTTGTTTTAAGATACCCCTAAGTTGCTGCATAGTAGCACAGATAAATATTCATAACACCTTTCCATTTGAAAAACTCCAAATGTCAACTTTTTATAGTGCTGCCAAACTTCGAGGTGACCCTGGAGTCCTCCAAAAAGTTCTTTTATGTTGATGACAAAGAGCTGATTATTGACATCAGTGCTAGGTAAGTTTCTTCCTGTTTGTCAGTATAACTGAGTGGGAGGGAAGAACTGAGGATGACAAAAGGTATCTTGGAGTAATTGCTCAAGAGCTACTTTTCAAGAAAAGCTTTAGCGTTAGAATCTGCTGAGGCACCAATAGAATTTTTACCATTTCAGTCTCACAGCAACCAAGGTGAAGCTGAGAAATGGTGACCTCTCAGCATTGCCCAGTGAATTATACGATAGAATGGAGTTTTGAAGCTAAGGGAGCTTTCAGACGGATAGCTTCTAGCAGTACCAAACTAAAGACATCACACAGCTAGTCAGGCTTTCCTTTTTCAGTGGATTTTGTGTAGTAAGAAAAAAGCAGTAGCAATGAGAAAACATGGGAAGGTTCCACATGTGAGACATCACCTGGACCTCTTGTAAAATTCCACTCTAGTGATGGCCCTGCCATGAAAGCATCCTCTGGAAGCACCTAAAACACCAAGAGCATCATTGTGTCTGCAACTCACCACACTGACAGACTGTAAGGAATGCTGTGACTTTTTAACCTTGCAGGTTCTTATTTGGTGAGGACGTTCAAGGTCAGGCTTTTGTTATCTTTGGAGTGATAATACATAAGGAAAAGAAGAGCATCATTGAATCTCTTAGCAGAGTCCCGGTAAGAACTTACTTCACTTCACTTAGGAGTGAAATCCTATTGATTGTTCCCTTGGTGACAGAAGCCCCTGAACTTGGAAGTGTCCAGTCATCTCAAGCAAGTCAGGAGGAGCAGCTGAAAGGATCTTCATCACTTTTCAGCCTGTCCAGCAAGAGCACTTCTTGGACAGGACTCAGGTTAATAGGCTGGACAAGACTCAGGTTAATAGGTCTCCTGGCCTCGCCACTCTCCTCCAATCCACACCCACTAGAATTCCACCTTTCCTGCTTCTCCAAGCTCATTTTTCTCACCATGGAGGTCAGCTAGGGCAGTTCTCCCCATGCTGGCTGCCAAGGGGAATGGGAGGAGGGCTGCATCTCTGACTGCTACTTCCAAGGCTGAAATGCTGTCCCTGACCCTGGAAGGGGGAATCTGGCCAATCCTGTGTACCTGGGGGGCTTGCCCAGGGACCACAGCATTGCTGCCTTGACTGCTTTTTGAATCCAGTAGCCTTTTGACTCAACCTTAACCCTGACTGAAGTTGTCCTGGCAAAATTCAGCCCCTTGGTTTTGGTATCTCAGGGCCCAATGAGCTAGAACTTTTTGTACATAGACATTACATTAAGAACTCTTCCAAGTTAGGGCTGAAGCAAGTTTCCTTATTAAGAAAAATTCGATTCCATTAAGATAGGAGGAGGGAAAAATCTCTCACAAGTAATGGTTTGGAAACAAGTTTAAAATGTGGCTATCTGTTCTGACCCTCTGGTGACTGGGTTTGTTAAAAGTCTGGATCCATTTACAGAAAGTGGTGTGTCACTACAGCCAAACATATCAACTAGTTTTCTTCCAAAACATTTTGCCAACTACATAAAAGAAAAGCTCAGAGGAAAGACAACAGACTGGATTTAATCTCTCCCTGATCTGCTGCCTCAAAGAAATCTTCCACCCTCCAAATACTTCCTAGGAATTACAGCAAGCTGGGTGCATATTCAGGCCTTGGCCTCTTTCTCTTATGAATAGTCAATAGTCCAATTCCAGTAGAATGATTCCATTTCTCAATATTCCTAGACTGTAATTTAATCAAATCAATAGCTAGACCTTGTGTTGAACTTGCTCACAGGTCAGTTTCGTAGCAGTAGGAGAAGCATGCATTTGAATAGGCACCTCTAATGCCCAGGAAGCAAGCAAAATGCTTACCAGATGACACTTCTACAACTAAATCCTTGGGTCAGCACTGAGAGAGTGGCCCTGCTTCTCCCTCTCATCTCCATGGAGTGCTCCTTTGTGCAATCCACAAAGATGCACAAATGGGAAGATACTGCACTATATCCTCCTCCAGCAGGAGGCCATAAATTGAATTTGTTACAGTCTATCTGATTCCAGCAACAAGTTGGGAACACTGCAATTTACCAATATATGCGGTTCCATCAGCAGTAGCAAATTTGGTGCACTGTGATAAAGACTCCAAGCAGCAGGTGTCAGCAGTTCAAAGCCAGTAGGAATTGCAGATCGAAACTTCCCATTCTAATGATGATTTCAACCAAAAAGAATAAGGGCACATATTCATTATTTCAGCTAATAAGAATTACAGCAAAGGACCCAGCCTTCCCCAAGCTGGAGCCCTCTAGAGGTTTTCAATTATAACTACAACACTCCTGAATTCTATACTAAAAATAATTTATTCTTTCCCAAAATGAAGGGGGCGAGATTTTAATTGCGTCTTTATCTGGATAAGCACGGCCTAGCAACCGTGATACATGCTCTGGTAATTTCCCGGTTGGATTACTGTAACACGCTTTACGTGGGGCTGCCCTTGAAAACGGTCTGGATACTGCAGCTCGTACAGAACAGAGCTGCCAGGCTGCTGACGGGGACTGGCCATTACTCTCACATAACACTGGTCCTCTACCAGCTCCACTGGCTTACATTTGAAGTCAGGACTTGAATACAGTTGAATTCAAGGTGCTGGTTTTAACCTATAAAGCCCTAAGGCCAGGGATTTTGTCGGTTGGTTGGAATTTGTATTGGGTGGTTAGTGGGGAATTTTAAGGGTTTTATTGCAATTTTAATTTGTATTTTAGCCTAACCTTTTTAATGGATTCATTCCTGGCCACAGCTATGAAGTTGCCTGGGGAGCACGTGGGCACCGCAACTGGGGTGGTCATGGGCAATGGTCGTTATGCCGTTGGGGGTTTAACGTGTCGGCGTAGAAGAAGGCGGGACAGATGGTTGACACCTGTTCCCCCTTCTGGTTATTCCCCCAGCCAGTGGGTTCCAGGTAGGCTTATCAACCGCCCCCTGGGCCTGTCAGTGCTGTTGCTTAATGCCAGTTCGGTCCATAATAAATCATCCCTCATCCACGACTTGATTGTGGAGGAAGGGGCCGACCTGGCTTGCATAACAGAGATCTGGGCGGGAGGGGGGGATGTCTCTCTCTCTCAACTCTACCCACCCGGCTATCTGGTCCAGCACCGACCATGCCTGGAGGGGAGAGGAGGGGGGGTCACTTTAGTTTACTGAGCTTCCATCTCCCTTGTGGAGCTTCCTGGTCTTTTGAGGTCGGGTCTAGAGTGCCTCTATTTGGTGTTGGGCGACCAAGACAGATTGGAAATTCTGTTGGTGTACCGTGCACCCTTCTGTCCAACAGACTCCCTGCCTGAGCTGACGGAGATCATCTTGGACCTGGTGTTGAAGACTCCCAGGATGCTGGTCCTGGGGGACTTCAAACTCCATGCCAAGACTGTTCAAACCAGGGCGGTTCAGGACTTCATGGCCTCCATGACGGCCATGGGGCTGTCTCAACATGTCATTGGCCCGACCCATGAATGTGGACACACTCTGGACCTGGTTTTCTCGACAGGACAGGAAAAGGGTGATCTGAGTGTGAGGAATCTATGTCTGACTCCCCTGTCATGGTCAGATCACTTCCTTGTGAGGTTTGAGCTCAAGAGTGGCCTTTCCCTCTGTAAGGGTGCGGACCCGATTGTGTTGGTCTGCTCCCGGAGCTGGATGGATCCGGATGGATTCCTGAAGGCTCTGGGGGAATTTCCGGTGGTGCTCCTGTCGAGGCTCTGGTCGAACTGTGGAATGGAAAAATGACCAGGGCTATTGACACGATCGCTCCTAAGCCTCTCCTACCTGGCAGAGCCCGTTCGTCTCCCTGGTATACACCTGAACTATGGGCGATGAAGCAGATTGTGAGACATCTAGAGTGTAGGTGGAGGAAATCACAGGATGAATCTGACCGAACACACTTGAGAGCTCATTATCGAGCCTATGCTGTGGTGGTGAGGGCGGTGAAAAAGAAATTCTTCTGTGCTTCCATTGTCTCCTCACAATGCCATCCAGCAGAGCTCTTTTGGGTGGTACAGGGGCTGGTTCATCCAGACTCCAAGAAAGATCCTGTACCGCCCTTGACGGCCCGCTGTGATGACTTTGCCAAGCATTTTAAGGAGAAAATTGCTCAGATTCGTCACGAGCTGGACTCTACTAGTGACTCAGAGCCCTCAGGGGAGGTGCCAATGTTGCCGTCTGGTCCAAAATTGTTGGATGAATTCCAGTTATTGCGGCCTGATGATGTGGACAAGGTGCTTGGACAAGTACGTCCCACCACTTGCCTATTGGACCCTTGCCCATCGTGGCTACTTAACAAAGCCAAAGACTGGATAGGGGCCTGGATCCTGGAGGTCATCAACACCTCTCTAAGAGATGGCCAGGTACCTCCCCCTCTAAAGGAGGCGGTAGTCCAGCCAGTCCTAAAGAAGGCATCCCTGGATCCAGAGATGGCCACCAATTATAGACCGGTGGCCAACATCCTGTTCCTGGGCAAGGTGTTAGAACGGGTGGTAGCGGGACAACTCCAAGCACTCTTGGATGAGACTGATTATCTAGACCCATTTCAGTCCGGCATCAGACCTGGGTGTGGTACTGAATCTGCCTTGGTCGCCCTGTATGATGACCTGTGCAGGGAGAGAGACAGGGGGAGTGTGTCCCTGTTGGTTCTCCTGGACCTCTCAGTGGCTTTCGAGACCATCGTCCATGGTATCCTTCTGGATAGGCTAGAGGGACTGGGAGTAGGAGGCACTGCTTTGCGGTGGTTTCATTCCTATCTCAATGGCTGACTCCAGAGGGTGGTACTGGGGGACTATGGCTCTGCGCCGTAGCAGTTATGCCATGGAGTTCCGCAGGGATCCATTTTGTCCCCCTTGCTATTTAACATCTACATGAAACCGCTGGGAGAGGTCATCAGGAGGTGTGAGCTGCAGAATCATCAGTACGCTGATGATACCCAGCTCTACCTCTCTTTTTCAACCAATCCAGGTGAGGCAGTGGCTGTACTGAACTGGTGCCTGGCCGAGGTAATGGGCTGGATGAGGGCCAATAAACTGAAGCTCAATCCAGACAAGATGGAGGTCCTGTTGGTAGGAGGTTCTGGCTTCAGGGTAGGGGACCTGGATCTTGTCCTGAATGGGGTAGCACTCCCTCTAAAGGACAGGGTCCGCAGCTTGGGAGTGCTCCTCGACCCAGACCTGTCGCTAGAAGCTCAGATGACCACAGTGGCGAGGAGCGCTTTCCTTCAGCTTTGGTTGATCCATCAGCTGCGTCCCTGCCTGGAGAACAATTGCCTGGTGACAGTGACACATACATTGGTTACTTCCCGATTGGACTTCTGTAATGCGCTCTACGTGGGGCTGCCCTTGAAGACAGTCTGGATACTTCAGATGGTGCAAAATAGAGCTGCCAGGTTGCTGACGGGGACTGGGCATTGTTCTCATATAACCCCAGTCCTCTATCAGCTTCACTGGCTCCCCATCGAAGTCCAGGCCCAATTCAAGTTAAATAGGCAGGGCGACAGTATACAGCCTTGCCGAACTCCTTTCTCAATTTTGAACCAATCAGTGGTTCCGTGTCCAGTTCTCACTGTTGCTTCTTGACATGCATATAGGTTTCTCAAGAGACAAATAAAATGGTCTGGTACTCCCATCTCTTTAAGAACTTGCCACAGTTGGTTGTGGTCCACAAAATCAAAAGCTTTAGCATAGTCAATGAAGCAGAAGTAGATGTTTTTCTGGAACTCCCTAGCTTTCTCCATGATCCAGCGTATGTTAGCAATTTGATCTCTAGTTCCTCTGCCTCTTCGAAATCCTGCCTGTACTTCTGGTAGTTCTCAGTCCACATACTGCTGGAGCCTAGCTTGTAGGATTCTGAGCTTAACTTTTCTAGCATGTGAAATGAGTGCAATGGTGTGGTAGTTCGAACATTCTTTGGCATTGCCCTTCTTTGGGATCGGAATGTAAACTGACCTTTTCCAATCCTGTGGCCACTGTTGAGTTTTCCAAATTTGCTGGCATATTGAGTGGCACTTTTACTGCGTCATCTTTTAAGATTTTGAATAGCTCAGCTGGAATACTGTCTCCTCCACTAGCTTTGTTGTTGCTCAGACTTCCTAAGGCCCATTTGACTTCACATTCCAGGATGTCTGGCTCGAGGTCAGTGACCACCCCGTCATGGTTATCAGGGACGTTAAGCTCTTTCTTGTATAGTTGTTCTGTGTAATCTTGCCACCTCTTCTTAATCTCTTCTGCCTCTGTTAGTTCCCTGCCATTTGGTCCTTTATCATGCCCATGTTTGCATGAAATGTTCTCTTCATATCTCCAATTTTATTGAAGAGATCTCTGGTCCTCCCTGTTCTGTTGTTTTCTTCTATTTCTTTGCACTGTTCATTTAAGAAGCCATTCTTAGCTATTCTCTGGAATTCTGCATTCAGTTGGATGTATCTTTCTCTTTCTCCCTTGCCTTTCACTTCCCTTTTTAACTCAGATATTTTTAAAGCTTCCTCAGACAGCCATTTTGCTTTCTTGCATTTCTTTTTCTTTGGAATGGTTTTAGTTGCTACTTCTTGTACAATGTTGTGAACTTCCATCCATAGTTCTTCAGGTACTCTATCAGATCTAATTCCCTGAATCTATTTGTCACCTCTACTGTATATTCGTCAGGGATATGATTTAGGTCATACCTGAGTGGCCTAGTGCTTTTCCCTATTTTCTTCAATTTAAGCCTAAATTTTGCAACAAGAAGCCCATGATCTGAGCCACAGTCAGCTCCTGGTCTAGTTTTTACTGACTGTATAGAGCTTCTCCATCTTTGGCTGTGGAGCACATAATCAATCTGATTTCTGTGTTGACCGTCTTGTGATGTCCATGTGTAGAGTCATCTCTTGGGTTGTTGGAAAAGAGTGATTGCTATGACCATCGTATTCTCTTGACAAAATTCTACCAGCCTGTGCCCTGCTTCATTTTGTACTCCCAAGGACAAACTTGCCTGTTATTCTGGATATCTTTTGGCTTCCTACTTTAGCATTCCAATCGCCCATGATGATAAGGACATCGTTTTTGGATGTTAATTCTAGAAGGTGTTGTAGGCCTTCATAGAACCAGTCAACTTCAGCCTCTTCAGCACCAGTAGTTGGGGCATAGACTTGGACTATTTTGATGTTGAATGGTTTGTCTTGGATTCGAACTGAGATCATTCTGTCATTTTGGAGATTGTATCCCAGTACTGTTTTTCCTACTCTTTTATTGACTATGAAGGCTACCCCATTTCTTCTGAGGGATTCTTGCCTGCAGTAGTATACCTGATGGTCATCTGAATTAAATTCACCCATTCCTGTCCATTTTAGTTCACTGATTCCTAAGATGTCGATGTTCAGTCTTGTCATCTCTTGTTTGACCATGTCCAGCTTGCCTTGATTCATGGATCTTACATTCCAGATTCCTGTGGAGTATAGATCTTTACAGCATTGGTCTCTCCTTTCACCACCAGATACATCTGCAACTGAGTGTCCTAGTGTGGCTATATCTGTAATAATGTTGGTCTCTGTGGCAATTGAAAGGCTGGAGTGGGAGCGAGGTGTGAAAATAAGATGTAGTTACAAGAAAGAAAAAAGGAAGAGTGCATAGGAAGGAGGAGAGCTGAATAAAACCAATTCCCTCTTTGGTCATTTCAGATAGAAGATGGAAAAGGACGTGCAAAGCTCACCCAAGAAATGTTGCAGAGGAAGTTTCCCAACCTCAGGGAGCTTGAGAATCACTCCATTTATGTGTCTGTGACTGTGTTGACAGACACAGGTAAGACAGAAGCCTTCTCACTCTGAAAGCACATCATATAGTGCTGCTCCTAAAGGTGTGACCACATGGTTAGCATTGCTCAAGTACAGCATCTAGAAAAATAATAGTTCAGGGGGAAAGATGGCTGAATTCTTCTTCCCAACTTACTAGTTTTCCTCCCAATGAGGAATATTTTGGATATAGGCAGCTTAAAGTGCTACTGTCCAAGAAAAGATCCATCAGCTAGTTGTGCTGAAAGTATAGAATTGCAACAGATTGAATTACCAGTCTTGAAGGTAATGAATAGCCTGTTGACTCTTCTTTGATTTAATGCAGGCATACAGTGTCGTTTCCAGACTAAGTTAATTAAATTTGTATTCCATTAAAATATATGGCATCTACATCAAAACATGACTCATTTTTCCCATTGATTTCAATGGGACCTATACTTATAGTGCAACTTCAGCTATGTTTGCTCAAAAAGAAGTACCATTAGGACAGTGAGATATGCCCAAGGTAAGTGGACATAGGATTGCACTCTCATTCTGGATCCAGCCCAGTGTTCCCAATAATCTACCTAAACTTATTAAGCAGCCGGCACACTCCTTCCCCCTCCCTCGTCACCTCTTACAGGGGCATTTGTTCCTCCCTTGTAATTTTGAACTAATTACAGGTTTGCACTGGCATTTTCACTAACCAAATTTTTCTCCAAACCTCACTTTGCAAGCATTCTTAGAAAGCTGGAAGAAAGGAAGGAAATCCTAACCAATGGCAAATGAAATTAATATTTAAGGCTGAAGAACTCTGTCTAATCATGGTTAGGCAACTGGGCAATATTGTGTCTGCTAAGCCAGTAGCTCTTCTTCACAGCTTTTTCTATTCACAGGAAGTGACATGGTGCAAGCAGAGAAATCTGGGATCTACATTGTACGCTTTCCCTACAAAATTGATTTCCCCAAAGCCTTCAAGTACTTCAAACCAGGGATGCCTTTCTCCCTCATGGTAATTAAATCCCCCATGCAGAAGTGAGACTCAGTCATATAACTAAGCATAACATCATGTGCATGGTTAGGAGAGTGTGGTGATAGGCCTTGGAGAATGTGGCATCCTCAGCGAGCACTGAGGCCAGCCCTCAAGGATTTTCTGTCTAGCTTGTGTGTGAATGCTGTTACCACAGAAGTGCAGAAAATAGTAAATGAGATGGTGGGTGCAGAATCCCACTTCTTGAAAATCTCAGCATTGATTTTTGTTTTTAGCAAGTTTCTAGCTTTTATAATATGAAGACATGCCTGGAGGTCGGTGAGCAATGCCTGCTGAAATCTCAGAAGTAGCTGGAGAAGGCCTTTTGTGGCTGCAGACAGCAGTGCAGGTTCAGTGTTCCTGGAATGGTAGAGGCCGAATAAGTTATGTAAACTGAGAACATGGTGGATGAATTGTCCAAAATAAGAGATTAGGCAAATTTATTCGTTTTGCATAATTTATGCAGGGCAAAAACTGACTACTCCTGGAACAGTATTTGGATTGCCCTCATGCAGGGATAGGGTTAGTTGTCCAGCACTGTTCACTAGCTGGTCATCAGTATAACCAGGCATGGGTGTTCTAGTGCCTGGAACAAAAAATCTGACTGACATCTGCCCCTTCCCACTGCTTAATAGGGGGAGGATGGGCTTGTCTCTCACCCTTTGCCACTGCTGGGAGTGAGAAGGGCTGTTGCTCTTGGCATGCCTGCTCAAGGCCTGGTGGTTGGGATTCAGAGGAGGGAGAGCAGGAGGAGGAGGAGGAGGAGAAATAGCTGGAACGGGCCTTGGAATGTGGGCCAGTTCCAGGCACTGAGATGAGAGAAGTGGTGGCTCGTATTGCAAGGCCAAACTCCCCAGGTGGGCAGGCAACCTCTGAGAATAACCAAGATGTGCAGGTAGCAGGTGGAGCCTTGGAACAGGGAAGCTTCTCAGAGACAGGTGAGACGAGTATGACTCTGAACCCCGTGACGCGATGTTGACAGAGGAGGCAGCCCACTTAGAGGATTGGTGTGCAGAGAGGAGGCGTGCTTATTTCCAAAAGGCCCTTCCTGAAAAGATGGGGCCCAGACATACTCATCAGGAGAAGTACATAGTAGATTGTACTTCTCCTGAATCTAGTACATTCTAGATCTACTAGAAGTACATAGTAGATTGGGTTCAACAAACCACTCTGTGCATGCTCAGAGATTCCTTCTGGGTGGTTGTGCTTATGGGAAATGCTTTGGCCCATGAAGAACATATTGCAAGAAAGATCTGTGGCTTTGAATGTGAAAAGGGAGGACACCTATGTTTTAACAATGTCACTCCAGATCCTGCCTTGTAGTGGAACCACCTCTGGCCATGAAGGAGCATTCATTCTACCCTACATAGTTCAGGGGTAAGAGGCTGACCTCTTCAGCTCCTTGTTTCCCACAGTGGTCAACGAGGTGCCTCTGGGAGGCTGAGGGACAGGACAGGAGTACTGTGGCCTCTCCACAACAACTGGCATCCCGAGGCATGCTTCCAAGAGAGGGCAGCAACTGCACAATGGTTCATGAAGATGCTTCTCCATCTCTAACCCAAGGGTTAAGGGTGCAATTATTTTTGAACAGAAAATTTCTGCAACCTCCACCATGTCCTGGCTTGATACACCTTGCACAAATGTGATGTTTAATTCAGGGGTGAGTAGACCTAGGGGTGGGATCTACTAGCAGATCTTTGAGTGGTTTGTATGTCTTTTGTTCAAGCTCCAGTTGATGGATCTTAGGGGTTCTAGTAAAACAAAACAAAACAAGTACATGATTTGCCAAATGAAGCCTGGTGGAATGGTTTCTACAAGCATGAAATCTCCCCACCCTGCTTTAATCCCAGGAAGGAAGGGAATCCCTCAAGAAAGTAATCTCTACTCACTCCTCCTGCAATACGTAGTGTTGGACTTGAACATCAAGCTTACATATTTCCATTCATTGTAATGGTTGAAGCTCTGATCTTCAAATATTTCTTCTTTCCACCCAGGTGGCTGTGAAAAATCCAGATGGCTCCCCAGCCCCTCAGGTACCTATCCGCACCGTGATGCCAGAAGGAGGCATCAGCATATCACAGGAAGATGGAACGGCCTACCTGGTGGTGAACACAGAACCTGATGCTTCTCGTCTCTTCATCAAGGTACATTTCCAGTAGGAGCCCCAGGCCCATGTTTTAAAGCTAGATTCTGTGTTATTTGTGTGTGTGTGCTCAGATTGAGTTAGGAATCAGACTGCTGGCTAGTCTTCTCCTCGTGCCTAGGCATTTTCTTGACTGGATATGTGAGCAACCAACATGGCATGGAACATGGAACTGGCTCTCCATTTCATTTTGACTATATTAACAGGACAAGGGACACATGGGCATATTTGGAATTTGGGAGATATTTTTGTACGAGCAATACTGGACTGTTTCTATTGTGTGCTGAAAAAAGCAAATGTTTGTAACCAGAAAAAAATGTGGAAGTTCACTGGACTCAAAGTGGGGAGGTGTGAGGAAGAGAGAATTGTTTAATCCTTTGAACAAATGCTATTTTTCCAGAGATCTCTCCTCTATCCATAGCAGCATAGCAGGCTTCTGTTTGCTCCATGGGAGGAAGACAGATGCCTGTATATTTTTCCCCTGTGGCACAAACAGAAACTTGGGTGGTGGTGGTGATGGGAGGGATTCTTTAAGAAAGCTGCAGGGTAGAAAGAGATGACCACTGCTGCAATGGAATTGGCACCCCTTCCTCCAACATCGCTGCATTTAATTGGATCCTAATATCCTTTCTACACAAGGCTTTTATTGTGTGCATGCGGTCCTTCACTCCTGGTAGTTTGCCTTACATGATGTCACCCTCCTCCAGGGCTTCTCCCATGCTTTGCAGGTTTTCCCCTAACAAGAAACATTGGGTTTTACCTGGAAATGGCAACCTGCAAGTCTTGTGCATTTATGCAGTTACACTATACCACAACACCACCTAGAACATACAGGAAGGCAGGAAAAGATACTCTTGACTCCATGATATATGTAAAGGAATGTATCTGAATCCCACAAAGAATCCGGAAGCCAGTGCATCATAAAGTGACAGGTTAGAAGTCTCATGTGGAAGTGTCCCAGTTGTCCTGAACAAATCCCCTTCCTCTCCTGGGTTTACTGTTCACTGAGTCTGCGAAGGACTAAACACTACTTACGTTCCTTCCTTCCCCCCATTTCTATTTTGCACCATTATCTCTGACAAGAATCCTTTCTTCCAATGTCAGCAGCAGAGACTCTAGACCTGCAGCATCCAGTCTCATCCCTGCTTGTACCTACTTTAATTCCCTGCTGCTCTCATTCTATCACTCTCCATGTGGCCAGGTGAAAACAGCCATCCCAGGCCTGGAGGACTCCCGCCAGAGCTCCGCAAACTGGCAAGCAGATGCTTACCAAACGCCACAGGGATCTGGGAATTACCTCCTCCTCTCGGTGTCAGCTGCTGAACTCAAAGCTGGGGATACCCTGTCTGTGTACTTCAATCTGCAGAATAACAATCCAAGCACAGAACGCAAGATCCACTATTTTACTTACTTGGTAAGCACAGGAAGCAGAAGAAGTTGAATGGGGGAAGAGGTTCAGGAAATGGCCTGGCAGCCCAGGCTGCTCTAGCTGGGGGCAGATTCTGTGCTGGGTAAAGACAGGGACAAATCTAACAGGTTAGTCAATTAAGACAGTGGAAAGAGAACCAGATTTCAAGACAACCTGTTCAAAATAAAGAACCAATTCTATATATCATGTTCTTTTGAAAGGGGGGAATCTTCTGTTATCCCTAAAAGAAAAGGGGGATTTTTGATCTGACAGCTTCAGTCAGAGCAAAAAGAGAAAAAACTTTCCCCCAAAGCATTAAACTTCTCTGTGGTGACACAATGAAGTCTCAAAACAGTCAAAACTAAATGTTGCTGGTGCTCTGTCATTGTGTTGTAACTGGAATCTGAGATGCAAGTTCTCTGATCTCTCTTCTTACTTCTTCGATGAACTTTGTGAGGGTTGTTCACATAAGTGCCCCTCTGAGGAGATGAGGGAGTGAGGAAGGCTCTCTCGCCACCCAGCCCCACAGCCAGAGGGGCAGGATTGTGGTGCTTGAGATACAGGACAGGACGGCACCCACCCACCATGCTCTGGGCAGCACCAAGCTGAACTGGCAGCTGACCCTGGCTTCAGCAGTGGTGGCAGGCTGCACCCTTCACTGGGTCCACACGATGCACACCACTCTGCCTTCCAGCATCTTGGCACTTCTCCCCACTCTCCAGTGTCGAACAGCAGGGCCGGCTCTGTTCCTGCCCACAGGCAGCCATGCAGACCCACTCAGTTGTCATTATCCACCTGGCAACTTTAGTGCTAGAACGAAGGCAATATTCAACAGGCACAGTCTTTCCCTGACATGCGGAGGCACTGATGATGAAGGCTGTCTCTCTTGGATTTCTGTATATCCTGAGCCTTCAGTTAGGAAGAAGGTAGCCACAAGAGGGATGCTGTGGGGGGAAAGATCTGTATCACATCAGCAGAGGAAGCTACCCCTCTTCTACTGGCCTTGCTCCTATGTCTCTGAAAGGAACCTAGCAGGTGAAGCTTTCCTTACTGCTTGGCTGTGTGCCAGAAGAAGTTTGACCACCTAAGCATGTATGTGTTAAGCTGCTGTTAAGGACACAGGAACAAGATCAGAAAAAAGGGGGTAATGCCTGGCCCCTCTTCTCTCACTCCAAGACCTCAGGTTCTCGTCTTTACTGCATTCTTGTGAATGAGTACTTAGTGCTACTAAATCCATGTTGCAGAGCACTCCATAGCAGACCACGTGCTTCCTGTTCTCCTTGCAGATCCTGAACAAAGGAAAGGTCTTCAAAGCTGGGAGGCAGCCCAGGCAGATGGGACAAAATCCAGTGATAATGTCTCTTCCCATCACTCCGGAGCTCATCCCTTCTTTCCGGATTGTGGCTTACTACAAAGTAGGCTATGATGAAATTGTGGCAGATTCCATCTGGGTGGATGTCAAAGACACCTGTATGGGAACGGTAAGTCTGTCTTTGGTTCAGCCTGTAGAGCAAGGCAGCATTATCTGAAGGATAATCTCCTTCCATGAATATCTGTCTGCACCCTGAGATCAACTTCAGAGGCTTGGGTGAACGAGGTGAATTGGGTGGTTACTGAGGAAAAGGCCTTTTCAGTGTTGGCATTCAGAGGGGCTTACCTGGCACTCACATGGTGATGTTTTGTGCTCCAGGTGACCTTTTAAATTTCCAAATTTTTGGTTCTCCAGTTCTTGTGTGCCCTTCACTTGATGTTGTTAACAGCAAGGTGAGTGTTCTTGGCCACCTGCACTGGCAACCTTCTGCTCAGCACATTGCATGCAATCTGGTTGTTAAATCAGTATTAGCATGACCAGTAACATGGTGCACCCCCTTTTACCTCCAAAGCATACAGTATGGGTTTTGGCAAAAACAAGAGAAAGGAATCCAGGAAAAAAGGACAGCATGGGGAAAGTTTGATTAGTTTCAGAACATAAAGCAACAAATGGTTTAAAGTAACAATTGAGTGGCAAATGTCAGAGTCTAATTAGCACAGTCTGTCTGTGCTGGCATCAGGGATTCCTGCTTTCTTGGGGAATCCTACACCTGGCACTTGTGGAAAATCTCAGTGCATTCTCCTCTGGTGCTTGCACCAGGCTCTCACTTTCACAGCTGCTGTGCAGAAAACTAAAAGAGTACTAATCTGAAGAAAGTGCATTTTTCTCTGGTGGGGGGGACATTTTGGTACTTGAGGAATATTGCTTGGCCCCATGGATTCTCCAGAGTGGCATCCTCAGGGGTTCATCGTCCCCCCACCCTCAGGTGCTATTTAACATCTAGATGAAACTTCAGAATGTGGTCATCCAGAGCTGTGGAGCACAGTGTGATCAGTATGCACGTCTTCATCAAGTGAGGCTGTGGATGCGCTAAACTGGTGCACAGCTGTGACAATCGACAGGCTGAGGGCTAAGCTCAATCCAGACAAGACCAGAATACTGTTAGTGGATGGTTCTTCTGACTGGAGGGAGGGAATTCAACCTGTTCTGAATGGGATTATGCTTACCTTGAAGGGACAGGTATGTAGCTTGAAGGTTTACCTCCAAGTTGAGGTAAGCCTCAGTTGAAGCCCAGGTGATCTCCATGACATGGAGTGTCTTCTGCTAGCTTCATCTGCTAGCTGATTTCATTACTCCATGTTCTGACAGTCTCCAAATTGAATTACTGCAATGTACTCTACATGGGGCTACCTTTTGAGACTGTTCAGAAGTTTCAGCTTGTGCAAAATGTGGCAATCGGGTTAACAACTGGGACCAAGGATTTTGAGCATACAACAGCAATTCTGTCCTGCTTATTTCGGCTGTCTGTACCCACCAAGGAACTGGTTTTAACCTGTAAAGCCTTACATGGCTTGAGACAGCTATACCTGGTAGAGGCCTCTCTTGAGCCTCTCTTGATTGAAACTTACCGAGAGCCTCTCTTGATCAAAACTTACCAGGACAGTACAATCAGGGTTTGAAGGCTTCTTTGAGTTTCACTCCAAGGGAAGCTTATAGGGAGCACCAAGCAGGGATCCTTCCCTCTGGTGGCCTCCTAGATATGTAATGATCGCCCCACCCTTGAGGCCCACTGGGCACCAACACTGCAATCTTTTCAGCACCCCTTGAAGACTCCCATACATTGAAAGGGGTATGAGGAGGCATTTATGTCAATTAACTTTAATAGAGCTAATATTTTATTGTCATTGGTTCTGGCAGTTTAAATAGTTTTAAAGTTTTTATATTGACATTTTATTTTTATTTATTTACAACATTTTATACTGTGTTTATTATTTTATTATTTTGTATCTGTGGTTTGTAAATTTGTGAATTGTTGTGAATCACCAAGAAAGCTTCAGCTATTAGGTGATACAGAGATGATGATGATGATGATGATGATGATGATGATGGCAATAACGGTTTACATCCTCTAAAAGCTCAAGGTCACAGGGGCAACTGGACGAGACAACAAAGTACACCAGCCAAAAGAACGTGTGAATCTCAAACTAAGGGGTGATCCTGGAGCCAGAGTGGGCCTGGTTGCCGTTGATAAAGCTGTATATGTTTTAAATAAGAAGTCAAAACTCTCCCAAGCCAAGGTACGTTCAGAATGTGTGGATATCCCAAACCATAGCAAACTCTCTGTGATTTTTCTTCTTCTTCCTTCTCTCTTACTTTTTATAATCCAAAGACCAATAGGCTGGATCTTGCCCAATGGGGATTCTAGCAAGAGCCGCATTCCCTGAACATCATAAAATAGTAAGCGAGAGAAAAGGCAAAGCTCAGCTGTTTTCCTAAACCAGCGAATGTTCAAATATTTATTTTACAGCCAAACAGAAAGCCGACTTACAATATAACTGTAATTTCCCACCTTTTGTTAGGAAAGCAGTCAATGTGCAAAGTCTCCACTGGCATTCTGAAGTGGTTCCTGGGCTTGTAGCTGTGGGAAGGGCTAAAAATTTCAACAAGCAAAAAACTCAGAAACCATTTACAATTTTGTCTTACAAGGCTTGGAAATCAGATGAACTGCCCTCTCCGCCAAATTCTTAGGCTGACTACCAGCCCTGTCATAACAGTCTGGAGAAAACAATACTCTTGATTCAGTTGACTGTATTAAGTGGGCCTAAGTGTCAAAACAGTGATCAGAAGAAGGAATGACAATAAGACAGTTTGGGGTATGCATGAGCACCTCATCCCTGGATGACCAGAAGCAAATAACTTCTGTGCAAGACATCTTGCCTACCCCAGTCACTAGACCACATGATTCAAAGCAGTGCTGAAAGACTCCTTTTACAAGATCAAAGGGGACTGTACATGCTTTCTTAGTTGGCTGTTGCCACACATACACTCTGAATTTATTTATTTATTTATTTTCCAATTTATATCCTGCCTTTTTCCTACAAAGGGCTCAAGGCAGCTTACATCTCCTCCTCCATCTTATCCCCACAACAACAACCCTGTGAGGTAGGCTGGGCTGAGAGTCTGTGACTGGCCCAAAGTCACCCAGTTGGCTCCATGGCCGAGCAGGGACTCGAACCCGGATCGTCTGAGTCCCAGTCCCAGGCTCTTAACCACTACACCACACTGGCTCTTTGCATCCAATTGCATCCACCATCCTCTGCAACATTAGGTCATGGGCTCAGCTCTTGGAAAACATACTGCTCCTCTGATGCCTATATTGCTATGAGCCATCCCGAGGCTACGTAGCAAGGGGACGGCATATAAAAACTTTAAATAAATAAAAATGTTGTTGTGTGGTTCAGCAGCCCAGCTGTGTTCAGTTTAGGTTCTTACTCAGCTGTTGCAGAGTTTGGCAGTCACTGATTTTTTTATCTTCTCAGATTTGGAACACTGTGGAGAAGAAGGATATTGGTTGCACAGCTGGAGGTGGCTTGGATGTTGCTGGTGTCTTTGTGGATGCTGGGCTGGTAGTGCAGACCAGTTCTAGGTTTGAGACAGGTGAGATGAGCTGGGAAGGGTAAGATGACAGGTTGGGCAGCCTCAGCAACTGGCCAAAGACCAGTTAATCCTCTGATGGCATACTGTTGGAATGGAAAGTGTATTGGTTGATCCTAAGCCCAACCAGGTCAGACCCAAATGGAGAGTACAGGTCTGGCTCCCAGTTGCTTACTTGGAGATGCATCCCTACTAAGCCAACAGGGAAGAGAATAGGCACATGATGTCTGATGTCCAACCCTAACCCTAACTCTGAAAGAAATTTAGCCATTTGGTGCTTTTGTCCACCCTCTCCTTCTTCAGCCCTACTTCCCACAGAGCAATGCTGATGCATACTGGTCTCTCCACAGATCAGCCTTGCAGCTCCCAGCACCGCCGCCGCCGCCGCCGCTCAGTCATCATCTCAGAGAAGAAAGAAACCAAAGGTACATATCTGCTTCTACTTTTCACCAATATAACTTTCCTCTTGCCCACAGGGACTCAGGCAAATACTCAATCCTGCACTTTCAGTTGTTCCTAAAAAGCCTATTCAGCAGGATCATAGGAAGCAATCTGATGATCCTACCAGGTCAGGCCATCTGCCTGTCTGGCCCAGCACCATCCACTGCAACTGATAGGAGCTCCCCAGGTCTCAGCTGGAGCATGGCCCCTCACATGTGCTGCTTTTTAAGGGATGGGCAACTTACGGCCCTCTGGATGTTTGGCCACAACTCCCATCGTCTTTCACCATTGACTATGCTGACTAGGAAGCTGAAGAACAAAACATCTGGAGGGCCACAAATTGCTACACCTTTACTGTCTGATCATTTTCTTAAACTGGAGATGCTGTGGGTTGGATCTGAAACCTTCCATGTGCAACACATGCTCTCTACCACTGAGGAGATCTTAGGGGAAACAGGAATAATTCTTGTTTACCTACCTCTGCGTCACCTCTCTATACAGATCTCCTCTTTAGGTTTGCATGCCGGTGTTAGCACACATGGTTCCCTTTGCATATGTAGCATGACTCACATTCTCCTCCTCTTTTCTGAAGCCCAAGAATATCAGAATCAGTTCCACCGGAAATGCTGTCATGATGGAATGCAAGAAAACCGTATGGGCTATTCCTGTGATCGGCGAGCCAAATATATCTTGGAAGGTCAGACGTGTATTTCAGCCTTCCTTGACTGCTGCAAACACATCTTTGAGACATCTTTGACTGTGCAAAGTGAGCCCGTGTTCCATTCAACGACAGCTCCTCAAATATCTTTCGGTAAGTTGGTCATGTTTGAAAATAACCTTGTTTGCTGCTGCTGCTGCCTTTCTTACAAAGCAAGTGACACATGCCAGAAGGAGATGACCAGATTCATATGACATAAAAAACATTGATAGGTAACTAGCCATAGTCGGTTGTTGTGTTGTGCATCTAGTCTGCATCCTGCAGAGTGGTTTGTTTGGTGGTAACAATCCACCCTGACAACCCATGGCTTGCTGTAGTGTTCTTGGATCCATGATGGATTGTCATGTCATCTGAACCTGGCAGACTGATCTCTTTGTGGGTCCATGAAAGTGGCAAATAAGCAGCTTGGCAAGGATAGCAAAACCCCCTTGCTGTTTTTGCTGACTTCACCCCTGCTGTCCCCAGTGACCAATGCCCCACCAGAGGAGGTGAGGTTGGTCTTTTGGAAGTGTGTAGCTGCATACTTCCAACTATCCAAATTGTGAAGTCTTGTCTTGGCCATGTCCTGGTAAGATAATGCTGCCAAAGTGCAGGAGGCAACATTTGTGGACATTGGCAAAGCAAGAAGGAAAAGAGGTTAATGCGTTGCTTTGATTCTTACTGAACAGCTATCAGTGATGAGCTCTCCAGTGAAAAAGGAAGCTTTGAAGAGATATTTTCTTTGAAGGGATGGCAAGTAGACCTCCAGCATTGCAGCAATTGCTCTGTTTCTAACAGTTCTTGGTATCCTCCACCTTTCCCAGCTCTTCCAGAGCCACTAGGCTAGGGAGAGGGTAGAATTGCATTCTTCCTTTCCAGGAGTTCTTGCTTTTGACAGCTGTTGAATAAAAGGATTTTTAAAAGGGGTTTTGACAAGGCTAAACAGGGTTCTTCTTTTGTTGAGTCGTCACAAAGGCTGGCAGCTTCTGTCCTTGCTAAGGCCAAATCTGTAGCTAATGTAAGAAGTAACTTCCTCTCTCCTACTTTCCCCTGAGAACACTGACACAGATAAGCTCACACTGATTTTGACATTCCACAAATTGACAAGACAGAAGCTCTTCCTGACTCTTGTCATGATTTGGGCTGCGCCAGGACTCTATCTGATGGCCAAAATTTAAAATGTCCACTGTAGTAATAGCAGGATTAAGGTCCTTGACATGTGCAGGTGGGAGACCTGGGGGAACAACAAGGTGTTCCCTCCAAGGGCTGCCTCTGTAATACAGGTTTTCCAGCTACTTGCATCTTGCCTGACCCTTGCTGGATCCAGTTTCTTCCTTGCTTTGTATCCTGCCTTGCCAATATCCTGTCTTGCTGTCTCACCTCAGCAACACAGCTCTTCCTGTTTGCTGTACTGCGTCTCAGGCCCTGCATCTTGCCTGGCCCTCACTAGATCTTGTTCCTGCCTTGCCATCTTGCCTCAGCCACCCAGGTCTCCTCCTTGCTATTGCATGTTCCAGTGCCTGCATTCTGCCTGACCTTTGTCTGATTCAGTCCCTGCCTTGCTTTGAGTTTCCCTGCTTTGTCTTGTCCTGCCTTGTCTGACCCTGTCTTGCTGTCTTGCTACCTTACCTTGCTTGCCACACTTTTGTTGCTACTAAATCCCACCTGGTTATCCTGCCTCAAGGTACCTGCTCCTTGTTCTGTCATCTTACTGCTTCTTTGGCCTATGGCTTGTTCATAACATCGTCCTTGCCTTGAACAGCTACACACTCATGGTTCCTGACTCTGGCCTTTTGCTTGACTGTGGTTCTGCATCTAAATTTGCAATTCTGTTTAGACCTTGCCTTGGCTCCTGTTGCCCTGCTCCCATTGCCTCTGTTGTAGTACCTGTTAACCATATCCTGAACTCTGACAACTACTTCTAATGAGATTCTAGCTAAAAACCATAAGGTCTACAGCAACAATAAGGCTAGGCCCAACATTGGATAGCCATGAAGTCCCCATATTTCCCTCTCTAAAATCCCTGTTTGGCCCTGTTAAAACCTGTTTTAAAAGGAGATCTTGCTTTTGCCAACTGTCAAAAATAAGTGCTCCTGAACAGGAGACAGTTTGCTCTTTTGACCTTTCCTGAATGTCTTGAGTGGCAGGAAGGGGTGAAAAAGGTGGAAGTCACTGAGAACTATCAGGTTCACACTTGGAAACTAGACGATCTCCCTGTGGGCACATATTCTCCACCCCCTTTCCCATGCAAAGATTCTCTTGTGCTCTGACAGTTCACCATTTGACAACTGTCAAGGGAAAGCAAAATAATCAATTTAACCTGTTTGAAGCCTTGTTAAATCCAAAAAAGATAGATCCAAAAAAGTCATCATAAGACCTGGTGGGACATTGGATTGCCTATCCAGAGAAGATGTCATCAAGACCATGATTAATTTTCATGGATGGTACCTTCTGCACTTTGGAAGCTGTACCTTTCCAAAAAACTGACCAAAAAAAGAGAAAATATGTGCATACATTTTTGGTGCCTGAAAAGCAATGGTGAACCAGTGACAGCCTTCTCAATGTACCATTTGAGAACTTTGGATGAGCCCCTACTGGTTGTCCCTGTGGCAGATAGTAAACAACCCACACTGCATAGCTTATTTGCAGGGTAACTTTTCATGTCATGACAACATGCCAGATATCACCTTATCCTCCTCTAAGCACTACCCTGAGTTAATTATCTTATATTTTCTTGCACCACAGTGCTTTTGCATTTTGTCATTAAACATTTTAACAGATCCCTGATCCCTTATAGCAGAAGCAACAACAACAGAAGCAGCACTATGAAGATTAGCCATACCCAAAGAGCATTGTTTGATTTTCAAACTTTGTTCCTGGAGTCCCTTGTAAGCTTATCAGGCATTTTCAAAGTGAGCATCAATAGGGACTGAGTAGTTCCCTCACCACTACTCATCTTCACCTGAACTGTGCAGTCAGCAAAGACATCACATCCTCACTTTGTACCAGGCAGTGGTGAGAGCCAACAAGTTGGTATGAATCTTACTCCAGGCTGTAAAACATTTCCCAGATCTTCTGGAAAAATTCTGTACTGGAGGGTCTATGGCAGGCACCCAAGCAAAATCACTGTGAAAAGGTACCCTAAAGTTAGAAATTTGAACATCCCTTAGTTAAGGAAAGGTGAAGTGTAAAAAGAGCCAGTTCTTGCAACAGATGTGCAAAGCTCTTCTTGGCCATTGCATTAGATGGATGGTCTTGTAACTCTGTTTGTCTCTTCTCCCTACTGGAGAGAAGGATTACCAGTCAGAAGAAAGGGACATTTGTACAGGGAAAAAAGAGATGATGGCTGGCAAAATGGTTTTTGTCATAGCCATCATCTCTATCCTGGTAGTGCTCACTGAGGTAGCATAGCTGCATCAGGACTTAAAACTGCAGACTGTGGACACTATCCAATGGAACTGCTGTGCTCCTGCTGGTTATGTTTTGCCACTAAGACTGCTGGCTAGAGACATATGGAGTTGGCATATCTAAAAGTAACCCTGTAGATAACTGGAAGCCTTTGTTTCTGAAGCAGGAGAGGTCAAGTTCTCTTACCACCAGCTCCTCTGACCTGACCTGCCCTATTTCAGAATTGAGTGCTTCTATGCCTTTCAGTGTGCCTTCAGAACCACCAGCCCCTGCCCCCTTGCACTGTTAGTGGACCTGCTAGCACGCAGGCACTGCCCTGTAGTACGCTTCGGACTGTACGAGGTGGGGGCTCATAAAACGGAATGCATCGCCACAACAACCATTCCAATGCTTACACATAGAAAACTAGTGTGTCTGGGAGATGCTTTGAGCTTAGCTGAGCCTTCCCCAAGCTGGCACCCTTCAGATGTGTTGGGACCCCATCTCCTTTAATTCCCTGCCAGCATGGCCAATATCCAAGCCTAGCTTTCTTCCTGGCCTATTTGCTCCAAGTGCCAGAATCTTTTCTTTACAAGGAAGGATTCTATCATGTGAGCTGCAGCCTGAAGAGATATAGACAAAACCCAGGTGTGCTATTTCAGTGAGAACTAGGCCTCAGACCTGAGATAATGCCTGCTCCCTGAGCAGTGAAGCAAGCAGAGGCTTCTTTTGCTTAATCAGACCAGTAAGCTCCAGGGTGCTCACATTTTGGCCTTGACCAAAAGCAAGAACAGAAGGGCCTGTGTTGCCAATGTGTTTCATGCATCACAACCCAGCAACAGGCCTGCCCTCAACTAGGCTGTGTTCTTGTCTGTGACCAGTTGCCGTAAGCCAAAGCTTTCAAATAGAAGATCTGCAACTACATATGAAACCAATGGCACCCTTCCTGTCAAGTGATATCATTATTGGAGAAGTTGAGAGAATTAACTTGAGGGAAGTGGAGGAGGAGGAAGAAGAAGAGGATGATGATGACAGCTTTGAGCTACCGGAAGAGAAGATGAGGACCCACTTTGCTGAGAGCTGGCTATGGATGGAGGAAACCCTGCCACTGGAGGCAGATTTGGATGGGTATGAGCAAAGCTATCCATGTATTAGTGTGTTCTGTGACATTAAAAAAGATCCTGATTCTGATGAAGGAAACTCACATTATTCTTTATGGTTTCTGTGCATCACAAATATGGGCTCTTTGTGCATGTGTAGAGCAGTTTTCAGGAAGATTCTACAGCTGATTAATTAGTATTTGGCAGGAGCCCAGCACCCAACGCAGCGAGTGTGAGGGTGGGGCTCCAGCCGAGACCTCAGTTCTTCTTCGACCACCATTGTGAATGCATCGGGAAGTTCTTCTCCAACTTACCTCGTGAGTTATATGTAATAGCTCCTGCTGGTCAGGTTTTCTCTCTCTCTCTCCTTTCTATTACTCGAAGCAAAAGAAAAAGGTTACTTATATCCTATGGCCGTGACTGCTGAGGATTTCCATTGCACCTTTCTGGCCAGGCAATGGCCCTGAAAGCTGCTTTCTGCAACTGCATCGCATGCAGCAGCAAGCTCCTACCCACCAACGGCCACTCCCCTTGTTTGCTTTGCCTGGGAGAGTCCTGCCAAGCTTTTACAAAGCAGCCAAGGAAACACTGGGCTGACTGTTTAAAAGCAGAACTTTGAGCCATGCCTTACACACCAAAGACCCTCAGCTGTCCACTTCTGTGGCTTTGGCCCAAAACCCAGATGACTTGCCACCTCCCTCACTGGGAAAAATGCCCAAGGTGGCAAAACAAAAGAAGGCAGAAAAGTCGCTTACCCTTATTAAAGAGAAGGGAAGCACAAAAAACGCCCATACGGGCTCTGAGTTGTGTACTGGAGACACGGCACCACTCCAAAGCAAGGAGAACCCGGGACAATCCTACAGCCATTTCAACCTCCAAGGAGCACTTTCGTGTCCGAAGGAGAAATTCGGGAGTTGCCAGTTCAGCCTCCTCAATCGGCCCACCCTCTGGTACAGAGCCTCACCTCGCCTTCACCCTCAGTACCAAGTGTATTTCTCCAACCCAAGAGACAAAGAGCTAAACAATGCTCTCAATCTCCCCCAGCCCAGACTCCTCATAAAAAGCACTGATCTCCCCCAAGACGTCAAGGGAATTTCAGTTCCGAGTTTTTTGTAGATTTGTTGGCTCAAGACAAGGATCACATTGAAGCCCATTGGGCTTGGAACATGACCCCTTGCCAGATCCCAGCTCTCGCAGTGAATTCCAGCAACTGGCTCAAGACCTGCAAATTTTTTGTGGATCGCAGACAGGGGACCTCCATCCTCCTTGCTCAGCCATCATACTGATACAACCAAAGGTCTCTCTGAACAAGGACAATATACCTCGGTCTTGATGGCATCTTCTCCAGACAGGCAATCCAATGTCCCGCCAGGTCTTATGATGACTTTTTTGGATCTATCCCGACCTAAGAACACTGGATTCTTTGCATCCTAGATTCTCCGAATGGCTCATAGTCTAGGACAATCCTTGAGAGCCAAAGACCCAGTCTTTGAGGCTGTTTATGTGGTGTCTGCCGGAGTATTACCATTACGCTGCTCCCAACTCTGCTGGATGCGATCCAACACACATGGAGATCTCCGGCATCTGTGTCCCCACCTCTGCGCTGCCTCAAAAATGCATCTTGTTCAAGAAAAAGATGCTGAGTTACTATTTCAACACCCCTGGCCAAACTCTATCATTGTAGAGTCTGCCCAGTCACACTCCAGAAGGGAACATGCCACTCTGTCTGGCAGGCGCCTTGACACTATTGGTTGCTGCTTCTACTCCTCCTCAGCTCTGTCCATAAAAATGGCCAACTACGAAGCTACCATGGCCAGCTATCACCTCATGCTTTGGGACAGAATGGCATCCCTATGCTCCTTGCTACCTAAAGATGCCCAAGACTCACCTTGCCAGACAAGAGATCCTGACAGCACAACACCAAGCTGAGGGTGGTGCTCACAATATGTCAGGAGCAATAGGTCTCTGCTGCTTCACATGGCTTCGATCCTCCAGCTTGTCAGGGGAGGCCAAAGCACGAATAGAAGACATGCCATTCAACGGCACTGGCTTGTTCCATGAGACCCCTGATGACCAAATGGACTCGGTTCAGAAGGCCGGAAACACTGCATACCACATGGGGCTCAATCAGCCAACAGCCCATACGCCTCACGTAAGTTCACAGATCTTCCTACCAACCTAGAACCCCTGCCTTTACTACTACTAGACAGTGTACGGCCACTCAGCCTAGACACCAAGATCCCCTCTCACAAGTTTGATCTTCCTGAAGGTGCCCAGACGATTCCAGGAGGCAGCTGTGACTCCTTCAAACATCTTGCATTGGCTTTCCTATGTTCAACCACTGTCTCCAGCCCTTTCTCCACACTTGGGCTGCCATCACCTCAGTCTCATGGGTCCTTTCCATCATCGCCCATGGATACTGTATCGAGTTCCATACATTCCCTCTTTTTATGGTACCAAAACGAACAGCTCCATCACCACCTCTGCTACAGGAAATTTCCTCCCTGTTTCATAAAGGAGCCATTGAACTGGCACTATCAAAAAATCCTGGATTCTATTCCAGGTACTTCACAGTTCCAAAGAAGGATGGAGGCCTTCATCCTATCATGGACCTCCATTCTCTAAATAAGTATATTTGACCCAAACGTTTCAGGATGGTATCCCTTCAGGACATCCTTCCTCTACTCTCTGAAGGTGCACATTGATTGATTTAAAGGATGCCTATTTTCATATTACGATTGAGGAATCCTATAGACATTTCCTCTGCTTCCAGATAGACGATAAACATTTCCAATTTACCCTTCTCCTCTTTGGGCTAGCAACAGCACCCAGGGTACTTACCAAATGTATGTCAGTGGTCTGCACATTTCTGTGCCTCTGTGGTATTCATGTATATCCTTACCTCGATGACTGGCTTATTGAAGCTCCCTCACGTGAAGCTTCCATCAAGGTGACACAGCTAACTTGTTCCCTCCTTTCCAGTTTAGGACTCTACATTAATACAACTAAATCTCACCTTTCTCCTTCTCAGTCAATTGACTTCATTGAAGCCAGACTCAAGTCCGTACCAGCAAAAGCCTTCCTCTCCCGGGACAGACTCCATACCATGTCCAAAGTGGTCAGATCCCTGATCGACATCCCCTCACTGACTGCCAAATTGATCCAACACATTCAAGGACGTATGTCTGCTGCAACCTCAGTTGTTTCACTAGCATGTCTCTGCATGAGGCCTCTCCAACTCTGGTTCCTGGCGTCCTTCGATCCAATGATTGATGTCATACCACACTCTATCTTCCTCCGTGGGTCTGGAAATCGCTACATTGGTGGACAAAGAGTACCATTACAGCTATTGGAGTCCCTTTCTCCCCTTGGGAGCTTCAAGTGACTATTGTGACAGATGCCTCCCTCCTCGGTTGGGGCACCCATTGTGGACAGACCACCATCCAGTCCAGGAAAGCTGCCACCATATCAATTTCCTCGAGCTCCTGGGAATCAAGAAGGCTTTGGTTGCCTTCCAAAATCATATCCAAGATTGCCACATCAGAGTTCTTACAGACAATACTACTGTTGTGGCATACATAAACAAACAGGGCAGAACCAGGTCGAGCAGCCTAGCACACCTTGCCATAACCATTTGGCACTGGTACATAACCCAGTGGGCCACACTAACTGCCCTACATGTAGCTGGCACAACCAATTTTCTAGCAAACTTCTTGAACAGGATTTTTACCACATGCCATGGGTGGGAACTCCATCCTGTGGTCCTTCAAACCCTATGGGACCATTGGAGCATGGTCCAGATAGACTTGTTCACTACCAAACACAACACAGTATGTGCCCAGTTCTGCTCAAGAGCCAGTCTTGGCAGACACTCTCTAGGAGATGCCTTTTTCCTATCCTGGAACGGAATCTGTTTTATCTATTCTCCCCGCCCCCCTTCTCTAATTCCAAAGGTCCTAGCAAAGATTTCTCGAGATCGTACCAATGCGATCCTCATCACTCCTTAGTGACCCAGGCAACACTGGCTCCTCCTCCTGCTTGACCTTTCCAAACAAACGTTCTGGCATCTACCCTGCAGAGATGACCTTCTCTCTCGAGATCATGGTAGAACTCTCCATCCCAACCTATCGACACTCCATCTCATGGCATGGAGAATCTGTCAGACCTAGTCCCTCCTGACCTCAAGTTCATGCTAGACGCATCACTTAAACCGTCCACTCGCAAGTCATAAACTGGGAAATGGACAACCTGTGGGGCCTTCGTGGACCAGCATAATTTCTCTCCAGCCGCAGCTTCTCCAGTTCAAACTCTTTCAAGTTTGAACTCCTTATACAAAAGAGGTCTCTCCTATTCGTCAGTTAAGGTCTACATGGCTGCCATCTCGGCTCTCCACAACCCAATCAAAGGACGTTCAACTTTCTCACATCCCCTGATCCACAAATTTCTCAAGGGGATCCTGAATTTAACTCCTCTCAAACATCCACTTCCATCGTGGAGCCTGTCTGTCATCCTTCATGCACTTACCAAGTCTCCCTTTGAGCCTATGCATTCATGTGATCTTCGCCTCCTGTCATGGAAAACAGCTTTTCTCATGGCCATTACTCCTGCCCGTTGAGCAGCTGAACTGGTAGCCCTCCAGACTGACACTCCATATACGATCTTTCATAAAGACAAAGTCATCATCCAGCCTGATCCTACCTTCCTGCCTAAGGTAGTATCTTGCTTCCACATTAATGAGCTGGTAATTCTGTCCTCATTCTTCCAGAATCCGTCTACTTCTATAGAGACTGCTTTACATTCCCTCAACATTAGAAGGGCTCTTGTCTTTTATAAATCAAGAATCCAACCTCTCAGACAGACTGAAAGGCTGTTCATCCTTTATGGTGAGCCACGCAGAGGACACCCAATATCTCCTCAAAGACTCTCTAGGTGGATTGTCCATACCATAAGTCTGGCCTATGACCTCTCTAGCCTTTGGCTTTCTGGACCTGTCAAAGCTCACTTGACTAGAGCTATGTCCACCTCCACCACACTCTATGCTGAAGTGTCCCTGACTGATCTCTGTAAGGCAACGATATGATCAAATCTGTTGACCTTTGTTAGACACTGCTGCCTCGATGTCAAATCAAGAGAGGAGTGCACCTTCAGCAGATCCGTCCTCTCTGCTTTGCAGCACTGAGCAACACCACCCTCCACCTTGAGGTAAGCTCATCAGTTGCCCATATATGTGATGCACAGAGACCACAAAGAATAAAGACAGGTTTCCTTACCTGCAACTGTCATTCTTCGAGTGGTCACCTGTGCATTCACCCAATACCTCCTCAAAGACTCCTCAAAGACCCGCCATCCCCTCTGGTGTCTCTGGACACGTGGGTTATTCTGCATCAGTGACACAATGATGATGGTAGTCTCGGCTTGAACTGAGGTCTTGGCCAGAGCCCTACCCTCATACTAGCTGCACTGAGGGCCGGGCTCCCAACGAGTACTACGTAATCAGCTTTAGAATCTTCCCCAAAACCACTCCACGCATGCACAAAGAGCCCATATGTGTGAATGCACAGATGACCACTCAAAGAATGAGAGTTACAGGTAAGAAAACCTGTCTTTTTCTTACATGAACAAATTATGAGTTAAACAGATTAGCCCAAATAAACTTCTTGTGCATATATTCTTCTGCTCCTATGATTCACTTGTTCAAAATATTAATTACATTTGGGCATGAATCGAGGGGGAAGAAAGTGAACAGATATAGACTGTGCAGGTAGCAAGGGTCTGTGCAAACCAGCGAGGACTTCAGGAAATTAGCTAGAATCGTGTAACATGATAAAGCCCCATCCCCTACCCACACCCCCATCCCCATCCCCTACCCAGACTGGACTGAGCTTGAACGGTTACATAAAACCATCCAGGACCCCTATTTGTACCCCACATCACCTGGTCCACAAGGGTACCCCCTCTGGCCATCAACAGGGTGATGCTGCAGAGCAGTAAAGTTCACACCAGTGCTTAAGAGCTACCCTGGAGGAGTAGGGAGTGAGGGGCATGGGGTCTACTGCCAGACCTGAGCCCACTGACACCAAGCAATGTGCCTCTGTTAGTTAGCACTGACAGAACATCTAAACAGACAGCGCTGGGTGCAAGGAGTGCAGTCCAGAACGCATCCCAGAATGGATAACTGACTGCTTTCACACTTTGTTTTCTTGTGCAAAATGTTCTCCCTTATTAAAATGGAAGATGCTTTAGTGCAATTGCACAGAAATGTCTTGCTTTCCTCCTGGGTTCTATTCTTTGATAATCTAGCTGGAGTCCCCCAAACCTATCCTGGTGATTATGCCTTCTCCTGATTGTATGTTTCAACCTGTAGATGGAATGTTCCATCCCACAAAAGCATTCCTTTCAATAACGAACTAGCCCAGAACTCTCTCTCCCTCACCTGTGAATTCCCTGCTTGCAGGGAGTGAGTGTGTGTGTGTGTGTGTGTGTGTAAGAGTATCCTTAGGCAGGATAGCCCCATGCACCCCATTTCCTCAGGTGGGATCCTGTTATTTTAGAGAGCATCAGCTGTGGGAGGGAAGCAGCTGATCTGGTGTACTACTGCCATTTCCTCAGAAAGAAAGGTCAGATTACTGTGTGAGGAAGGGCACAGTGACCCTTGTCTCCAGGAGGCAATTGATGGAATCCCTACAGCAGTCCTCTACTACCTTTACCATCACCTGCTCTCATATTTTCAGGCTTTCTTCCAAAAATGTTCCTGTATACCTGAAGGACTCCATTACTACCTGGGAGGTGTTGGCCATCAGCCTCTCCCAGACAAAAGGTGAGAGGCACAAGGCATCTGCAAGTTTGGTGTTGACCAGGGTTCAGTTGACTGGTTAAGCACTTTAAGGAGAGACTGGCCTTTGGTGAAAAGGCCAACATTGGGCAAAGCTGGATTCCTAGACTCTCTTCGGTGCTGCCAAAGAAAGTGTTAAGAATTTCAGTAGATGCACTTGTCATTGCACAGGCAAGAAAAGCTGGGCCTACTGAAATTTCTTTTCTTCTGTACTCTGATTAACTCACCTTGTTTTGATTGTTTGTTTACTTGTTTGGTTTATTTGGTGGGTTTCTAAGCTGCCTTCCAAAATTATCTTCCAAAGGCAGCTTACAATATAAAATGTGCAATTCTAAGGTCTCAAAATCATAGAACAGTTTTTAAAAATGTAAGAGTGAACTTGTTAAAATAGGCCATATCAAAACAGCAAAAGATGAAAAAGAGGAGCAGCAGCAACAAACCTTTTTGTTAAAACCAAAGAAAAAATACATTTTTAAGCATTCTTAGTATTTATTTATTTATTTAGAATATTTGTATGCCATCCTTTCGCAGAGCCTCAGAACGGCTTACATAAATAAGAAAAGTAAAAGCAGATGGAAACAGACATCTCTTGGGAGGGAGTTCCATAGGGTAGGGACCACAACTGAGAAGCCTCTATCTCTAGTGGCAACCAGCCTTACACAACTTAATGACAGGCGAATAAGTAGGGCCTCTGACAATGATATTAACATATAGGCAGCTTCATAAGGGTCCTTCAGATATCCTGGACCCACACAGTTTAAGACTTTAGCAGGGTGGGCAACTTGTCTTCCGCTGGATATTTGGCCTACTAATCCCATCATCCCTCAGCATTGCTTGGGTTGATGAGGGCTGATGGCAGCTGTAGGCAAAAACATCTGGAGAGGTGCAAGTTGCCCCATCCTCCTTTAAAGTTCAAAAGTGGCACTTTGTACTGTGCTTGGAAAATACTGACAACCAGGGCAGCGAGTGCAACATTGGCATCATATGTGCACTCACCTGGATCAGCCACCTTCTACCCCAGCTGACCTCCTCAGAGCCATCTTCAAAGCTTCCCCACCTAGAACACATTACAGTAGATTGGATGCCATAAATCAATTTCTCCAAGACAGAATTGCAGTTGACATACCAACCAAAGCTAGTAAAGAGTACAGCATTCCTCCTACTGTCCCCCCGCCCTCGCTGTGTTCCCATAGATATCACCAAATCCAGAAGCAGATCTAAGGTGCAAACCCAGCCTTTGAAGGGCAGTGCAACCCCACCCAACACTAGCTGCATCTCCTGTTAATATCAGCAGGTACAACCCTCAGGTGAGCAGCTGGAATCAGAATCCTGACCATTTTTTAAAGCTTCCAGACAGATTACCCAAGCCAAGAGTTGCCTAGTGACCCAACAGCCATTTTACTTGTCTCTTTCTCATGATGGATTGCTAAAGCTCTGTATTTTCTTCCATTGAACCAATTAGGTATCTGCGTGGCTGACCCCTATGACATGATGGTGAAGAAAGGTTTCTTTATTGATCTACGTCTTCCCTACTCTGTTGTGCGCAATGAGCAGGTGGCTATCCGAGTTGTAATGTATAACTACGAAAGATGGAATCTCAATGTGAGTCCTTGCAGCTTGTCAGGGTAACTTGACCTTGCCGGGGAGTTAGTGATAGATGTAACAGTGCATTAGTTCCCACTTCTTTCCCAGGCATCCGTTCTGACTGACATCTGCCTGGTATCATCAGTTTCAAAGCAGTTGGCAGGCCACATAAAGGAATCTGGTGGCCATCAACTCAAAGTCACATGCACAGGAAACACAGAAGTTGACCTACATTACCCAACTCTAGTATGCTTATTAACAAAACTAATGCCTAGGTTTTCCTAAGTCTTTTAACTAGCTAACTCAACTAGGTATCCACTGGTTGGTTTCAGTGGAACTATTGTGGGCTTAATAGGTCAGCCATTGCCTCACACTGGCAAATGCAGAGCAGAAATGCAGAACCAGAAGTCCTGACTTCTTGTCAAATCTCGTTTTTGAATGAATTTCCTTCTGGCCAGCTTTGCTTGATGTAGCAGGTCTAGCTAGTGTTAGCAAACTCTACTCCCTAGGTCATGCTTTGGGGAGGTCCTGTGCCTCCTGCAAGGCCACCAAGAAAGACAAGAAGAGGTGTGTAAAAGACCATTTATTTGATCCAATAAATTTTGAATTAAAATCTTCCTCATGGTAAGCACTGTAAAACACAACACATCATATTCCACAAATACGTTGGCATGAATACAATGCTCCCTTGCAAGAGTAGAATATTCTTTTCCATGACTTCAGTGTATCAGGGTCTTTTGTGCAAAAGAAAAGCCTGAATCTTCAAATGATGAGTTGGGCTGGATAAATTTCTCCATTACGAATAAAATTTAGGTTGCAAATCCAGGTGTGATAACAACCCATGTAGAACTTGGAATTGGGCTGTTCAACATGTCTTCACGTAGGCTGAAATGTCAAGATGAGTTTGATGAATACCAGAAGTATAAGACTTGGCTTAACTTGGGTTTATTCTCAATCCATAATGCAATTTTACTATTTAAAAGACTTATTTCAAAGGTATTCTTACCCTCACATAAAAAGGTATTCTTATCCTCACTAATCTTCACTTAGGACAGCTTCTAGACAGAGGGCTTCTAGTTTATCATTCCAAAGGCATTGTGCAGCTATTCTGACTTTTTTCCTTCATAGAATATCCAAAATAAGAAGAAAGAGGGATTCTACAAAATTGTGAGAAAACATGGGAGGGATATATGTGGAAGATGATTCAATTAAGTTTAGGTTCAAGAGCAGTTTTGGGAGAGAATCAGGTTTGGTTGTTCTGATGGCTTGACCTTTTGAAAGTGGGGCAGGGAATCTTCAGCCCTGTTACTTCTTTATCTCCCAGCAACTTTTGATATCACCACTGCCCTCAGTATCCATGGATTGCCACCATGAGCTGGGAGTTAGGGGCACCCTTTTACAGTGGTTGAGCTCTTATTATGGGACAGGTTCCGGAGCAAAATATTGGGAGACTGAGCCTTGGCACCCTAGCTGTTGAAAAGCAGAGGGGCACAGGACATAATTTTTTCCTTGATGTTTTTAAATATAATGTGACATGTTAATATAATATTGTTAAATAATAGTATAATGAACATAGCATCACAGTGAAGTTACTGTGAGCGGCCATTTGGAGATTTGGGGTAAGAAATCTCCAGTTTGCTGATGACACCCAGCTCTATTTCTCTGTGACACCTGATTAGGGAGAGATCATGCATGTTATAGCTTTTGGTGGGGACTAATAACTTGGAGGTTCCCCCAGCTTTGTCACTGAAGATGCACGCAGAGGCTCGGAGTACCCCCTGCCACCATCAGCTGGTGTGCCAACCATACTCATCCCTGGATAGGGACAGACTAACCATGGTGATTGATGCACAACTGGACCAGTCCGTGGGACGGGATGATGGCACAGTAAGAGGATCCAGAAGTGCCCTTATAGCTTGTCGGAGAGAATGTTAGCAGATAAGTACCAGTGGAAGTTCCATTCACGGGGCTGCTTTCATTTTGTAGATCCGAATGGAACTGGTATACAATGAAAAAATCTGCAGTCCCAGTACTCAGTCAAAGAATTTCCGACAGCACTTTCTGATCAAAGCTGAAACCTCTCGAGATGCCACTTACGTCGTGATTCCTCTGGAGCTGGGAGAAGTAGAAATTGAAATGCAAGCCGTCATAAGGGGGCAGAGAGAAGGTGATGGAGTAAGGAAAAAGCTCCGGGTGGTGGTAAGTGACATTGCAAAAATAAAGATGGAGGACTATATCCTCAGCTAGAGTTGCTGAGTATGTTTATCAGGGTTGACACCATAAGATTTTAAACCAAACCATGTGCTCTAGTTAGGAACTGCTTCTTTTGCAGAAGTGTCAACAGGATGTATATTCACAGTGGAGCAAGCTAATGCCGTGTCATTTAGCAGGCCACATAGAGAAAAAGGAACAGAAAAAACAGAAAAATAAAGACTGATACATATGTATCTTGGGGGTAGGACTTTATATAGCTGAGAAAAATACACACACACACACGTACTTTATGTATGCCATAATTTCACGTTTCACAATTCATTTTAATGATATAACACCCCCCCACCCTCAACTTTCACAATTCAAATGGTTTCGTCATGTAGGTATCTTTTGATTCATGCCAGAATGCAGGGCCTGAATAATGGGTTTCAGTTACATGAAGCCAGAGTCCGGCTGGACATTCTGACAGTTGAAGTGGTAAAGGCAATGGAACCAGTCACCTGGGGAAGTTGTGGGCTCTCCCACACCAGAGACATTCAAGAGGCAGATGGACAGCCATCTGCCAAGGATGTCTAGCAGTGAGGATGGCCTTATAGGCCCCTTCCAGCTCTACTGTTCTATGATTCTAGGATTGCTTATTTTGTCAGGTTAAGTGCTAAATACAAGTGTGTTCCATCTTCAAATTATGTCAGATTCTAATAAGACCATCCTTTGCATCTTTACTTAGAAATAAGCACCACTATGTTGAATTAGACATAAGTTCATGTTAATCTATGGAGGAAAGCACCCTGTTATTATCAAGCACAAATGTTATTGATCACACAAATGATCAAATACAACACACCATTTCATGTCAGCTATGAAATATTGCCCAATGTTCATGCATCTTAAGTGTCAAATTGTTATATCTTTAAATCAAAAACAGAGGCAAAATATAAATATGACCCCTGCTCTACATCTTCTGCAGTGAAGACAGAGACACGTAATTCATTTTGCTTCTCAGCAAACTCCTTATCCTCCTCTATCACAACTTTAATTCTGTTGTCATCCAACAATCTCATTCACAGATTTCCTTCTGACCTATTTGAATAATTTGTGGTTGGTGCTGGTCTTACTACTTTTAATGATAAGCTCTTTATTTTTCTTTTCATCTCCTTTTGTTCCCTTTTTTGAGCAAGGATTCAGCTTTTGACGAAGAGTTTTCACTTTGCATAGCTTCACCTTGGTAGTATCCTGCTCTTACAGAATAGTAGCACACTTAGGTCACCTTAGACTCTGGACTTATGAGTCTAAAAGGGCCCCCTCTTATGGAACAATATCTCTTAATTTACATCAAATGGTGGTCTTGAGTGGTTAAGGGCATAATCCTATGCATGTTTAGATTAAAAAAAGCTCTGCAACTCCCAATAACCCTCGTGAGGCTTGCTGGGAGTCATAGGCCTTTTTCCTATCCACAGGCTTGCACCCCATGTGTTACATTATTTACTTCTAAGTGTGGCAAGCCACCTCTGCTGCACTGGGGAACTTTCCTGCTCATTCTATTGAATGGTAGCCTGGACCTCTGCCCCAAAGTCCTGCCCTGATTGCTCTATTGCTGCAAGGCTCTCTGTGCCTGCAAAAGAGTTCTTGAGGCTCACTTACCACCACATGCAAGCACAGCTGGTGCATTAAACAGTGTCATCTTAGAGTCAAAGACTCATTTTTATCCAAGATGGAGAAATGTGACAATGACGACAATTCTTCTTCTTCTAGCCTGAAGGGATGAAAATCTTCGAGACTGTCAAGACTGTCATTCTAGATCCATCAGGTCAAGGGTCAGGTATGATATTCTGAGGAGAGGGTAAGGGAATCTGTGTGGAACAGCATCCTGCCATCCAACTATTGCAGCATGGAAAGAAGAGCAGAATGGAAAGTACCTGAAAAAAACTGCAATGTGCCTGCTGGGGCTGGAGGAATGCTGAGGACAGGGGTGATCTGAAAAGCCCCTCTGTGTATCTCTTGTTCTCCCTGCAGCTTCTGCGGAGCAGCTGGTGGAAATTGCACCTGTAGACCTTGCCAAAGTAGTTCCCAACACTGAGCCAGTGAGACTCATCAGTGTGACAGGTGAAGACCATATCCAGGTGAAATCTGCCAGAGGGAGAGCAGCTTACAATTTGGAATCTGCTGGGTTATTGGGTGTGGGTGTCCCTTATCCATAGCCTTAAAATTGGGTGGTAAGTAAGGTTTCCATTTGGGAGATGCAAACAACCCTTCTCTGGCCCTTGATTTCAGTTCAGGGAACCAAAGCCAGGCAAAGACAATGAGGGCAAGGCCTTGCTCTCCAGTGGCTGGTAGACTGTAATACAGGAGGGTGCACAGAGGCTGGCCACCTCTGCCTGGAAAGGAGAGAAAGGATCACAACTCCTCACATTGCTGATGCAACAGGGAAGTGAACCAAAAGGGCCACAGGCTCTGGTCGGGTAGTGAGATGTGCCATACTAGCCTTTGTTAACCTAGATATATTAGGTTAAAACTTCCATCATCTCCAAGCAGATAACTTGGAATGATGGGAACTGTAGGTATACACCTGTGGAGGGTACAAGCCTGTGCTTTACTCTAGAAGAGTGGGGTTTTGGCTGAATAAGGTGATAATTTGTAAAAGGTTCATTATGCCACCACTCTCACTTCTAGGAGACATTGTGGGTGAGACAATAGAGAACTCCATTGATGGGGCCAACCTAAAGCACCTCATCCGGATCCCCTCTGGTTGTGGGGAACAGAACATGATCGGTCTAACCCCCACAGTGATTGCCACCCACTATCTGGACATTACTGAGCAGTGGCAGAGGATAGGGTTGAACCATCGTGAGGAGGCCATCAACATCATCAAAAAAGGTAAGACTACCATTGGGAACACTGGGCTACCCGATGAACATCTGATTAGCTCCTGGATAGCCATGGCCCCAAGGGACTGTGCCCAGACTGCCTTTGAGAGACATAAGTGAAACATGTAGGAGATCCCACTTCTAGGGTAGGGAGCAGCCTGCAGTCCCCAAGTGAAAAACCACATAGCAAGTTTGTAGGTGGCTAGAGCTGTGGGGATGCCTGTGGTCATTGCCCTGGCATGGCCAGGAGATTGGTGTCAGGAGTGAAATGGACACAGAGACCACTCCAACCCCATTTGTGTATTTAATCACGGTTCTTCAGGATTCCCAAATATCTAATTAACAACAAAATAAAGAGCAGTGGCAAACAAATTCAGTAATCTCAAAATGTTATTTCTGAAACCTGACTACCTGAAACCTGAGGACAAGGGAATGAAAACTATTATTGCTATTGTTGTTGTTCTTTCTTTGAGCCTCTTTGTGAGGTTGGTTAATGATTGTAAGCCGTCCTGAGATGCCATGCATAAGGAACGGCATACAAAAGTTTTAAATAAAATAAAATAAAAAGACCATGACAGAAAGGGCCCAAATTGGAACTGAAGTCTCACCTCCTGAATTTAAGAGCAGGTTCTCTTTCCCAGATCCTTCTGGGGCGGGTGGGTTCATATGGGAGAAGAATACCACTTGGGGTAAGTATAGAGCATAATAAGCCATAACGATGCATCTTTCTCTTTCCCTCTTCTCAGGATACACCCAGCAGCTAGCTTACCGGAAGAAGGACAATTCCTATGCAGCCTTCACATATCGGCCTTCAAGCACCTGGTAAACCATTGTGGGTGGAAGTGGCAATAGAAGGAGTGTATGTGTGTGTTGGGGAAATGCATTTGAGTACTGTTAGACCATAAAAATGCCTCCTGGCTATTCAAACCAAGACTGCCTAGTCCAGTATTCTGTTTGGAGCGGTAGCTCTCCAAAGACCCTAGAAGAAAAGCAACATGAAGGCAATGACTCTCCCCTGTTGTTTGTCCCCAGCAGAGAGCATGGAGCTGGGGTCTCCAGCATGGCACTCACAAGGCCAGGATGGAACACCATCAAAGCTGGGGTCCCCTTTAAAAATATTGTTTCCTTAAAAGAAATAAAATTTATAAAAGAAGAAAAATGTAAAAGATAAGAATGCCAAAGGATCTTATAAAAATATAACATGTAAATTCATAACCTGCAACTTCCAAAAAAAAATCAAAAATTTCTATCTTTCTATCATTCAGTACTTTGTTGAAGATTACAAAAAGATAATTGTGGCTCTCCAAACCAATAAGTTTTCCAATCATTTCAAGTCATTTATAGATTGTCAACAATATTTTTATGAGCTTCCTTTTGTTCCCTGTTAATTAAACTGCATGTAATAGAGCTTCCATTTATCATTGAAATTTAAATCATTAAATTCCCTTTTGTAAGTGAATAGAGCAATTCCAGGATTTGCTTGCACAAAGAGAGTGGGGAGTTCTCCTTGCCAAAAATGGGAAGTAGAATTAAATGGTACAAAATTAAACAGTTCCATCAATGAGTGGATGACAGAATGAAAGACAGACAATCAGAGAAACACAGATGGAATCAATTTAACAAAATCTATTCATCTCTAAAACCCAGGCCCACCCTGGGAGACTGATGTTTAGGGTTGTTCAGCTATACATCCCGTGCTGCTTGTCATTAGAGAAGATGCTTTGTTTCAAAGGCATTAGTTTCCTGGATGGGACTTTTCTTTCCTCAGAGATGGGAGTAGAATCATGCAGAATTCTGTGTGCCTCTGAAAACTGCACTCATACCATGTTTATCTGTCATAGCTTCTCCCAAAGCTTGCTGAAAATTTTAATTTAGTTAGAAATGCTGAGAATTTGCCATTAGAGAACATGCAACCCTCTCACAGAGGGTTATTTTAGATGTGGAAGTAACTGTTAAGCTAGTTTAAATCTGAGGCTTGTATGGATAGTAAGCCTTGTGTCTGGCAAAGCACCATTCTAGAGCTGCAACTGCATACAAACTTAACTTACTGGAAGATACAAAACTTCCCAGTAGGCAAGCATAGGATGATACTACCAGGCCGTTTTCACAAGTAACCGTTAGGACAATGGTTTGGTCTGGAATTGTGCATATTAATCCTGGATTTAAAAGAAGCAAGAGGAGGTTTTTTTAAAAAGTGTGGTGTGCATGCTTTTCAGTTTGGAAAGGTGTGGGTGATGCAAAAGCCAACTTCGATAACCCCTGTGAGGTTGGCCTTGTTCCAGTGAAAGTGTGGCAGATCTCTTGCTGACCCTGTGCCTCCCTCCTTTACTTCCCCAAGGTTAACGGCGTACGTGGTAAAGGTCTTTGCCATGGCTTCTGCTTTTATTTCTGTTGACCGCCAGGTCCTCTGTGGGGCAGTAAAATGGCTCATCTTGGAAAAACAGTACCCTGATGGTCGCTTCAAGGAAGATGCACCTGTGATTCATGGGGAGATGGTGGTAAGATGGCAAAGCTTCTGTGGGGACAGGGGCAGGCCTGTCTTACAGGGGCTCTCCAACATTCTGTTTGCTTTAGAAGGGTGCCATGTATCAAGGGATAAGACTTACTGCTCAGGATTACTAATTTTGGGGGCCCCATCATAGGCATTTGTTTTATTTATTTATTTATTTATTAAAAAAATTTTATGCTGCCCCATTCGCTGAAGCCTCGGGGCGGCTTACAACAATAAATTAAAACCACATAAATTAAAATATACACATTAGAATAATAATAATTTAATATATATATATGTATATATACACACACAATATAAAATAAGCCGCCCTGGCCAGATAAAATTCAATAGTATTAACTATTGTATTAACTAAGTATTAACTAAGAAATTAGTATTAACTAAGTATTAACTAAGAAAATAGTATTTTCTTGCTAATTCTTGCCACACTTCTCACCACTGCACACTGGAGAGAGAATGCTTGTACTTAGCTTGCAAACAGCACATTTGGTTTTTGCAAAGCACTTCCTGTAATGTCCCCTGAAGTTATTCAATATTGTGATAATATCCCCTGTCCTCTACCACCAGGCTCCTTCCTCCCTGCAAAGCAGCCGGGGGGCTCTCGAGTCATTGGCCATCTAATTGCCACGCTTCCAGGCAGGAGGCTGGGACAGAGGCACTGCCAGAATGATGTGTCCCTCCCAGCCCCCTCCCTAATTAACTAGCTGCAACAGCTGGCCATTTGCAGCCCATATCTTACCCATTTGGACACATTTTAGTCCAGGTGATTTCAAACTCATTCTTGATTTGCTTGCTAAGCATTCCTCCTGAAGATTGTCATTCTGAATTCAGTATGAAGTATGAATAGACATACAGAGGATCCATCCCATTCTCTGGCAAGTGGTCATGCATATGGCCACAAAGGGAAGGAGTTGGTTGGATCTGAGTGTGAGAAAGTGCACGTGCACGTGCAGAGCAACAACACAGCCCCATGCCCTAGACATTGGAAGGGTGTAATGACTGCCCTGCTGGTGTGGCTCTAATAGTCACCGCAGTCCCATGCAGTAGGCACCAGAACAGCCTTTCCCAACTTTCTGCCCTCCTGAAGTTTTGGACTTCCATTTCTGCCATTCCCCAACCAGCACGGCTTATGGTCAAGAATGCTGGGAGTCCAAAGCACCCAGGCCGGACTTGAATGGGGAAGACCGCTTTAAAAAAACTTAAGAACCTTCTTATTTGTTTGGGCCAGAGGCCCAGCTTCCTGTTTCCCACAGTGACCAGTCAGAGACTTCTGAGAAACTCACAGACATGGAAGCAACAGCCCTCCACTGCCTGTATTCAGTCTCTGACATTCTGAGACATTTTTCATGGATGGTCCTGGATGTTGCATTTACCTATCTTGACTGGCAGTCATTAATAGACATCTATGACCACCTTCTCCCTCTAGCCCTACAAACATGCTTTAAGTTCATTCCCCTTCTATGCCTCAGTCCTGACTTTTAGAAACACACCACTCATGCTTTTCATACAAAGGGTCCCGGGTTCAGTGTCCAGGAAGAGGATGGAAAGAATGCTGACTTGAAGAATAGAAAAATGTTGCCAGTTAGTATAGACAAAGCTGAAGAAGATGACCCCCCATGGCCTGATGGTCTGAGGCAGCTTCCTCTCTCTCTCTCATTCTCTCTCTCTCATTCTCTCTCTCTCTCTCTCTCTCTCTCTCTCTCTCTCTCTCTCTCTCTCTCTCTCACACACACACACACACACACACACACACACACACACACACACACCACTGCTGTATCCACTAAGAACCTCTCTGCTGGATCAGGTGAAATATTCTGTTTCCAGCAACTACCAGCCAAGCACTTGCAAAGGGTCATAAGCAGGGCATACATGACAGGAGACCTGGGAATGGTTCGCAGGATGATGGTGGGCATTGAATCACGACAACTCCCATTAGAATTGGGCATAACTCCTATCTTTTGTCTCCCCAGGGTGGCTACCAAGGTTCTGAGATGGCAGTGTCTCTGACAGCCTTTGTAGTAATTGCTCTGCAAGAAGCCAAAGGCATCTGCCAGAACCGTGTTACGGTGAGTGAAGTCACTGTCAGGATTGCTGATCCAGGAAAAGCCTGGTTTCCTACCTTTTCAAGGGGTTCTGTGCGAGGACCTCAGCTGCCAGCCTCATGGCTTGACTCTTTGCTTTCCCCCTCCTGCCTGATTCTCATATATGGGTCCCTCTGATTTGACCTTTTGCAGCAGTTGGACAGCAGCATCAGGAAGTCGGGAGACTACCTAACTCAAAAGCTGGACAGTCTTCAGAAAAGCTACACAGTTACCATCACCGCCTACGTACTGTCACTGCTGGGGAGGGAAGTACCTGTCACAAAACTGACTGCCCTTTCAGATGGTGAGTAAATTCCTGCCAAGGCAGGCAGTGGAGATCACACAAGCCTGCCTGAAGTCCTATGTCACTGCAAGCTGGGCTGCAAAACCCAACGCTGTGATCCTTTAAACCCCCTATACATCATACAAATCATACAAGCCAGTTTCCTAACCTAGGATTCACCCCTAATAATGTACTTTGTGGATGAGAAATCAATTTCAGTTCAATTTTGACCAGAGCTTATCCCATTTGGACCTCCTGGATCTGAGCACTGTGGATCCAAATGCAATCTGTGGTCTGAAGTCTTTGCATTTCTCAGTTTGTGCTGTGATTCATGAAACAAAAATTCATTTATAAGCTGCCTTTCTTCCTCTTGCAAAGAATCCAAAGCAGCTTACCCAAGGTTTTCCTCCTCTCTGTTTTCTCCTCACAATAACAACCCTATGAGGAAGGTTGGGCTGAGAGGCTGTGACTGGCGCAAAGTCACCCAGGGGGCTTTATGCCTGGTGGGGATTAGAACCCAGACCTAGAACTGAGATCTCTGGCAACCAAACCACATGGACTGTTAGTGTTATAAATGTGCATAGAATGTATGAATTTGAAAAATGTCCATAAGCACACTTTGTGATGTACACATTCAAAAATGCATAAAGTAAAATTGGGGTGGTCACGGGCAATGGACGTTACAGCGGTGGGGGCTTAATGTGTCCACGTAGAAGGAGGGACAGATGGCTGACACCCATGCCTTCTTCTGGTTCTGCCCCCAGCCAGAGGGTTCCAGGTAGTCTTGTCAACTGCCCCTCGGGTCTGACGGTGCTGCTGCTTAATGCCAGGTTGGTCCACAATAAATCTTCCCTCATCCATGACTTGATTGGGGATGAGGGGGCCAACCTGGCTTGCATAACGGACACCTGGGTGGGGGGGGGGTGTCGCCCTCTCTCAAATGTGCCCACCCGGGTATCTGGTTCAGCACCGTCCATGCCTGGAGGGGAGGGGAGTGGGGGTCGCTTTAGTTTACTGAGCTTCCATCTCCCTCACGGGACTTCCAGTCCCTTCGAGACCAGGGCTGGAGTACCTCTACTTGGTGTTGGGCGATTGAAACAGATTGGGGATTCTGTTGGTGTACCATGAACCCTTCTGCCCAACAGTCTCCCTGCCTGAGCTGACGGAGATCGTCTCGGACCTGGTGTTGAGGACCCCCAGGATGTTGGTCTTGGGGGACTTCAATCTCCATGCCGAGACTGGTCTGACCGGGGCGGCTCAGGACTTCATGGCCTCCATGACGTCCATGGGGCTGTCTCAACATGTCACAGGCCCGACCCATGAACGTGGACACACTCTGGACCTGGTTTTCTCGATGGGGCAGGACGAGGGTGGTCTGAGGGTGAGGAATTTATGTCTGACACCCCTGTCATGGTCAGATCACTTCCTTGTGAGGTTTGTGCTCGAGAGAGGCCTCTCCCTCTGTAAGGGTGTGGACCCAATTGTGTGGGTCCACCCCCGGAGCCGGATGGATCCGGACAGATTCCTGAAGGCCCTGGGGGAGTTTCCGGCTGACAAGACTGGTGCTCCTGTCAAGTCTCTGGTCGAACTGTGGAATGGGGAGATGACTAGGGCTGTTGACACGATCGCTCCTAAGTGTCCTGTCCCACCAGGCAGAGCCCACTCTTCCCCTTGGTATACATCTGAATTGCAGGCGATGAAGCAGGCCGGGAGACGGCTAGAGCGTAGTTGGAGGAGATCACGGGATGAATCTGACCGAACACACTTAAGAGCCCATTATCGGGCCTATGCTGTGGTGGTGAGGGCGGCGAAAAAGAAATTCTTCTCCGTTTCCATTGCCTCCTCAAAATGCCGTCCAGCAGAGCTTTTTTGAGTGGTACAAGGCCTGGTCCGTCCTGGCCCTGAGAAAGATCTGGTTCCACCCTCAAAGGCCCGCTGTGACGACTTTGCCAAGCATTTCAGGGAGAAAATCGCTCAGATTTGTCATGAGCTAGACTCTACTAGTGATTCAGAGGCTTCTGGGGAGATACCAATGTCGCCGTCTGGCCCAAAATTAATGGATGAATTTCAGTTATTGCGGCCTGATGATGTGGACAAAGTGCTTGGACGAGTACGTCCCACCACTTGCCTATTGGACCCTTGCCCATCTTGGTTAATCAACAACGCCAAGCACAGGACTGGGATCTGGATCTTGGAAGTGGTTAATGCTTCTCTGAGGGAGGATAGGGTACCTGCCCCTTTAAAGGAGGTGGTAGTCCAACCGGTCCTGAAGAAAGCGTCACTGGATCCAGGGATGGCCACTAATTATAGACCAGTGGCCAAGATCCTGTTTCTGGGCAAGGTGTTGGAGCAGGTGGTGGTGGGACAACTCCAAGCACTCTTGGATGAAACTGATTATCTGGACCCATTTCAGTCCAGCTTCAGACCCAGGTACGGTAGTGAATCTGCCTTGGTCGCCCTGTATGATGACCTGTGCAGGGAGAAGGACAGGGGGAGTGCATCCCTGTTGGTTCTTCTGGACCTCTCAGCGGCTTTCGATACCATCGACCATGGTATCCTTCTGGATAGGCTAGCGGGATTGGGAGTCGGAGGCACTGCTTTGCAGTGGTTCCACTCCTATCTCAATGGCCGATTCCAGAAGGTGGTGCTGGGGCACTATGGCTCTGCACCATGGCAGCTATGCCATGGAGTACCGCAGGGGTCCATTTTTTCCCCTTTGCTGTTTAACATCTACATGAAACCGCTGGGAGAGGTCATCAGGAGGTGTGGGCTGCGGAATCACCAGTACGCTGATGATACCCAGCTCTACCTCTCATTTTCCACCAGTGCAGGTGAGGCAGTGGCTGTGCTGAACCGGTGCCTGGCCGAGGTAATGGGCTGGATGAGGGCCAATAAACTGAAGCTCAATCCAGACAAGATGGAGGTCCTGTTGGTTGGTGTATCTGGCTTCAGGGAGAGTGAATTGAACCTAGTCCTGAATGGGGTTGCAATCCCTCTTAGGGACAAGGTCTGCAACTTGGGAGTGCTCCTCGACCCAGAGCTTTCACTGGAAGCTCAGGTAACAGCGGTGGTGAGGAGCACTTTCTTTCAGCTTCGGCTGATCCATCAGCTGCGCCCCTACCTGGAGTACAACTGCCTGGTGACAGTGACACACGCATTGGTGACTTCCCGACTTGACTTCTGTAACGCGCTCTATGTGGGGCTACCCTTGAAGACGTTCCGGATACTTCAATTGGTTCAAAATAGAGCTGCCATGTTGCTGATGGGGACTGGGCGTTATGTTCACATGACTCCAGTCCTCTGTCAGCTTCACTGGCTTCCCATTGAAGTCCAGGCCCAATTCAACCTTTTTATTCAAATGTTATTTTAATTGTTAATATCATTTATTCATTTTATTTTTTGGCCAGGGTGACTTAATTTATATTGTTAATTTATATTATTCTATTTTGAAGTTTATTTATGGTTGTGAGCCGCCCCGAGGCTTTGGCGAATAGGGTGGCATAGATGTCTCCTAAATAAATAAATAATAAATAAAAATTGATGTGTGCATTAGAAGAGATATGCATGAATTTTCATGCAGCACTATCAATGTAAAAAGTACTCTCTGATCTGCTCATAGGTTGGGCTGAGTTGCAGACTGGAAAGGGGAGGCTCTTAACAAGTGCAGGTTTGGCTGTTTCGCCCCCAGCCTGCTCCCTGAGACACCAGATAGGCCAAGGCAGTCTGGGCCCTGCCGCCCCCATGCTGAGTCTCAATGTGCAAAACGCCTGCTCCTTGTGTCCCATTGCTTTGCTATGCAGGAACCCACTGGCCTGACCCCAACTCCAAGCTGTACTCCATTGAGGCCACCTCTTATGGTCTGATGGCTCTGCTCCAGTTGAAGAAGTTTGATCTGGTCACCCCCATTGCCCACTGGCTAACAGAGCAGAGATTCTATGGAGGAGGCTATGGCTCTACCCAGGTAAGTGTATCTGGGGACCAAGGATTGAAAAGCAGGCAGTCTCAAATCCAGGGCTGTGTGTTCCACTGTGCCACTTTTCAACATGTACTCTTCATGTGTAGGATCTGCATTTCTCACTTAAGTTAGGAGGCATCTATGTGGGTTATACCCCCACCACCCAGGACAAAGCAGGGATCACATGACCAGCTGCCCCCCCAGTCCTATCTTGACTTCTCTACAATCAGTTCCATGCTTTCCTCCGGAGCAGAGCCTTCCTTTGTAGCTTTGTTACATACCTTGTAACCCTAACCTGGCCCGGCCCCCCAATTTCCAAGTAGACAAAAGACTGTAGACTTCTAACTACAATATTTAAAGGTGGCCAGCTAGGCTTGCTTTGTGATACAACCAATGCACTGCAGATAGGGATTTGGGAGGACTCTGTTTTGTGGGCAGGAATCCATTGGATTCCCTTCGCTTATCTCCTTGGATTCTGGCCCATTTTGTTACAACCCTGAGTCCAACTTGGCACCAAGCATGCCAGACATTCACATGGGTGCCTACCAAGACACAGGCCTGTGCAAATGCTGTGCCTGTGGCATCCCATAACTTCTGGGCTTCGTTTGTGCTGCACATGCTGCAGAGGAAGGTTGCCAGCATTTGCAAGCAGACACTGGCTTCCCCTTGGCTCAGCTCATTTCCCAATTCAGGGCTGAATGCAAGAAAAAAAGTCCCACAAGCAGAAATGAGTCATATTCGAGGGGATTGTCACAATTGCAGAAGACACCAGCAAAGTTAAAATAGAGCACTGAGAGAAACACAGCTCATGCTAAGAAGCTGATTCCAAACTGAATCCTGCTCCTCCCATCCCCACAAAAAGGTGTTTACAGGACCTTCAGGAACTGCCCTCTGATACAGGGAAGTTAATGCAATTTTTGCATCGAATGACTGTAGGACATTCAGGATGATTCCCACAGCTCCTGGCCAAGTGGTGGGTGGCACAGACTCTATGCAGTTGGTCTGCTGGTTTGATCTGAGGCCAGATGTTTAGGCTTATCACATTACTTCCCTTCCCTCTGGCTCTGGCTGTTTAAGAGTGGCTCCCCCAAATGCAAGGTGATCGGATTCTCCCCCACTGCTTGGCCTATCTCAGAGCAGGCTGGCCTTGGCGGTTCAGCTGAGAATTCCAACACCGCCTCCTCTTGCCATTCTGATTTAGATTCCGAAGTAATAACCTTGCAATGCTGTACTTTGGGAGAAGAGGTCCCAGTCCCTACAGTACACTTGTTGATCTCAAAATATTCATTAAGCTCAGATGCCATATATGTTATAAATTGTTATAGATTTGTGCACAAATGCCAGAAGATCTAATCGGGCTGAACAATTTGAGCATGGTGTAACATAGCAATTGTACCATATGGTGTCATACATTGAACTAGTGGAAGAAAAATCTAACTTTGATGCAGAGCTGCAGAAGTATAATTTATTTATTTAGGGGACTTCTATGCCGCCCCATTCGCCGAAGCCTCGGAGCGGCTCACAACCATAAATAAATAGAATCCAATAAAACAATATAAATTAACAATATAAATTAAGTCACCCTGGCCAAAGAATAAAATGAATAAATAATATTAACAATTAAAATAACATTTGAATAAAAAGGTCTTCGCCTGGCGCCGAAAAACAAATAATGACGGCGCCAGGCGGACCTCTCTGGGGAGTGCATTCCATAGATTGGGTGCCACCACAGAGAAAGCCCTCCTCCAAGTACTCACTCTCCTAATTTCCTTCACAGAGGGTTCCCGGAGAAGGGCCTCTCCCGCTGATCTCAAGGGGCGGGCGGGCATATATGGACATAAGTGCTCCTTCAAGTAACCAGGACTCAAGCCATTAAGGGCTTTATAGGTCATCACCAACACCTTGAATTGGGCCTGAACTTCAATGGGAAGCCAGTGAAGCTGATGGAGGACTGGAGTCATGTGAACATAATGCCCAGTCCCCGTCAGCAGACTGGCAGCTCTATTTTGAACCGATTGAAGTATCTGGACTGTCTTCAAGGGCAGCCCCACGTAGAGCGCGTTACAGAAGTCAAGTTGGGAAGTCACCAACGCGTGTGTCACTGTCGCCAGGCAGTCGTTCTCCAGGTAGGGGCACAGCTGATGGATCAGCCGAAGCTGAAAGAAAGTGCTCCTCGCTACCGCTGTCACCTAAGCTTCCAGTGAAAGCTCTGGGTCAAGGAGCACTCCCAAGCTGTGGACCTTGTCCCTAAGAGGGATTGCAACCCCATTCAGGACTAGGTTCAATTCACCTTCCCTGAAGCCCGATCCGCCGACCAACAGGACCTCCGTCTTGTCTGGATTGAGCTTCAGTTTATTGGCCCTCATCCAGCCTATTACCTCGGCCAGGCACCGGTTCAGCACAGCCTCCTGCACTGGTGGAGAATGAGAGGTAGAGCTGGGTATCATCAGCGTACTGGTGATTCCGCAGCCCACACCTCCTGATGACCTCTCCCAGCAGTTTCATGTAGACGTTAAACAGCAAAGGGGACAAAATGGATCCCTGCGGTACTCCATGGCATAGCTGCCATGGTGCAGAGCCATAGTCCCCCAGCACCACCTTCTGGAATCGGCCATTGAGATAGGAGCAGAACCACTGCAAAGCAGTTCCTCCAACCCTCAATCCTGCTAGCCTATCCAGAAGGATACCATGGTCGATGGTATTGAAAGCCACTGAGAGGTCCAGAAGAACCAACAGGGACACACTCCCCTTGTCCTTCTCCCTGCACAGGTCATCATACAGGGCGACCAAGGCAGATTCAGTACCGTACCCGGGTCTGAAGCTGGACTGAAATGGGTCCAGATAATCAGTTTCATCCAAGAGTGCTTGGAGTTGTCCCGCCACCACCCGCTCCAACACCTTGCCCAGATACGGGATGTTGCCACTGATCTATAATTAGTGGCCGTCTCTGGATCCAGTGATGCTTTCTTCAGGACCGGTCGGACTACCGCCTCCTTTAAAGGGGCAGGTACCCGACCCTCCCTCAGAGAAGCGTTAACTACTTCCAAGATCCAGGTCCCAATCCCGTGCTTGGCATTGCTAATTAACCAAGATGGGCAAGGGTCCAATAGGCAAGTGGTGGGACGTACTCGTCCAAGCACTTTGTCCACATCATCAGGTCGCAATAACTGAAATTCATCCATTAATTTTGGGCCAGATGGCAACATTGGTATCTCCCCAGAAGCCCCTGAATCACTAGTAGAGTCTAGCTCGTGACGAATCTGAGCGATTTTCTCCCTGAAATGCTTGGCAAAGTCGTCACAGCGGGCGTTCGAGGGTGGAACCAGATGTTTCTTAGGGCCAGGACGGACCAGCCCTTGTACCACCTGAAAAAGCTCCGCCTGGTGGGAGAGGATGCTTAGGAGCGATCGTGTCAACAGCCCTAGTCATCTCCCCATTCCACAGTTCAACCAGAGCCTCAACAGGAGCACCAGTCTTATCTGCCAGAAACTCCCCCAGGGCCTTCAGGAATCCATCCGGATCCATCCAGCTCTGGGGGCGGACCCACACAATTGGGTCCGCACCCTTACAGAGGGAGAGGCCTCTCTCGAGCACAAACTTCACGAGGACATGATCTGACCATGACAGGGGTGACAGACATAAATTCCTCACCCTCAGACCACCCTCGTCCTGCCCCGTCAAGAAAACCAGGTCCAGAGTGTGTCCACGTTCATGGGTCGGGCCTGTGACATGTTGAGACAGCCCCATGGCCATCCTGGAAGCCATGAAGTCCTGAGCCGCCCCGGTCAGACCAGTCTTGGCATGGAGATTGAAGTCCCCCAGGACCAACATCCTGGGGGTCCTCAACACCAGGTCCGAGACGATCTCTGTCAGCTCAGGCAGGGAGTCTGTTGGGCAGAAGGGTGTACGGTACACCAACAGAATCCCCAATCTGTCTCGGTCACCCAACACCAAGTAGAGGTACTCCAGCCCTGGTCTCGAAGGGACTGGAAGTCCCGTGAGGGAGATGGAGGCTTGATAAACCAAAGCGACCCCCCCTCCCCTCCAGGCATGGACAGTGCTGAACCAGATACCCAGGTGGGCACATTTGAGAGAGGGCAACATCCTGCCTTCAAATATGTAACGTATGTCATGAGCATTGATCAAACCTAACTCAGAAATGTAGTGCTTCAGCAATGAACGAATTACAGATATAAAGTTTGAAGGGGGATTGCTGCTCTCCAAAATGGGACAGAGAATCTACTTAAAATCTAAGCATCTATTATGAAATCATTACAACTAATAGCTGGCAAGTCATTAAGGCACTCATGAAAAATAGTAGATGGATCTAATAGACATTAACCATGGCAATTACTGCATTTGTGTATTAACAGAGAAGCAGCCTCAGTTGCCCAGTATAATGACCTATTCCAGGAGAGAGGGGAGTGTTGACCCTGTTGGTGCCCTCGGATCTCTGAGGGGGTTTGATATCATTGACTCTGCTTCCCTCCTGAGGCAACTCACTGAGCTGTGAGTGGGTGCACCACATTGCAGAGGTTTTGCTTGTACTTACAGGGTCATCTCCAGAAGGTGGTGCTTGAGGAATATTGTTCAACCCCATGGATTCTCCAGCATGGAGTTCCACAGGGGTCTGTTCTATCCCCTATATTATATAACATCCACATGCAGTGCTTTTTTTGTAAGAAAAATGGTGCTGGAACTCATGAAATTATTGACCTTTCACACGTAGTCAATCATTGTACACACACCCCCACACGTCAGTTGTGTAACAAAACATAACGGTCACTGCCCACAGTAAGCACTCAGCACACGACCACATGACCAATCACAAGCTGAGCAGCGCCATCACAACCAGCGCAGACGAAGTACACATGCATCGGACTCGACACACAAGCAGCCCGCATGCACCATTTTAATGCTTTTGCCGCCGACCTGCTACACTCGACAGGGCGATTCAAATCCACATGGACCAAGCATCAAACTTTCAAAAGTTACTTTTAAAACTTGGAAAATCTGTCGAAAAAAGGTACCAGAACTCCGTTCTGGTGCGTTCTATGACAAAAAAAGCACTGTCTACATAGGATTGCTGAGAGTGGCCACCCAAAATTTTAGGGTGTGTTGTCATCAGAATCTAATGACACACTTCTTCTTATCATTGTCTGCAAGTGAGGCTGTTGATTTACCAAACTGGTCCCTGTGACAATGGACTGGTTGAGGGCTAACAAACCAGAGCACAATTTTAGACAAGGCTGAGATGCTGCCAGTGGGTGGCAGTTGTTCAGCCTGTTCTGGATGGGCTTATATGTCCCAGTGAAGGAGCAGGTTTGCAATTTGGGGGTTCTCCTCAATCTGTCTTTGTCACTTGAGGCTCAGGTAGTCTGAGCGGCTCAGAGTGTCTTTTACCAGCTTCAACTGGTGGTGCAGCTATGCCCTTGTCTAGACAGGAATAGCCTGGTTTTGGCCATCCGCACTCTAGTGATCGCCATATTATAGATTACTGCAATGCACTCTATGTGGGGTTGCCAGATCAATAACTGGGACCCAAATATCTAACACTGCTTCTGGCCCACTTGTGTTGGCTGCCTGTATGCTTCTGGGCCCCAGTGCTTTGGGGCTTTGATCTATAAAGCCTTACATGGCTTGGGACCACAATCCTTGACAAAGCAGCTCTCCCAGCTGCACTCTCCCCAGATATTATGCTTAATAGCTGGGGCCTTCCTGCAATGCCAACTCCAAGAGAGGCTTGGAGAGTGGCAGCAAGGGGGAGGTCTTTCTATGTGGCAGCCTCCCATCTATGGAATGACCACCCCACTACAGCCCACCTGGCATCAACCTTGTCATCTTTTCTGTGCCAAGTTCAGATGGCCTTTTATGCCAAGCCTTTTACATATATACTTGAAGATCCCGGGATTTGAGGGGATTACCCATCTAAGGTGTTTTTCTTCTACAGAGTTATTCTTCACTGTATATTTTTAGCATATTTTAGTTTAAAATTATTTATGTTTTTATAAGATTTTATGGCATTTTATTGTATTTTGTTACCTTGTAACAACTAAAATAAGAAAATCATCTCTAGTTCAGATATTGCTTGTAACACTGATATTGGTACTTTTTATGTATAACTATGACTATGCCTTTAGCATTCTTAGAATCACTTCTAGCATAACCTTCTCCTAGTGAATTTTAGCAACCTCTGTCTTTATTTTCCACCAAAACATGCATTTTCTGTAAGAAAGCAACATCTGTTTTGAGCTTTTTTAAATCTAGAAACTATTTGGTTTTGTTTGGCGAAAGTACCCAAACCCCTAACATTCCAAGCAATAATGTTCAAGGACATAGTAATACACTATTCAAAACAGCCCAGGAGGGAATGCAGCAAAACCACTATGTATTTAAAACATTTATTTACAGCCACTATCTTACCCTTGGCACTCAATTTTCCATTCATGCAGAACTTTGTAAAAGTCTACAACATAAGAAATCAATATACTCTATGAATCTGAAGATAATCCCTGTTCCTTCTCTTACATTTCTAAAACATTCCAACTTCACAAAACAATGCATATACAAACAGTTCCAGCATTGTACGTATGATCAAAATAACCAGTACTGTAAATATGATGCTTATAAAAACCAATTGGTACTCTATAAAAGCACTTGGTTGATTCCATGCAGCCCAATAATTCACTATAAATTATGAAGAACATGATTTTCCAGCTCTTTAACTTTACACTGCTAAATAAGAACAGATCTCTGCAAAGCAGATAGCGTAGTTTAATAAATCCCAGATTTAGCTTTGTTGGCCTGTACTGAGTAACTAGTTCCTTTATAAGGGAGGGGGTTGTAGGATTGGCACATACATTTTACATTCTCCCCCAAGGAAGCAGGGGTATTTTAAAAGTTGCCTTGTAGCCTGGGGACTCTCCTCTGGGAGATCTAGGGGAAAATGTCCTGAGGCTGCTTTTAAAAGAGTGCCTGAGGCTGTGGCCCATGCACTTGGCATCTCATTGGCCTCCTCTTCATGACAGACTCCCTTGCTTGGGTGGAGGACCTCCTGAACAATAAAGATCCAGCTGGGGCCACTCCTGAGTGAGTCCTAAATGAAATGGTATAAGCCACACACCTTCAGAGCCACCATCTTTTATTCCTAAACTTAATTCCACCCTTCACTGCTCTCAGAATCTTTTTCTTCCTGTGCTTTCCCCCTAACCTGGCCACCCCTCTGAGGTGGTTTGGCAGAGGATAGATGTGTAGAGAGCCATTTGTGCAGTCTGTTGGACAGCAAAAACGTGGGGAGGAAATCCAGATTCCCTGTTTGCCTCGTGTCATCCAAAAGCCACAGGGAAGAAAGTTCCTAACTCCAGCTGGCATATGGATTGAGGCATGGGTCCTCAAACTACGTCCAGCCTTCCCTGGAGGGCTTGATCTATTTTTTTCCCTCTTGTGTATTATTTCATCATCTGCATGCCCCTCTTTTTTTCTCCTCTTGGTTTTCCTCCTGTACTTTACTGTGCCTCTTTTGGCTAAACTGCATGATGCTTGGTAATGAACAGAGTGGAGAGGAGGAGCTAGGATGGAGGGACTAGGCAAAAAGCTTGATTGCGTGATCCTTCCCTCATGCTGGGCAGTGGGGGACTAGCCCATGTAGACACCTCCATTCTTTGAACAGGAAGGAACTCTCACAGTGAGTATCCAGTGTTCTGTTTTCGGCAGGACTCAATTTCCTGAGACAGTCCTGCAAGAGTGACTCTCATGCTGTTTTGAGCCTCTCATTAAATGTCCTTCTAAGGCTGGAGGTTGGAGCAAGCAGGTAGTAATAACTGCAATGGAGGGGATAGTCTTAGGACCCAGTAAGTTCTTAGAGTCTACATCCATGAATAATCTATGTACAAGGTAAAAGAGGCCTTATTTTGACTTTTTTACTTTCCCACACCATCCCCATAGCATTCAGATGTCCTTAGCAGCCACTTACTCTTCCTCTCCAAATCAAACATTTCAATACATGGTTGTGGGCTGTGTGCAGAGTGCTTCAGTGTAAATGAACAGAACCAAATTTGCTCAAGTTGTTGCTTCAGTAAGTGAAGAAATAAAACAGGAAAGAAATGGAGGTAGGAACATACTCTTCTGCCCTAGGTTCACTCAGTACCATCATGAGTCCTGGGTTGGGTACAGAATCATTGTGATTTCAACTGGCCACTTTCTCCCCTGAATTCCAGAGGCTGCAGAGGAGATGGTTGGAGAACAGCCATCATGTGGGCAGGGTTGGAATTGTGAATTTCAGCAGCCCAAGAGAAAGACTGAGCTGTAAGCCAGGAAGCACCATTCACATTTCAGTGTGAAGTTACCAAATTTACAGTTCACAGACCAGAATGTTTGTGTTAGATGCCAACATCTGTACTTTTGCAAAGCTTTCATGCACCTCACAAATGAAAAGGATTGCATACAAAAATGCATACATTTGAAAAGATACATACAAAATGTGCATATTTTCAAGAACATGCATGAAAATATACACACCTTTCCTCAAGCAACTCAGTGACTAATATTTTGTAATCCAATATGGAAATAGGATGGAAATGGGGTGACAGTTGATAGATAAACCCACCCTCCACTCTTGCTTCTGCCATGAACGCACTAGGTTGCCTTAAGCAAGCTATGCTGTCTATTCCTCTGCCCTCAACCCCTTTCCAGTATGGATTAAACAATTCTGACCTGGAAAAATTATGAAGATAATTATTCAGATATCAGAAAGATGTCTCTTGCCTTTTGTTAAACTGCTTTTTTCCCTCCCCAGGCAACAATTATGGTGTTCCAGGCACTAGCTCAGTACCAGGTGGCCATGACAAAGAACAGGAAGAATGACTTCTTGGCTATTTCCCTTAAACTGCCAAATCGCAATACTTGGATTCAGTGGCGAATCAACTATGAGAATGCTATCATGACCCGGACTGAACAGGTAACTGCAGCTGGGACTACTGAGTGGCTCTGGAAAAAATTCTCCTCGCTGTACCATATTTTGGGCTTCTCAGACAGAAGTAAGGGTAGCTCAGCATCCCATGATACGAGAGTGTGTTTCCTGCTTCCAGAATGTCCCAGGCCCTCAAACACAGCCACAGAAACAGGAGCTTCTAGAGGAGAGAGTGGGGTGTAGGGCACACGTCCAGGGACATGGATCCCCACATGAAGCTGCCCCAGCCTGAGTCAGAACAGAGCTCCACCTTGCCCAGTGTTGTTTGCCTCGGCTGGCATGGGTTCTCCAGGGCCTCAGGGGGGCCTTCCACATGCAACGTGTGTGCTCTTGCAGGAGCCTACTCCCCTCCCACAATGCCACACATACTTCCCTAACAAGATATTCTTCTAATACCTGACTTTATATTATTTGCGTCTTTGTACTTCAGATTTTTCTAAGGACAACTTTTTGGGTTGTTGAAGCTTTCTGGATACTTCACAAAAATTAAAACCGCAAAATACAAGCAGAAGGGACAATAGTATAAAATAAAAGTAGAAAACAAAATAGAAGCTAGGAGCAATGCAAAAGTATACATTAAAGGTGCAACCCGCTGCCTCCCGACAGAGTCTGAGAGGCCATATGGTTCTTTGGAGTCTCAGCTCCGAGATCCTGTGATCTCAGAGCTGGAGTTCAAAGGCTGAAACGTCTCCCCTCTCCCTTGCTGCCAGTTGCTCCCAGGTTACAACTGGGCCTTGAAGTGAGGAAAGAGGCAGGCCAGAGGCGGGTAGTAGGCTGTGGCTGTGGACTTAGCAGACTTAGACTCCTGTGGGCTCCCCAGCCCACTGGCCTCCCCTTCCCTGGTGCTAAATCTAGATGGCCAAGAACAGACATCTAGAGAAAATGGAGGGTATTAGAAGTACATTTCTCTCCTGCCACTGGATGTTTGGAAGCCTCTGAGTCGGGCAGTAGGGATTGTCCCCTAACAGATTTATAGCAACAGAAACTGAAAGCCTAAAATACCTGGGAACATAGAGCTTACCCTGACACTTGAAAGAGCATAACCTATGTGCCAGGCAAGCTTCTCTGGAAGCTCATGCCACAACAGAAAAGGCGTTTTCCTAATAGCAATCCGCCTCACTTCCTCCCAGAGAAGAACCACTAAGCATCGCCTTTGGGTCCAGGCAGGTAGGAGTGTCGTGCTCCTAGGCCAGCAAGTGTCCAGGTTGAGGCTGAGATATTTTCAGGAATGACACAGAAAGAAATCAGGTCAGGGCAGAGTTCAGTCTACAAGATCTGTTGTACCAAGGGATTCCAGAAGAGAGTTTTAAATGTGTAGTCAAAGGTCTAGGAATCAGATAGGTCCCATAAAGTAAGGCAAAGCCCAGAACTGGCTTCATCTGGGCTAATATATAACTGGCTAATATGTAGGGGCAATATAATAGCACAGATGGCTGAGTCAGCTTGCTGCTTTCAAGAGGAAGCCCCACAGTGTGCCTTCCATTTGAATACCTGCTGCTTGCAGATAATCCTATTCTGTCCAGGAGGCTCTTATTCCTGCATTTGGAGAAGTTCAGGAATGGCCCTGGAAGCACCAGGTTGTTCTTGCAAATAATGAGCCTTCTTGTGTTCAATCCCAGGGCAGTACAACTTTTTGTACCTCGAGGGCTGCATAAGGACTTCGACACAGAACCCGGGGGCCACACAGTGAATTACATTTCCATGTAGTAAATTAAAGTATTCACAATATATTAATTCAATGTAATATACACAATTAATATATTTACTTAATCATTAAAAGAGGGAGAAAACCGATATGAGGTTTCAGGCTTGGCTTGAGAACTGCAGAGATCACAGGCAGCTCCACCTCCAACCACAGCCCAAGCACGACGACAGCTCCTCTGGGGTGGCCAGTCCCTTCCTTCCCTGTTTCTCTGAGCCCAAACCTCCCATGTGACCTCCCGGCCCCTCCTTCCTCCTTGGAATTGGCATGCTGAGCCTCTTGTACTTGAGCTGAGAATCATTCCCCAGCACGCCGTGCCCCAGTCCTGCCAATGAGCGCAAAGCTGCTTGGCTCGTGGACACCTTTGCACTCATCAGCTGCAGCAGCGTGGGGCGTGCTGCAGAGAGTCTGTCGCACTGGCAGCCCCATGCTCCTCGTCAGCAGGAGTGGGCAGGCCACACTGGTGCAGGCTCTCACAAGGCTGTCAGCCCAACCCACTCTCTTCCTGAGCCTCAGGAACAGAGCAGAATGGGCTGGCAGTGTCCTGAAAACTCACCACAGCCATGTCCATTGCAGACGGGGGCAGAGGGGCTCCAGGCAGCAAGAGAGGCACAGAACAGGGCCTTGGGGGCCACATGCAGCCTGCAGGCCATGTGTTGAACCACCCTGTTCAATCCTATCATAGCCAATAAAAGGAAGGGTTGGGGCAGCAGGCAGAGAAAGTGTTTGCCCTAGGCACAGGTGTGTAAGGGATTCAACATGGATGGGTTCAACATTGACATTTTTCAAACAGTCTTATGGTATTGTCTGAACTGAATGCTGTACCCTTAAGTTTGGCCTTTGGAAGTATGGAGCAGATTAATTTGAATAAATCTTAAAATAATAGTTTAAGTGATTTCAGTCTCAACACAAGAGATGGTTTTAATTATTGCATCTGCTACTTAAACAATAAGTAAATAACATCAGACTTTTGCATTTCTCTCTCACTTTTGCAGACAAAAGCCACAGATGGTTTCACTGTCTCTGTTACGGGAACTGGCAAAGGGACCCTATCAGTAAGTCTAGAAGGGGTGGAGCAAATCAAGTCTCACACACAAGCATGCTGTTCTCTGCAGCTGATGGAATGTGAACATGGCATTCCTCTGATGTCAGTCAGTGGAGGCAGGAGGCTCCAGTGTCAGTAGGGTGATGTATCCCCTCTGGGTCTCAACCTGAACTTTAAAGGAGTTGTCCATGCTGCTGCTCCTTAGGTGCATGGGCTAGGTTCAGCACCTTGGATAGACCCCTCAAATTGCATCCTGGAGTGGAGACACTGCTCCATTGGAGCAGACATTGGGACCACCAGCCTCCACTGGTGCCAACATTCTCATTCCAGGTAGTAACACAAAAGCTTGTTTTCCTACTTGTCCCATAATCGCTTAGTTAAGCTCTGCTGTGACTACCTTCTGCACTGTGTTGCATTCCTTCCTGTACAGGTCATGACAGTGTATTATGCCCCTTTGATAGAAGGGATGGCCCCTTGCAAGAAGTTTGATGTCACTGTCTCGGTGGAGGAGTCTTCTGTTGGTATGGCACTTGGATCACTGATTTTATGGGAGGGTGGAGGTTGTGATGACATATTAAGTCCAATGGTGTAAAGGACTCAGTTATACTCCATTTTGAGTAATCATCCTGGCCTATTATAGCTCAGTGTCAAGTTTAATCTATGCTTTGTATGCAGAAGGTTCCAACCTTCCAAGAAGGTTACCCCACTTGTATCTCCAAGGAGGGCTCTGGGAAAGGTTTCTCCTCAAGAAACCTTCAGAGAACTTCCATCAGAATAAACCACAGTTGGGTTGTGTGCAGGCAGCTAGAAGCAGAGGCAGCAAGTCAGGGTGGAGTCTGGAGTCCAGAGAAAACCAACAGGAGTGCAACCATTGTGTAATTAAAAAACACTGCAGCAGACACTGAGGCATGACAACACAGAGGACTAGCCAGGACAGAAGACAAGTTGCTAGTGGTACCTCTGTCCCAGCTTGAAATGCCTGCCGTTCTCTGTGCCACTTTGCATGGTTCTGGTAGCATGACATAATGCTCTGACTTGCTGGGCTCCTGGTGTGTGCTCTGAGAGAGCCTTCTAGCATCAGGGCTTGTACAACTATTTTGCCAGCATCTTGCTAAACCTGGGAGTGGTGCTGAGGAATCCACAGTGCTCCTGATCTGAAAGGGAATTCACTAGGAATGACCTTGTTCTGTAGGTGTTCCTGCATATGCTCTACAGAACATCTGAAATCTTGGTTTGTGTGGCATGAAGTTCGGTGGGCATCCACCAGGAACAGGGTCTGGATTGACCAATGAGCTGCTGCACTGGTTCTATTCAGACATGCAGGACAATTTTCAGACAGGATGTCTCTGCAGTGCTGGAGGATGTCTGTGTAATGCTGTCATGCTTGTACTATAGGGCTCTTCAAGAGTCCATCTTGTCCCCATGAGTCAACTATTTCCATCTTTCATTCCAGCCCAAAAGCCAGAGGGAGCCCTGGCTTCCCTGGACATCCAGATCTGCATGAGGTGAGTCAGGCTCAATCTCACAGATTTGCTTTCTTACCCTCAGGGTTGAGCTATCATACCTTAGCTGAGGCTGGAGACAGCAGTGGGTATGAGGAGTGGCAGAAAGCATGCTAGGGAAGGTAGCTGCTCTCCGAGGAGATGGGAGCACCCTCTCCTCCTTCCCACAATGGCTGAGACTGATCTGACCGGGGCAGCTCAGGACTTCATGGCCTCCATGGCGGCCATGGGGCTGTCTCAACATGTCTCTGGCCCGACCCATGAACATGGACACACTCTGGACCTGGTTTTCTCAACGGGGCAGGAAGAGGGTGACCTGAGGGTGAGGAATTTATGTCTGACTCCCCTGTCATGGTCAGATCACTTCCTCGTGAGGTTTGTGCTTGAGAGCGGCCTCTCCCTCTGTAAGGGTGCAGACCCGATTGTGTGGGTCCGCCCCTGGAGCCGGATAGATCCGGACGGATTCCTGAAGGCCCTGGAGGAGTTTCCGGGAGACAAGACTGGTGCTCCTATCAAGGCTCTGGTCGAACTATGGAATGGGGAGATGACTAGGGCTGTTGACACGATCGCTCCTAAGTGTCCTCTCCCGCCAGGCAGAGCCCACTCTTCCCCTTGGTATACATCTGAATTGCGGGCAATGAAGCAGGCCGGGAGACGTCTAGAGCGTAGATCCATCAGCTGTGGATCCATGTGCTATGATCCATCAGCTGTGCCCCTACCTGGAGAACAACTGCCTGGCGACAGTGACACACGCGTTGGTGACTTCCCAACTTGACTACTGTAACGCGTTCTATGTGGGGCTGCTCTTGAAGGCGGTCCGGATACTTCAATTGGTTCAAAATAGAGCTGCCAGGCTGCTGACGGGGACTGGGAGTTATGTTCACATGACTCCAGTTCTCTGTCAGCTTCACTGGCTTCCCATTGAAGTCCGGGCCCAATTCAAGGTGTTGGTGATGACCTATAAAGCCCTTAACGGCTTGGGTCCTGGTTACCTGAAGGAGCGCTTGCGTCCATATATGCCCGCCCGCCTGCCCCTTGAGATCAGCGGGAGAGGCCCTTCTCCGGGAACCCTCCGTGAAGGAAATTAGGAGGGTGAGTACTCGGAGGAGGGCTTTCTCTGCGGTGGTGCCCAATCTATGGAATGCGCTCCCCAGAGAGGTCTGCCTGGTGCCGTCGTTATTTGTTTTTCGGCGCCAGGTGAAGTCCTTTTATTCAAACGTTATTTTAATTGTTAATATTATTTATTTATTTTATTCTTTGGCCAGGGCAACTTAAATTTTACTGTTATACTGCTAAATTATATTGTTTTATATTATGTTATTTATTTATTATTGTGAGCCGCCCTGAGGCTTTGGCAAATGAGGCGGCATAGAAGTCCTCTAAATAGATAGATAGATAAATAGATAGATAGATAGATAGATAGATAGATAGATAGATAGAAAAAAAGAAAGAAAGAAAGAAAGAAAGAAAGAAAGAAAGAAAGAAAGAAAGAAAGAGGGTAGGACGTGCAAAGCGTCTGAGTCCCCTTTGCCCCTCCATCGAAGAAGCACCCTGCCTCTTTCCCCTCCAAAGCAGGTGCAGCACAGCTGACTCAGGACTTCTCTCTGCAAGGAGTTTAACTCGCTGCTGCATGCAGGCTGTGTCTTCTGTTTTCATTATAAAGAAAAACTGTACCTTTTGCACCTGACTTTTTTTGGGGATTCTATATCTTGCTCTTTCTGTATGTTCTGTATAGAACTAACCACAAGGCGGTGCTCTAGTATAACTGAAGTATAGTGGATTTTTTTTAAAGGTAATAATACCAGCTTTTCCTTGCTCTAAAAAACCCAGGAAAAAAGCTGGAAAACTCAGGTCAGACATTGGAGGCCCTTGACATCTTGAAAAGGCCCCACATAAGTGGGGGATCAAGAGTGCATAATGCATGCCTCGCATAGAGAAGCCCTTAGTCTTCATTGCTCCCTCTTGGAGGAGCGATGGGGGTTAGTCCAACCGTGCAGAAGAATCAACTCGAGCTTGGGCAAGGGAGCAAATGTCACCAGCTAGGTGTGGCCACACCTGTTGTTGCTTTGTGTCATTGTGTTGTCTCCAGCTTATGGCAACCCCATGAAAGAAAGCCCTGCAAAACGCCTTGTCTGTGACAGTCTCACTCAGCTCTTTGTGGTCACTCCTACCTGACATCATATGGCCTGTGGAAAGCTTGTGCGGGGATCCTCTTGCCACCCAAAGTAGTTCTGCAGCTGCCATGCATTGCCAGCATGTTGGAGTCAAGGACTTCTTTGTTGCACTGGTTTGCAAAAGGTGCAACTTCTTTGAGGGAATATGAGACCCATTTCCTATCTGAGCGCCATGTCTATTCCAGGAGATTCATTTGACATGCTCACATTTCCTTCATAGAAACTGTTTGCACCCAGGCAATCTTCCCAGGAGTGTCTACAAGTAAAATAATGCACCTAAGCTGCACCTGCCCAGCTTCTGACTTCCATGGGGTTATGAAAGACACAGGTCAAATGCTCGCAATGGAAAGCCATCCTACTCTTTTGACCTCATCAGATGAAGATTCTGTCACCCTTATTCAGTTGTTCTCCAGCAAACATACATATAAGCCATGGGGGCACAAGGATTATCATCCTGACCCAACAGCTGCATCAGTGATCCAGCATCAGCAGCTGTGATGTTGAGAAGGGTTACTCATTTGCCCCCTTTAATTTATGTTTCGCTGCACAATGCAAATACATTCATCTGACTTTTGAGAGCTTCTGTGTAGTCCTTCTTTTCTGGCCGATAACCATCTCTCTTGCCTGGCAGATTCCTGGGTGAAACTGATGCCACCATGACCATTGTCGATGTCTCCATGCTGACAGGATTCTCCCCAGATGTGGATGACTTACAAAAGGTGTGGCATGTCCAACCAGATCTACTTCTGCTTAGGATTAGTGGGTATACAGGTTTGCTACTGATTGCTCGCGGCAAAGGATTTGTACCAGTCCCTGCTATTGCTGAAGGGGAAAACAGTGTCGAGAGGAACAGGTGATTAAGGTGGTGATCTTTCCAAGCCAAATGACGAGAGGGGCTGAAGAGTAGGAGTGTCAGATCTGTGGCTCTCCAGGTATTGACTGACTACAGCTGCCATTATCCCAGTCAGCATAGCCAGTGGTAAGAGATTATGGGATTCATAGTCCAACTTCCAACAACATCTGGAGAGCCACAGGCCCTCTGCCCTTGCCTTAGACTGTGTCCAGACTAGCACATTTGGTGTTTTGTGACTTCGCATTTGTGCTTCAGGGCCCAATTTTCACATCTTTTTTCATCTTCCCATAATTAGTTTTTTTTTTCTATTCAAGCTTGTTAAGCAGCTGTTAATTCACTATCTCTCCATTTGGTTTCATCAGAGAATTCTATATTCTACTGAGCATGACTACTGAGCATAGTGTTTTCCTAGTATATTACCTCTAGGTGGCAGTGTATTACTATGGAGTAGTGTGCATGCACCAGAGGCAATCATGGCTGTTTCGTATTCACAATTAAATACCTGCTCTAAAGAATCCTCACTGAACATGTTGGTAAGACACAGAAACAAAACTGGAGAGTCACAGCAGCGTCTAAGGAACCAATGAACAACCATTAATAGAGAATGACATGTGCAGGATAAATGTTTTATGTACAAAACCCCTTAGAGTATAAAGCTGTCCACAGTTTCCTGAGAATTAGTGCCACTGAATTGACTGGGACTTACCTCTAAGTAGACACATATAAGATGTTATTGGTTTTGTTTTCTAATATAAAAATTTGCCCATCAACCATCTGTTTTGTATTGTTGTCCATATTTTATTGACATTGTATTTTAATATGTTGTAGTTGTTTTTTATTGTGTTTTACCGTGAGCTGCCCAGAGGTGCCATGGCACAATTGGGCAGCAAACAAATGTTTAAAATAAATAAATAAATTGCATCCTTAATACTTACAGTCAACCCGGTACAGCATGTGCCAGGGACTGTGCTCACGAAAGGGGCACAGTCAATTAGCTTGGCTCAGCAGCTTGAAACAGTTAACCTCACTCCTTCCTAAAGGAATGAATGGAGGACATTAGCATCATGAATGGGAGTGTGGCTGGAATGGTGTAAATTTGCCAGATAGAGAAAAAGATTCCGAAGATGAAAGGATAGATGAGGAATCAGAGATGGATAGGAAAAGAGATGAGTCTTCACCCTGTGGAATTCTAACTTGTGGTCTTTCTTTGAGGCCAGCTAACGAACTATGTTGACAAATACATATCCAAGTATGAAATGGATGAAGTCCTCTCTGATAAGGGTTCCCTCATCCTCTACCTGGACAAGGTATCACTTCTGTTTTTGCTTATCCTGTCTGTTCACCTATTAAAAAACTGTCAATATCTAATATCGGGGGGGGGGGGGGGGTTCAGCCCCCCCCCCCCAGAAACTTGTCCGCACTGGACAAGGGTGGGGAGGGGATCAGGGCTCTGGGACCAGGGTGCTAGAGGTACTGCAGGGACTGACAGGACTCCTACGAAGATGGGGGCAGTATCAGGGAAGATGGGAGGAAGGAGGAGGCCGAGGACTCCAAAGAAAGGAAGCTGTGGGAAGGAGTTGAGGTCCATGTACACCAATGCTAGGAGCATGGGTAATAAGCAGGAAGAGCTTGACACTCTCCTGAGAGTAGGAGGGTATGACCTGGTGGGGATCACAGAAACTTGGTGAGATGAAAGGCAAGACTGGAATGTAAACATAGAGGGGTATTACATGTTTAGAAAGAAGGGTGGGGAAGGGAAAAGGAAGGGAAAGGCCAGGAAGGGAAAGAAGGGTGGGGGCATAGCTTTATATGTCAGGGAAGGGATAGGATGCAGTGAGATAGAATGCAGCGCAGATGGGGATTCGGTAGAGGCAGTCTGGGGGAAACTAAGGGGTTTTGACAGGGAAATAGAGGGAGGGTTGTTCATGAAGAGGGTCTGAGAGGCAACAAGGAATTTTATCTGGCCAGGGCGGCTTATTTTATAATGTGAGTTTTAATTAAGATTATTTTATATGGATTTTAACTTGTTTTATCTATGTTGTAAGCCGCCCCGAGGCTTCGGCGAATGGGGCGGCATAAAAATGTTTTAATAAATAAATAAATAAAATAAAACAAGGGGGTGGGGGCATCCTTGACTTGGTCTTGACTAACAGGAAGGAACTGATAGATGAAGTACAGATTAGGGGAGCTCTGGATGCGAGTGATCACTCCATCCTTTGCTTTGAGATCAGGGGACTGGGGACGTGCAGCAGGTCGAGCACTAGAAGCTGGGACTTCAAGAGGGCCAACTGAAGGCAAGTCTGGGGAAAGTCTCCTGGGATAGGTTACTGGAAGGCAAGTGAGTTGAGGAGGGGTGGATGGCACTCAAAAGGGAGGTTCTGGAGGCGCAAGCCTTGACGATACCTCTAGTTAGTGAGGTGGGGAGGTGGAGGAGAGTGCCGCCATGGATGCGAAAGGAGGTGGTTAGAGGGATTAGATGCAAGAGGAACCTCCATAGGAAACGGGTACTGTGGCAAATAGAGAAAAGGGTATACCAGGGGGGAGGAGGCCCATTGCAAATGGATTCTTCCCAAGGCTAAGGCTGATTACAAACTGAGACTTGCCAAGAATATCAAGAGCAACAAAAGGGGCTTCTTTCAGCATATAAATAGGAAGAGGAAGGGGAGACAAATAGTGGGACCACTAAATAAGGAGGGAGGAGATCCAGTGACTGATAAGAGGGAACAGGCACAGATGCTAAATGACCATTTTGCCTCTGAGTTCTCCCCAAAGCAGGGCAGGGGAGATCCGCATGGGAGACTGGATGAGGCCGGGGACTTAGGAGCAGAGATTAGAACCACCCCCTAGAAGTCGAGGGGCTCCTCAGGGCACTGGACATTACAAAGGCGCTGGGCCCTGACGGGGTATACCCAAGACGACTTTGAGAGTTGGCAGGGGTTCTCTCATGCCTGCTGGCCTCCATTTGTGAGGCCTCATGGAGCAGGGGGGAAGTTCCAGAGGACTGGAGGGTGGCATCAGTGGTCCTAATTTTCAAAAAGGGTAGTAGAAGGGACATGGGGAATTACAGACCAGTTAGCCTTACATCCATTGTCGGAAAAACAATGGAAAGGATCATAATAGCAAGAGATCTAGTGATGCCGGATAGGAAAGGGAGGCTAGTGGCCACACAACACAGCTTCCACAATGACAGGTCCTTCCAGACAAATCTTGTGGAAATCTATGGCAAGGTTTCCAGGTGGCTAAATGGAGGGGATGCAGTGGATGTGGTTTGCATGGATTTCAGCAAGGCCTTTGACAAAGTGCCCCATGATATCCTGGTGGAGAAACTGAGGAGTTTTGGGATAGACCAATACACTGTCCAATGGATTAGGGCAGGGTTCCTAAAACTTTTTAAACACTGTTTACTGTTCACTGTCCCTCAGACTGTCCCTCAGACTGTTGGGGGACTGGACTATAGTCTGAAAAATTAAAATTAAAATAAATTAAAAATTAATTAAAATTTTAAAAATTAATTAGAAATTTAAAATGTTTGCTCTGCTCACTTGGGCTGCAGCAGAAGCCTAAGATGATGCCACACCACACGTTTAAAGGGAGAACATGACACGAGGGGGTGCCATGAGGGCGCGCTCACCTTGGTTGAGGCCTTCCTGGTTCCTCACTGCTGCCCTGCTTCCAAGCTAGAGGAAGGTCCCCTCTCAGGCACTCCCCCAGCCCTGGGAGGGGGAGCGGGAGGCTGGAGAGGAGAGCACAGGGTGGCTCCCCCAGCTGGGAGAGGGCCACAAGGAGGAACATAAGGGCTGCTTTTGGCACAGGGCAGTGGCTGGGCATACAGGATGCCTCCTGCTTCTCCCCGCTCTTGGCGAGGTGGCAGCAGCTCACATAATTAAAAAAAGATTTATCTTACCTTCAATTCTTTTTTAGTGTCTTCGTCTCTCTCTCCCTTCTGCCCTGTTTCCCACTCCGTATTCCCACTCTGTATATGCATGTAATTGAGAGGTGCGGGGAGAGCTGGCGGATGCACAGTTGAGCTTTAAGAATTAGGTGCATGTGCCAGCTCTCTGCTCAGTTTCAAAGAACTCCTGCACCAGCTCAGAACTTTTGGACTCACTTGAAGATTGTTTTCTCCAAGTGACTCCAAAAGTTCTGCGGCAGGCCAGATAAATGAGCATGGCGGGCTGTATCCAGCCTGCGGGCCGTAGTTTGAGGACCCCTGGATTAGGGCATGGTTGACTGACTGAAAGCAGAGGGTAACCATGAGTGGGGAATCATCAGGATAGCCGCCAGTGACAAGCAGGGTTCCCCTGGGCTCTGTGCTGGGGCTGATCCTGTTTAATCTTTTCATCAATGACATGGAAGAAGGGGTGAACAGTCTGCTGATCAAATTCGCAGACAATACTAAAACCAGGGCAGTGGCCACAACTGAGCAGCAGGTACTCCAGATCCAAAAGGATCTGGACAGACTGTGGAAGTGGGCAGGAGACAACAGGATGATGTTCAATGTGGATAAGTGCAAGGTCTTGCACTTGGGGCATAGGAAAGGGTGTCATAAGAACAGGTTAGGGGACAAGTGGCTGGAGAGCAGCACTTGTGGAAGGGACCTCAGGGTGCTGGTGACTGCAGGCTAAACATGAGTAAGCAGTGTGATGCGGTGGTCAAGAGGGCGAACGCCACCCTTGGTTGCACAGCCAGAAGCGTGGCTTCTAGATCAAGAGAGGTATTACTACCACTCTATACAACTCTGGTGCGCCCGTAAGTGGAGTATTGTGTTCAGTTTTGGGCCCCTCATTACAGGACGGACATAGCCAGGTTAGAGTCAGTGCAGCATAGAGCCACAAGGTTGGTGGCCGGTTTGCAGGGGAAGCCGTATGAGGCGAGACTGAGGGAACTGGGTCTTTTTGGCCTGGAGAAGAGGAGACTCAGAGGGGATCTGTTGATGACATACAGGCATATAAGGGGGTGTCACACAGAGGTGGGTAAAGATCTGTTCTCCCCTGCAGAGGAGGGCAGGACACACTCCAGTGGAGCAAAGCTCAGGGAACCAAGGTCCAATTTAGATGCCAGGAAGTACTTTAGTTAGGACCCCGAGGGTATGGAATGGGCTTCCATGGGAGGTGGTTGAGGCCCCATTGGTGAGTGTGTTCAAGGATAGGCTAGACATGCACATGGTGGGCTAGAGCCTAGGGTCAGACTAGATGGCCCGGGAGACCCCTTCTGACTCACTCTGTTTCTATGTTTCTAATACAAACTAACATATAAGCATTATGTATTAGGGCAACTGGAGTATGTGAGCTGGTTGTGGCTATTGAATAATACTTTAGGAAAACAAGAAAGCATTTTCTGATTGGTTATAGAAGAAGAAATAGATTTAAATTATAGGAAAACTGGTTTAAATTAAACATTTGGAACTTACTAACTGTATGAAAAGAATTAGCTGTGTAGGAAAGTATCACTGGCCTCTCTTTCCTGGAAAACTGTTAAGGATATCATTTCCCTTTAGTTTTCATTGTTCAGTCTTTAACTCACAGGTGGGAAATGCATGTTAAGACTCTAAAGGATAACTTGAGTAAACAAGTCTTTTGAAGCTTGATTTGAGATGCTTTTATTGTGAAAACGTTGGGATCTATCAGCTCACTGAGGACGAGATTCTGGTTCTGGAGCTCAGGCAGAGGAAACAAAAGAAACCATCTACTGGGGTAGATGGTAGATCCAGGAGCCCCAAAGAGAGGGAATAAGCAGAAACTGCTCCACCACTCACCATTTTTCCCCTCTGAATCTTTACATTCTCCAGGTGTCCAACCAAGAGGATGAGTGCCTAAAATTCAGAGTTCACCAGTACTTTGAAGTAGGTCTGATCCAACCAGGAACAGTGACTGTGTATGAGTACTATTCATTGGGTGAGGACCTGGAATTTAAGGTTTGAATCTATTCCAAAACTGCTGTGTATCAATGTGGAATATGAGAATGGAATTCCAGCTGTGATGAACAGCTTGGTAGGAACAAAAAGTTGTTGTTGTTGTTACTACATTGCATTTATAGCCTGCCTTTCCCCCCACTCATACAAGGAACCCAAGGAACATAGTTTTCCTCTACTCCATTCCTATCATCATAACAATAGCCCTGCGAAGTAGGTTAGGTGGAGAGTCCATGACTGGCCCAAATTCACCCAGTGAATTCATGGCTGAGTGGGGCCGGAACCCATATCTCCCAAGTCCCCAGACACATAGAGATATGCCTACTCTCAACATCCATGCTCATTTTTTTGTAATTTCTGAGAACAAAACTGGATCTGACGCTAATTTTGTGGATGCAATTAAGATGCCACAAGGGAGCCTGAATAGCGTCAGGGCCATTGTGAAGGTGGTGGTGGCGGGGAGGGCAGCTTTTCCTCTCTTGGGCCTGGTTTGCATGATTACCACCACCCTAGTGGGTGCAGCTATCACATGCAGTGGCTCTCCGTGACCTGTTGTTCACCTAACCCCCCTCCCGCCCCCGCCGCACCTTGGCTGAAATTCCTCGTGAGACTATTTGTTATGGCCGAGCAGGATGTCAGCAGAGGCAGACGATCATTTCCTGCCTGCAGACCCGGTGAGGGTGGTTGTTGGGATGGAAACCGTGGCTGCTGCTGTTCTTGCATTTATGGCCTGCCTTTTTCCCCTCTTGTAAGGAACCCAAGGTGGCTTACATGGCTCCAAGGTTCCAGTGAAGGCTTCCTTTCAATGTAAATCGCAGCTTCAGAGAAATTACTTTTGTTGGGATCATAGCAGAGAAAGGGGTGGTGGGGAGACAGACTCTTGTCTGTACTACCTGGGCTTCTCTTTTAGATGGGATGTCAAATGCATTCACATGCGGAAGCCATGCCTTGTTGTTCTGAGCAAAGCATAGACCCTTCACCTCCCACATTCTGTAGGGGCAGAGAATGGTATCTGTGGTCAGTCACCTTGAACCAGGTGTGCCTGTCACAGGGTGGTTAAGGAATCACCGTGGCGTGTTCGTGTGGGTGCGTGTGCCTGTGTGCCAGCTTATTTGCACAGCTATCCTTGCTGGGTGTGGCTTCTCATGTCATCTGAACCTGCTGAGGTTGGCTTGTTAGGGTAGTTAGCAAACTGCCCGCACCCCCTGCCCCGTTGTCACCCCAACAAACCACCCTGGGCAGGGCCAGATGAGGCAATAAGGCCTAAGAGCAAGGGTTTGAATTGGTAACCAGCAGCCAGGGAACAATAATCCCATATGATTATTAAGCCTTTGTGGGGTCTGCTGCTGGTCTGTTGCTTTGCAACAATTATTCTTAACTTTCTCCTCCCATGCATTCCAGAAAACCGCTGCACAAAATTCTACCATCCCACCAGGGACGGAGCACTCCTGCGCACGCTGTGTCAGGAAGACACCTGCCGCTGCATGGAAGGTAAGCAGCCGGCACGGCAACATTCTCTCTCTTGCAGGTGTTGATTCCTGCAGCAGTCACCTGGGTTACCCTGTAGGGCACAGGCAGACTGAGGCGGCTGCTCGGGTAGTGGGCTTGAGGTGCCACGGAAAGGGAGATGGGCAGGTGCGAATCCTGCAGGACATGCTGCCGGCCTGTGTGAGCACCACTGAAATGAGCAGGAACCACACAAGGGCATCTCAGTCCCTCAGTGTGAGGAAACCCAGGGAAGGGAGGGGCAGGATCTCATAGAGGCTCACCAGCGCCTTAACTGTTGTGTTCCCAGAAAAATGTGGCTTGATGAAGACTTTCACATCCATACCTGACACTTCTGTGAGGATTGCAGCGGCCTGTCAGCCAGTGGTGGATTATGGTAAGACAGAACACAATAGACATGGAGTGACCCCTGACTAAGCACTTGAAAGAACACAGCTCTCTGTCCCTTTCAGCTGCCCCCTGCTGTCTTTCTTCCCTCAGATTAAAAAGCGCCCAGTTACACTTGGATGTATTTGCCCATGTTATTCACATGAGAAAAGTGACATAGCGCTCCCTGTGGCACCTTCACATAAAAGTGCCCCCTCCTGAAGAAGTTTTTCCTGGTGGCTGGTGGGTGGGGCAGAACTGCCCAACAGAGTTTAGTTATGTGTAATTTGTGAGCAGTGCAGAAAGGTTCTGAATCAGTAGCACCATTAAATGACTCTGTATTCTAGGCCTGTACAAATGGGAAGTGCAACTGAATGCTGCAGTAGATCATCATATCCTAGCAAAAGGGATTCTGTTCAGAATTTCAACCAACCTAGGAAAGGGCCATAGTTCAGTGGTAAAGCATGCTTCATGTGCTGAGGACCCCAAATTCAATCCCTGGCATCTCAAGGCAGGACTGAGAAAAAACAGTGCCTGAAATTCTATATAGTTGCTGCCATTCTGTGTAGACAACGTAGGACAATTATGTATCTTCTAGGCTTGCCTCTCTCCATTATATTCTATCACACCACCGTTTTTCATTTTCTCCACAAAATGGCATTTGTCCTCACCAGGTTGGATTTTGGTGGGGCTGCCCCCATAGTTTTTGTAATGATTGCTTGTACTTCTGCAAATGACATGGTTCTGTTAACACATACTTCTTTCTTATTTATTCATGGCCCTATTTTGACAGCAGAACTGTTAGCACTCATCACTTGAATTTGTTATTCAAATAATGCAAAAACACAAATTGCTTTGCTTCAAAAAGGGCAAAAATATAGAGAGAACTTGATTCTTTCAGCATTGAAAGAATACTGTGATTTCAGTGTTATTATGACCTATAAAAAGTAACCACAAGAGTTATCTTGGGAAGACTGCTTCTCCAAATTTCACATTGTAGGTATGTATTAAGGGGCAGGATCAATGTTTCCTGCTACCCGTAAAACCTCTGACTGCTAGTTGGGCCTGGTATATCTGTGCACTTTAAACCATGTGTGGAATTTTTGTCACTATAGGCATACCAGCCTCTGCAGGGCCAGTAGCTGACCACAATGGCTACTCTTTGTTTCATTCTAGTTTATAAAGTTCACCTGGATGCTATTGAGCAAAAAGGCATGTATAACTATTACTCCATGAAGATTGTGCAGGTAATCAAGGAAGGTAAGTAAACTTTCTTTACAATTCTCTGTACAAGATGGCTGATTTGGCATCCCAAGAGATATCTCATGCTGCAATATGTTATTTTGTTCAGGGAAAGGCTGTGTATATTCCACAGCTGCACCAATGCCCCAACTCAGCATGGCAAGAATCTTGGCTTCCTTTTTAAAAAAGGGGAAAAAGACTAAACTGCTAGTCTGAAAATATGTGAGCAGTTGGCTCAGGAAAATTTTAGAGACATAGGAAAAGGGTGGGAGAACATGGAAATCCACCTGGCAAGTCTTGCGTTGCAGTGAGTCAAGACATTGATACCTCTTTGAGTATAGGAAGAAGAGGTCAGGGAAAAGACAGATAAGGAAAAGAGAATAAAGGGCATTTATGATATGCATACACACATAGCATTGGGTCTTCTACAGTAGGGTTGAGTTAAAGTAGTCCCTGTCTGATTTTTCTAAAAAAGAAAAAAAATGTTGTTTCTGGCATGGAAATCTGGATGGAGTGCAGAGTTCCTGATATGAGACAAAGTAGTAAATAAGACAGAAACTGGTTTATATAATGTACCTGTTCATCTAGATGAAACTTTATTGCTTTCAATTCTAATTAAATATATAATTCAATATTACTTAATTGCTAAATGTTTTATTATTACATGGTTTAAATATTTTTAAAATAATTATTTATCAGTTCTAATAAAGGAATCATGTTTTGAACAATAAGAATAAACTCAGTCATGTCTTAGTAAATTTACTGTATCCTATCAATCGCATTCAAAACTTCAGCTTGCAAGAAATGGAATGATACCTTCCATTATTGCTCATCAGGTCCTGACCTTCCTCAGCATCAGTTTGTCGCAGTCAAACAGCCATCCTGGATTGCTCCCCATTCATATAATTGAGATCCGAGTTGAGAGCAATAACCTGTGTGTTTAACAAGTAATGCTTTTTCAACTTCCAGCAATTGCTCTTGCACTTTCTCCCTTCCCACACCTCCCCATTTATTGTGCTGCAGGAACAGACCAAGCCGTGGAGGGGAAGACCCGGCAGTTTATTAGCCCCTTACTCTGCCAGGAGACACTGAGCATGCAGGTGAACAGGGAATATTTGGTCTGGGGCCCCAGCAGCGACTTGTGGGATCTTCATCAGGAGTGAGTATGCAGTGGGAAAGCATTTCCTAATGAGAGACATGTAACCTAACAGCTGTGTGTTCAAGGGTCTAGGATCATGTGCAGCACCCCTTGTGCCAGCAAAACATTTTCCATATGTGGCTAAGACACTAGAAACTGCCCTTATAAATATTTCTCCCAAGGCAATTTGCAGTGCAAATTAAAACACAACAACAATAAAAGACAATAAATAAAATAAATGACACAATCAAATCTGATTTGAAAGCAAGAACCCTTGTTTTTTAAAACAGAAATTAAAACTTTATCTCCATTGTTTGAAACAGAACTTCCCTCCAGCACTTAAGACAAATACTTATTACAATGCCTGAGAGAATAACAATGTCTTGCTTTCAGCCAGCTATGATGAAAAGCTGTGCTTGTGGAGAAAACATTGATCTATGATTATGAAGGGTGTGTCTACATCTGGCATTGGCTTTGTATGAAATAATGGTGGGGTTTGTTGTTCTGCCTTTCTTCATCATGCAAGGAGCTCAAGGCAGTTTACATGATCCTCCTTATTCTCACACCAACCCTGTGAGATTGGTTATGCCAGGAGTTGAGGACTGACCCAAAGACTCCCAGTGAGCTTCACGGCCAAGTGGGGACTAATGCCCAGATCTCCCAAGTCCTAGTCGGACATTCTAAATACTACACCACACCGGACAGCCCGTTCTTCCCGGTCTTGCTCTTGTGCTTCTAGCAACAGCCTTGCATGCAGATAACCCAATGATGTGTTTTCTATCACTTTTTAATGTCAGCTAAAGTTTCACAACTAAATGTTTTAATATTGGGCTGCTGTTGCGAGAAGCAGAAGCAGGCCCATTAAAAAGCTGCCAATCCTGAATATTGCAGGAGTTAGTCTTCTTTGATGTTTTTTGAAATTCACTGTATGTGATATTGAGTTTAATAAAGTGATCCATGAAAGGTAACCCTTAGTTGGAAGATATATATGGGCACAGAGAAAAAAACTGTTTAACAATAGGGGGAAATGCTGTGAGTGTACGGTATGCAAAGAGTAGCAGTGGGTCTGTCACATTTGTGTATTTGGGCTATAGATGAAAAATGGTGCAGCCACAGTCAGTTTGCCCTTGTGCTCAAGGAGAAAGTCCTGACTGAAACTACTGAAATTTTCATTAAAGTCACAGCACCTTCATTCATTTTAAAGTGGTTACCTTGCTGCCTAAACCAAATGGCTATAATGGCAGTTAACAGCACCAGCAAAAATCTGATCAAGATTAGCAACTGTAACCCCATCAACCACATACTTCCCAAGTAGGAAGTTTTTAAAGGCAGAGCTAGATACTACAAGAAACACAAAACTGCCACAGGTATGTTCCTCTTCCTCCTCTCATCCTTGTAACATCAGGTATGACACAACATAAGTGATACTAGAGGATATCATTTGGTCCGTATTTTAAAGTGAATTGTTCTGATGTACACTTCCTGACTAGAAATTTTGCACATCACTGAATTTTGCTAGGCAGGCTTTGACTAAGAAACATATACAGTGGTACCTTGGCTCACGAACTTAATCAGTTCCAGGACTCTGGTTGTGACCCAAATTGGTCGTGAGCCAAGTTAAATTTCCCCATAAGGTTCAATATAAATAAGGTTAATCTGTTCTGTAACTATTTTTTTTAGTAAGAAAAATGTGAAGCAAAGTGACAAAGAACAACAAAGATCGCGGACATCTCCCCCCCACCACCATGAGCACAAGCGCAGCCATCTCCCCGCCACCGCCCCCCCAGCACAACCATGATCGCGCCTGTCATCCCTGCATGCCCCTCTCATCCTGGTGTGCTGGGGAGGGTGGGGAGAGATGGCCATGAACGCGGGCATGCTGGCGGGGAGAGACAGGCACGAACATGTACACGCTCGGGGGGGGGGGGGGGAGATAGGCGCATTCATGCTGGTGTGGGGGGGAATAGCCAAGATTGCAGTTGTGCTCGTGCAGGCAAGATGGGCACAATTATGGGCGCGCGCGTGCAGGAAAGACGGGTGCAATCGCGGCCATCTCCCCACTCAAAAATTTCTGAAAAATTTTGCCTCAGGTCGCGAATTCCGCATCGGGTGACAATCACAATCATACCCACCTCCCCCCCCAAGCGCACCCATGATCGTGCCTGCCTTCCCCCCCAGTGCGCCCACCTCTCCCGCACTGCGCCCAAGATTGCGCCCACCTCCAAGTGTGCCTGCGATCACACCTCCCCCCCAGCATGCCTGTGATCACACCCGCCTCCCCCCAAGAGTACCCGCGATTGTGCCCATCTCCTCCCACCCCGAGCGTGCCTGCTTCACATTTTTCTGATTAAAAAAATAGTTACAGAACAGATTAACCTTATTTACATTGAATCTTATGAGGAAATTTGACTTGGCTCATGACCAATTTGAGTCATGACCAGAGTCCTGGAACGGGTTAAGTTCATGAGCCAAGGTACTACTGTACAGACCAGTGTCAACTCTACTTTCTCTTGTATTCTGCTGCTAGGGCTTTCTAAATAAACTTAGCAAGAACTGCCAAAACAAGTTCTGTCTATATGGACATCACAGCAGGGTGATTTGTACTCACTGCTGCCTGCTGGAAAACACTTGCAAGCAAAACCTGACTTTTAATTATTTTTATAAAGATTTGACTTGGAAGCACATTAGAAATAGCAAATACTATTACTTTACTGACAGCTTATGCTGTTCAGAGCAACGCTTCATCTAAGTTTAAAAGTTGCTTATCAAGTAGTTCAAGCATGTAGGCAGGAACACTAACTAGTAAAACCAGAAATTGAAAATGGAATTATTGGTAGCAATAGAAGTTGAAACTGACTTCACAGTTAGATCTCTCAGGTCAAAACCTCCCATATCCTATAAATTAGATAGATTTCAGTGAATATTGTAGAACTAACTTAATGTGTTGTGCACAGTTGATGTTTTAATTATAGTGTTGAAAATAATGTCTGCCTTAGAACAAAAATGAAATGAAAACATCTCTGAAAGAGAGACTGTAGGCCTTAGTACAATAAAGTTGCAGCACAGAACAATCCTGATAAAAGTTAATACACTGAAAACCTAATTTCTTGTCACTCTCTCTCTCAGAATGGCCTACCTGTTTACTAACAACTCCTGGATTGAGCCATTGCCCACCCACCAACAATGCCAGCAAAGTGATTCTCAACTGTTGTGCCAGCATCTAGAGAACTTCAGCCGGCACATGGAGGAAACAGGTTGCACAGTTTAGGAAGGAAGAGATGTCCCTTTTTCCATGTCCTGAGGATTATCCGGAAGAATAAGATACTTCCTTCTCAAAGATATCCACTACCCATCCTGCATGATCAACAAGAAATGGAGCTTTTTCCAAGAAACTTTCCACCAAATGAATTGATCTGAGGCCCTAAATATGTAATACAGGGGGCACTACTAAGTAGAGTTCAGTCAGCCAATAGCAGTATTTTGCTCAAATCAAGGGTGCAACCTATGTTTCATTCCCTAATACTTTTGTAGCCTGTTGGAGTTGCCCTAATAAAAGTTATAAGTTTTATATTTTGGCCTGTTTCCCTTCACTCCCTCCCAGTCTGCAGGGTTTTTCCATTCAGGTTTCTTCTATAGGAAAATGAGCCTCAGAATATTCAGTGATTTGCTGGATAGCAAATCACCCTCAAATGCAGAACAGAGCAGCGGGGAATGACAGGACGCAAGTAGTTCGAATATTCAAACACTGGGCCAGCCCATCTTTGTCTTTAAAGGAATTTCCTACCTCTGGCTGTAAAAAGCAAACATAGAAGCCTGTTAATTTCTGCAACTTCCGATTGTTTTGTTTGTTATCTGTCACTCAAGCTCTCAATGTGTCATGATGTTTCTCTGATGATTTCTCAAGGTTTCAGTATTATGACTTGGTGCTTCAACATTGTTCTTGCATTATCACCCAGTCTCATTCCCTCCCTGCCTACATGACTCCAATCCCATAAAACACTCTGTGTATGCTCTGTTTCCTCATAGCCAGTCTTATACTGACTACCCTTCAGCGCTGTTGTAATTTAGGAATTTCTATTTCTAAAATAAGTACTTGATTGTATGCTTCCCCTGAATCTGAAATCTTGACAAGTCTCACAGCCATCACCCAGCTAAACTAAACTCTAAGTTGCTTCCACATTAGTCCATTTTCTATGGAATTGTTTAATTTGTTCCAGTTATTCCAAAAAAACCAAGGTTGTTCCCAAACCTTTCTGTTCCAGTGTTTTCTATTTCCCTTCTATCATTTGAAAGACTGGGTTTGTTCTGATTTTGCTGAGTTTCACTGGAAATGCAGTGTCTTCTCTTCCATGTAAATTGAGAGGCACTTGAAAGCTAGGCAGAGCAGCCTGTGAGCTCTTTGCTTACTTTGCACTTAAAGAATGTGCTGGGTTAGCATTCTTTTCACACAATGGCCAACCAGGGCCTTTGGGAACAGTCCATGTCGGACATGAACACAGCAGCATCCTTCTGTTCACATTCCCCAAACCTGTTGGGAGTTTTCTGGAAAAAAATTACAGAGTTTATTTGCATAGGGTAGTTTGCATTTGGAAAATTTCAGTTGGTATTAGAAAATGTTCCACTACAAATTCAGCTCATTTGCACAGGTTCATTAATATGGGATAATGGACATTTTGCATAGGAAACTGCTCTGAGCAGCTTGCAACTCTCCTGGTGTTTTGGCCTGTAACTCCTGAAGCTGCTCACTTGGCCATGTTGCTGGGAGCTAACCAAAATCCATAGGCAAAAACTGCTAGAGGACCACAGGTCATCTATCTAGAGATGTCTAATTTAACATGTTTATTTGACTTGCTTGCTAAACAAAGCTAAAAAATATTATTTTTTCTCCCAATACACAAATATTTAACCTGAAGTATTTAGGGAAATATATGTACATGAGTAACATGATTGAAATATTATGTAGAAATTTTCATTGGAATGCTTCTAAAAATATAAGGACAGTAGCTTGTACTTCCCTTACATTATTTCAATTTAAGAAAAAAAAATACAAGTACTGAAAATGGTTGGCATACCAGTTTTAGCAACCCAAAGAACTGTTCTTGTTAAGCTGACAACCGCTTGTCTGTATCAGCTGAGTTCAACTCTTTTCCACTGAGGTTGTCTTCACTTTCTTTAATTTTGTTGTCTCTAGTTATTCGTTCGAGTTCACTCTGACACACACACACACATTTCAATTACATATCTTTTTTTAATGCATTGTATTTCTATCCACCCATTTTCCTGCAAGGAACCCAAGGTGACATACAAAATCCTTTCTATTTTATCTTCACAACAACCCTGTTAAATAGGTAAGGCTAAGAGTTCGTGTTTGGCTTAAAGTCATCCCATTTGGGACTAGATTCCAGGCTTTCCAAGTTTCAGTCCAGCAACCTTACATGCATTCTATCACTAAGGATAAACAGCTGAAAAACATTACTTACAACCTTGAAGCTACCAAACTTAATACTGTGTTTTCAAGTGGCATACATTTATTTGTATTAATTCACTTAGGGAACAGGGGAAAAAATCAGCAGCATTATAAAGCGCTGGAAAATGTTCTATCCTATGTCACTGGGTGTGCCACTTCTGATATTGGAGGCAGCATATAGTTGTCATGACTAGGAGACATAAAGAGCCATCCCCAATTAACTTTTTAAATTGGTGGCCTCACTATGTCCTGAGGTAACAAGTTCTATAGTTTAAACATGGCTCTGCAAATAAATACTTCATTTTACTTCTCTTGAATCACCCACCTATCTTCATGGAAAAACTGCCATTTCTATGTATGGTCACATGCTCTTTTTATGCAAAAAATAATTCTCTTTTATACTAAAACACAAGCACATTAATAAAAAATAGCATTAACCTTAATTACCAATGTATTATCTCCAGAGAACACAGAATGTTGTCCTTATGTGACACAGATTCAGTATCAATGGGATTATTGTTTCCGATAATCTAGAATGCCTCATGTCTGGTTCATAGGTTAACTAATAGTTGTTTAACTCACAATCAGTCCCAGGTTCCTAAATCTGGGCTTCCTGGTAACAACCCAAATGAGGGGATTTATTTGAAGCAAGAAGCTGAACCCACAGATCACCAGTGAAAGTTCCTGTTATGTCAGAACATGGTCAAGGATAGAAAATCGTGTAGCTAAATATGAAAAAAAAATCTTTAAAAAGATGTTTCTACTCTGATTTGAGCTGTAATTACTTGATAAAAACCCTACATGTAAAAAGAATGATGTGAGGAAAAAACTAATAAAAATGGGACTATTTTAATAAAATGCATTTACCCACTTTGCTGCCTCTTCAGAAACCTTCTGCTGTCATACACTCCTTTGCCAATCTTGGGCTACATTTTCATATTATTCAAAATAAGGATACAATTTATTTATTTATACTTTTATTTTATACCGCCCAATAACTGAGGTGCTCTAGGTGGTTAACAAAAATTAGAAACACACAAACAACAAAAATTAACAGCAGTTGCAACTGAATCAGCATAGATAGATCAGCACAGAGGCATAGCAGCAGTACAGAATAAAACGTAATATTAAAATTAAACTGTCAAAAGGCCAGGAAAATAAGAAGATTTTCAGCTGCTGCTGAAAAGAAAACAAAGTAGGTGCCAAGAGCACCTCCTCCTGGTAGCCACCTGCCTCACTCCCTTTGGAGGATACTCCTAGAGATAGACTCCTGAAAATGACCTCAGGGTCTGGGTAGGTACATATGGGAGGAGGGGTTCCTTGCTCCAATCATTTAGGGCTTTGAATATTAATACTAGCACTTCGAATCAGCCCTGAATGTCAACTGGCAGCCAATGGAGTTGAAAGAGGACTGACATGATATATTCTCATGAGCCATTTCCCACTAACAATCTTGTTGCCCTGTCTGGGATCAGCTGACATTTCTGAACTAATTTCAAAGGCAGCCCTGATAGATGTGAAAGGATTATTTGAAACAAGGGAGTAGCAAGATTTAAAAGGTAGCAAGTTTACTTGGCCTAAAGGAGGGGAGGGGCTAAAATCAGGTAGCACAAAGTGGGAAAACAGGCACGTAGGCAGGAGGGCCAAGTACTTCCTGATTGTTTATTGACAAGCTGGGCAGAACAAAATGAGCCTATTGTAGCCCACTGGGGGCAGGGATGAAGGGCCAGTGTTGGGGCAGCGAGGAATAGCCAGGCGGGAAAGATTGTAAACTCCCGGTACCCCAGCCAATGAGGGGAAAGTAGGAGGGAAGAAGCGGCTGGGAGCAGTGTTCAAAAGGGGGATGTGAACATGTGCTCAGGTGAACAGGAAAATGGGAAGGAAACCATTTCTTTCTGTTCCCTTTGTTGCAATAAAGTTTTAAAAAGAACTCTTTGCATGCTTGGAATATTTTTCTCTTCTGACGGAAAGGAAAGAGTGATTTTAACAGCCCCACATTTCAGTGTGTTGCAGCAATCCAAATGAGAGGTTACCAGAGCACGGATGGTTGTTGCTAGGCTCTCTCTGTCCAGATAGGATTGCAGCTTAAGCTGATACAAGATACTTCATGGCAATGCTTGAGGCACAATCCTATTATCTGTGGGATTATTCAATGTCCCAGCTCCAAGGTCCTGTGATCTCAGAGGTGGACTTTCAAAGGATCCCTGCCCACCCATGCAGGGATCCCATGCAGCAGGCATGGAAAGAACCAACCCATCTGTCTCCCTTGAGGTCACAAATGTGTCTTGGTGGGGAGAAGAAGGGGTGTGCTAGGAGTGGAGAGGGAAGGATGCTGGTGCTAATGACCTACAGTGAATGTCCCACAGCCTCTTTCCCTTCCTCTCTGATGCTTCATCTAAATGGCTGAAAATGGCTGCATGTATAAAAATCAGGGTCAGGCATTTTGGTACATAGGATATGCATATGAGCCATGCACTGAAGGCAGACTCCATAGAACTGTGCCTTAAATAGGAAACAAGGAGCGAAACTAATTTTTCACTGTGCTGACTGAATGGGAGAATAGATAATTCATAGTAAATCTCCAAAGCAAAGTGCATTTTTGTTGGGGTCTTGTGTCCCATGTATACCACAAGCCCCTGATTAAGTAGCCCATCTTAAATATGGCTTTGCCAGTGCAAATCCACCTGTGAATAGCTTCTTGTTTTAGCAAATGTAATTTTTGAGGCAATCAACTTACTGGGGCTGTTACGGAGATATTTTAAAATCGAAGATCCAACCCCTTTAAAACTTCTGCCTGCCCAGAAGAGAGGTTTTTTGGTTTTGTTTTTTAATTTGGCAAAGAGTGCTAAGGAAGCAAAATAAAAACATGTTAATGGTGAAACTTACAGGAATATAGAGGCAGAGAGTAATTAAAGGATTCCTCCAACAGTTCAGGAAATATTTACTTCAAGGGGCTATTTCCCTAGTGCTAATAGCTGAGGAAAGGAAGAACCGCTTCAAATCCTAACCAGACAAGCATTGGATACAGTAATCCTGAACACATTTTCTAGGGAGTTAGCCCCATTGTTACAAGCTGGTATGCTTCTGCAGAGTCTCTAGC